AGTTTTGTCCACAATTGAAAGAGCAGTCACACTGGCAAATTCTAATTACTGACCCCGTTTGAACTATTGTGACAGTTCGGAGTTCAATTACAGGCCAAAATACCAAAAGTTCTAGCAGACAACACAATCAAGCACAAATACACACACACACACACACAGATATTGAAAATTTGCAAATACAAATCGGAAAATTGTTAGCTCTACTTGCCTCAGACTGAATTCCAAAAAATGAACTTTGAATTACAAACTTTTTAACTACAATTTCCAATTACAAAAGGATGCATTCAGTTGCATTTTTGGCCAACTGCTGGCACAGGAGCAATATATATTCAAGCAACCTCAAAAAATGCTGGCAACCAAATGTAAATGTAGTAAAGAATTTTGCAACACACACACACACACACACACACACACACACACATACATATACTTACCAACTTACTCGCACTCTCTGTGGAAATTTGGGAAAAACTGGCAAAAACACTGGGGACTTAGTAGTTGTTGGAAGTATCGCAACAACTGTTAACCCAAGCCGCAAATTTATGACCAGACTAAGACCAAACACCGATACATATATATATACAAAAGTACCGAGTACCGAACATGGGAACAGCGGGCAGTAGTATAGACTGGCGGAACGCGAGACTCAATGGAAATGGCGATTTGATGCAATTGTCTTTGCATTACATACAGCTGGAGTTCGAGCGCATTTCTGTGGTGACTCGTAAATTACGATTGGCATGCGGCTCAAGTGGCCAAACACATAGTGAAAACCAAAGCTTGCAATTGTGCACAGATAACACTATGAGTCCTGTGTACATAAATCGAAACATTTGAGTTATGAAATGATGCTGAGAGTTGGGTATATGTGTGTGAGTGTATATATTGAGAAGTTAGGAACGCTATAAACAGATTTATGCTTGACAAATGCCCAAATATTTATGACCAAGCCCAATGACAATGCATAAATTAGCCACATTAATTATTAACTTTTGGCCAAGCAGCGAAACTCAACTAATAAACGCATAAACAAAGTAAACAAACCCAACCGACAGAAACAAAGCATAACAAAGACCGATAGCAAAAATAAACGAATATAGCTCAACTCGACTAGAATCATAAATATTTCGGATAATTAATTTATTGGACTTGGGATTTCCTTACCCGCCACAAAATCGAAATCGTGGCATTAAGTGTGGCTACATTGCTGGCTCTTATATTAAGCACACACACTAGAGACGCGCTGACAGGCGAAAAAGTCATTGCATACTTTTGTGTGAATTAAAATGGATATCGATTGCACATAAAAAGCATTGCATACTTTCAAGCGCCTCATTTAAATAATTTGCGACTTAATTATGAACAATCGAAAGAGCACTGCATACTTTTGAGCGAAATCATTTCAAATTCATTAGCTTTCAAGCCAAAAAAGTGCTGAAGATATACGGGAGAGGCAAGTTACATATTTTAAAAAATTGTGAGAACAAGGATTGATTTGTGTTTAATCAGTATATGTGCAACAACTATATATACATGTTGCCATGTTGATTGAAAGTAATTATCATTTATATGCAATTGAGAAATGTCAATCAGACATAACGTAAAATAACTGCAGCAACTGGGGCAGTGAATACTGAACTTAAAAATCAATAGTTACCTGAGTACAAAATATACCCCGTATATAAATTATTTAAGTGACACACAATCTCAATTTAAGTTCTCCTCTATTTATCATATTGGTTTTAAAAATAAAACATTGTTCTAAACATAAGTTAATGATAGTTCTCTTTAGGGTTTCCTTAACCAAAATTATTATACCCCGCATTACTCTAGTTAGAGGGCATTAAAAGCGGTGTGTGCATGTCCGATTTGCGGTTTTTGTCCGCATGCAAATTACAAATGCAGCCAAAAATGTACATTTGCTTGGCTTGTGTATAATTGTACGACCAATACAATTGAAACCACACGCTCGTTTACACACAAATGCACACACACACACACACATACACACGTGCACACGGTAAAAGTATGCATCAGTAAAAGATATGGCTAACCATAAAGCAGCACCACTAAACGAAACTTTTCAGCTTAAGTAATTTTCGTGTGAAAGTAATTCATTAAAATTAGATTATAACGTTTGCAGCAAGCCAAACAAATCTCAACAAAAAATAATTAAATTAAAAATGCCCTTAAAACTCGAACGGGCTGCACATTTTGGCCAAATGATTTCTTAATGCAATTTCTTTTGGGCCAGGTCATGAGTCCGGATGCTATTGTTGCTATTAAAAACCCACAAAAAACTCGGGCCAAATTCGGGCAAAGAAGCAGCGCAAGCACATAAAGAATAATAGCAGAAGTATAGCACAAAGTTGTCCCACCTCCTGTTGATGTTATTTTTGTTCTTCCTCTTCTTGTTCCCCGTTGTGCGTATCTGGGGCTACTTCCGGGCTTGCCTTTTGTTGAAACATCCAGCTGGTTGATCTCAGCTTAGTCTTTTGCTTAGGGTTGCGCACACACACAAAGCTGACAGGTTGAACGCGTCTCACCGTGGGCAAGAGCTGAGCTGAGTGAAATGGAGTGGAGTGGAGTGAAGTGGAGTAGAGTTTAGTGCACTTTTTTATAGATACCCGAGTGTTGTTTATCTACCGTTAAGTAAAATGAAAAATAAACGTCATGAAAGGAAACTAGGAAATGGCGTTATACAGGTGGACACAAAAAAAAAACGTCCCGGCTAACCCTTTTTTCACATTGTTGCTCTCTGTGATGAGCTATCATAAATATTTATCAAACAACTGCCTCGAATATGGGTGTCTGTGTGGCACTTAAGGTGTTAAAAAGGACACTCCGCAGAATAAGTGCTAACCGCAGGCGCAAGACGAACACGGTCAATAATGAAATGAGCAAAAAAATGAAGGAAAACAAAAAACGGAAATAAAAGAAAAATTAATTTGCATATGTTAAGTGGCAGTAGCAATTAAAGGCGAAGGCAGTCGACAGGATACAGCCAGGCTGATTTAACAAACGAACGAACGAACGAGCGAACGCCACAAAGGAAAAGGACTCCCAGTAAAATGCCAACACTGCCTGCCCCCCAATGGTGGCAAAATGGAAAATGTGAAATCATAATTGGCTTCCAAATGCTTGAACTCAATTATGTGCGCAAAATTTTTGGTGAATGCTGCCGTTGACAGGCAAATTATGGACTCAAGGCCAAGTCGCATAAGCATACACAATATAATATGTATGTACATAGCACTCCCCACATACACATTTATATCTACCCCTAAATATGGTGGAGTTGGGCGCCACAATGGCATGCCTGGGAAATGGCACTTTCACTTTGCGCTTGGCTTAGGTGCCCAGCACAATTTGCATAGCATTTCCAAGGACAATGACAAAGACAACGCACTGTCGCCTCGGGGACCAACTGCAGACCAAGGCGAATATAATTGGGTACGGGATGGGTGTGTGTTTGAGGATTGGGCTGGGCCTTTACGGGCAGTGGTTGAGCGGACATCACAGCCAACATGATAAATTACTCAAATACAAATTAAATATAAATCATGCCAGCAGTGCACAGGAAATTTGCACAATGCATTCCGATTTGCATGCGTGTCTAGACGTCATTCACTTTAACTAGTTGAGTCTCACCTTTAAGCAATAGCTGAAGTTTATTTTCATGTGCCAAAAATTAATCTAAATTTTGACTTAGATATATGGTAAAACCTAAAAAAAAAAGAGCTAGGGCACCAAAAATTTGAAGAAGATGCAAAAACTTATTATCATTATATATAAAAATGGTTAAATATAATGTAAGCAGAATCGAAATCGAGTAAAACACATCCAATAATGACAATGAATCTCTGCCTAGCCATTGTGTTATATATATCCCCCACACCAGCATTTAAACAGTGGTTAGGCCAATCTTTTGGCAACTGTCACAAGTTGGAGTGCATAACTAATAAGTCCAGGCGAAAGCCTAAGAGTTTTGGTGTCCCCCCAAGCAGATCTGTTGAATACGCCGTAAAATACGTGTCGTTCAGTTGCTGCATAGAAGAGGACGGAGCAGGAAAGAGCACTGGGGGAAATGACTACCACGGTGTTGGACAGCAGCAATGAGTTGAGTCAAGTGGAAAATTCGATTCGAGAGTCACGTGCTAATCGCAGCGCATTCCCAAAACCTCTCGGCAGTTTATTGACTCTGACATCTTGGTACCCTGGGGCAGAATCGCCTGTCGCAGGTACGGTAAACGGCAGGTGCGTCCCCTGCTCGCCACTTACGGCTGGATGAACAATATGGGCAGCTTTGCATGTTTCCTACCCTTGCTGTACTTCACACACATGAGCGTGGTCTGCATTGAGCTGCCCGGACATGGTCGGTCCTCGCACTATCCAGCACTATCCGTACGTCTGGTGGTCTAAGGTTTCACTGAAGGGTCACGGGACCAACTCCATCGGTCAGTAAGGAATATGCCCAGTCGCTCGTGGAGCGTTTCGCAATGCCGTTGCCCGATCAAGCCGATATGTTTAATGTATCTCGGGATCAGCACATTGTTCACCACTTACCAGTCATCAAGGCGAGTGATTCTGACTTTATTAACAGGGGATCTACACCAGCTCTGAAGAGCAGCTGGCTATGTAAATAACTATAAATTTTGCCATCACAATATAATAATAAATGGCAATGATAAGAAAAGGGAAAATAAAAAACTATAACAAATTGTTTCAAATCTCATTAAAGTAGAAATTACATTGCTGCCAAGCTCGTTTTTAAATAAAATCTAGTACGCGCCCTAAAAAGAGTATTCAGACGATCAGACATAAAATCAGCTGATTTAATTTGTTTATTTTGTAAAAGCTTTCCAAAGAACTTGCCCACATTCCAAATTACTCTTTACGATCCCAAAATGCGCTCTCACAATCAAGTCGGAGAGCTGCGAAATATATTTATTTGTTTGAGTAATGAAGAGGCGAGCAAAAGCTTTCAAAAGCCTCAGTTGTCAGCGAATCGTTTACGCTGAAAGACGCGAAGCGGTCGGAACTATCGATTTCTATTTTTTTGACTATAGTCATTTTTTATTAATAATACTCAAAATTAAATGCTAGTCATTAGCCGATAACCCAAAAACCATAAAAAGATTATATGCAAGAACCTTTGGAAGTCCAGATAAAACCAGACGGACAACAATAAACAGTCGAGCCAAATTTCAGCGAGCCACATGGGAACTTTATCACTGAACGATGTGAGTAAGCTAAATTAAAAGCTTTTGATTGCTGTCAGAGCAATCCACTTTGTTTATACACTGCTAAACATGCATATTTTTCTACATTGCTATATGACAGTACGAAGATGTTCGCATCTGGGCTCCTTGGGGTCATATTTCGGGTCGCTGGTATGGCAATCGATCGGATCGACCCATTCTGGCTATCCACGGCTGGCTGGATAATCTTGGCACCTTTGATACACTGATACCCTTGCTGCCTGACTATCTGGGTGTGCTCTGCATCGATCTGCCTGGACATGGTTGCTCCTCTCGAGTGCCATCGGGTATACGCTACAACACAGCTGAGTATATCCTCATCATAACAAGGGTCATGAAGGAGTACAAATGGACAAAGGTGTCATTGATGGGTCACTCGCTGGGCGGCGTCTTGAGCTTCCTTTACACAGCACTTGCACCACACACTGTCGACCTAGTCATCTTGTTGGACATTGAGAAGCCACCTATCGACACAACTGGCCGTATGGATTATTTCGCTAATATTATCGATAAAACCCTGGTGGAGGAGGAGCGTGCTGAAGAGGGTTCAATGCATGAGCCACCTTCCTACACGCTGTCACAGCTGCGTAGTGTTCTGAGCAAGGGTAGCCACGACTCGGTGCCGCCAGAGTTTGCTCAGCATTTGCTCTATCGTAGCGTGGCCAAGTCGCAGCTATATCCGGAAAGATTCTATTTTTCAAGGGATGGCCGCACCAAGTACTACACACCTCTTCCAGCAACTGCAGGCCTTATTGCTGAACTAGCGGGTCGCATTAAGAACAAGCCCTACCTCATTATCAAAGCCTCGGAATCCCACTTCATAGACTCCGAAGACAACGAGGTTATTTCTATTCTAAAAAATCAAAATCCACACTTTGAATATCACGAAGTTTCCGGCAGACATCATGCGCATCTTACCAATGCCAAAGAATGCGCCCAATATATAGTTCCCTTTCTGAGAAGATACCGACCGCCAACTGTGTCCAGCTGGTCGCTAAGTGGCGAGGAGCAGAAACTGAGCCAAAGGGAGCATCAAAAGGTGCAGGAGAGATTCTTTGCCAGAAACATAAAACGTTTTAACAAATTGTAACATAAAGTCGAGAAAAATCAACATAAATACTACAAGATCATACCGCACAGTAATATAAATTCCATATGTGCATATCGTTTTTAAATAAAATCTAGTACGCGCCCTAAAAAGAGTATTCAGATGATCAGACATAAAAGCAGCTGATTTAATTTGTTTATTTTGTAAAAGCTTTTCACAGAACTTGCACACATACCAAATTACTCTTTACGATTCCAAAATGCGTTCTCACAATCAAGTATATTTATTTGTTTGAGTAATGAAGAGGCGAGCAAAAGCTTTCAAAAGCCTCAGTTGTCAGCGAACAGTTTACGCTGAAAGACGCGAAGCGGTCGGAACTATCGCTTTCTATTTTTTTGACTACAGACATGTTTTATTAATAATACTGAAAATTAAATGCTATATTATATGGAAGAACCTTTGGAAGTCCAGATAAAACCAGACGGACAACAATAAACAGTCGAGCCATAGCCTGTCAATTAGCTTCTCTTTCTCTCCACTTAAAAAAACAAAAACAAAGTTTAGCACTGCTTTCATCTATTGCAGCTAAGAAAACAGAACATATTTTATTGTTCCTTAAAATAAAAGTGGCGAATATATATATATGGTCCAAAGATTCCAATAATTTGTCTATATTATAATCTTTAACAAAATCAAAGTATTGCAGTCGCATATTTAAAATAGAAGATATTTATCATTGAAGAGGATCTCGACAAGGACGTGGAAATCTGATTTCCGTTCTATCTCACTGAAGGAGTTATTAGCCCAAATATTAATGCCTGAACTTATTGAAATGTATTTGGTGGCGGAGATAAGCGGTGAAGACGTTTCCATCAATAAACCGCCAGAGTTTGACAAACATTTCTTCTATCTATCAGCAATTCTAACTGATGCGAAATTATGGTTTATCTTTTAAGGTAATGTTAACTATATCTATTATGATTAGAATAAAATGTAAAGAGCTTTGAAATTAAACTCGAGACGATCACAACATTTAAATTTGTATTCACCATAAGATTAAAAAGCTTTCAATTAACTTGATATCGACTATTGACCGTTACTTGAATCAGTCGACGGTTAACCCTTTAAGCTGACAGACGGAAGCAATTTTATTGATTACATTCCACTGCTGTGATATAAAAAAGATATGAAATATTAAGCAATTGAATTTCCGCTCTAATCTGTTGCCCCCAAGTTCTGAGAATAGATAGTAGAAAACTTTCTGCAAACGAGCTATTGCATAGCTATAAAGATTTGTCAAAGGTTCTAACTTTAAAGAGTCATCATGGGAACTTTGTCATTAAGCGATGTGCGTAAATATTATGAACAGCTTAAGCTACACAAATAATATATCTTAACTTCTGATCACCTGATAGTTCGAGGATGTGCGCATCTGGGCGCCCTGGGGATACCTTTATGGACGCTGGTACGGCAGTCGATCGGTGCGTCCTATTCTGGCCATCCACGGCTGGCTGGACAACCTGGGAAGCTTTGACACGCTTATACCTTTCATACCCGACTATCTGAGTGTGCTTTGCGTCGATTTGGCTGGACATGGTGGCTCTGATCGATTGCCAGCTGGAATGCATTACAGCGCGGATGATTGGATTATTGCTATTGCCAGGATAATGAAGCAATATAAATGGCCCAAGGTCTCGCTGATGGGTCAGTCCCTTGGAGGTTCACTCAGCTTTCTCTACGCCTCAATCGCTCCGCATTTGGTGGACATGATCATCGCATTGGACATTGTTTTGCCACCTCTCGAATCTTCTGACACCTTGTCGACAATGGCGTACTTTATGGAGAAACATTTGCAGGAGGAGGCACGCTCTGCAATCAACATAATGAATGTGCCACGTACTTACACAGAAGACCAGCTGCGTTTTGGATTGAGCAAGGCCAGCAACTTTTCGGTGCCGTTAGAGCTTAGCCATCATTTGCTCTATCGCAGCGTGGCAAAGTCGCAGCTATATCCGAATAAGTTCTACTTGACAAGGGATAATCGTGTTAAGTTTTATACTTTATTTCCATTCAATCCAGTTCTGGCTGCTGAAATGGCAAGACGCATCAAAAGAATGCCTTATCTTATAATTAAGGGCTCCGAGTCCAACTTTATTAACTCTGGAGCTGACGAGGTTATCTCCATTTTAAAGAATCAAAATCCGTATTTTGAATACCACGTAGTGCCCGGCACTCATCATGTTCATTTAATGAATGCCGAAGGATGTGCCCAGCATATTGTTCCATTTCTGAAACGACACCGACCCCCCGGAGCAAACAAAGATGTCCAGGTGTCCAATAAGCTCTAAAGATACACTGGGGAAAGCTGAGTTGATAACTTAGAAAAGTGAGGAAGTGGGAGCGAAAAGACAATGAAACTTTATTAAATAAAATACTTGGCCATCAATACTGTCTTTGTAAACTGTTTTGCTATACATTTGTGTGCGTGTGTGTGTGTGTGTGTGTGTTGCTCTTAAGCTGCTTACCACACTTGAGCGCTTTAGAACAATTAGCCACGGCACACACCAGTAGAATGCCATAGCTTCCACTTTGGCTTGGCCATGTTTGGCAAAGTTAAGCAACTGTCAAGGAATTGAAGTTGTCCTCCAGCCGGCTTATGACTTAAGCCTAGAGAAATGAAATATCAAATAGTGTTTCTGGTCTGGGCATGTATTGATGAATGTGTACAATCATAAGCACTTAAATAACATGAAATATAGTCAATTGTTGGGTGACAAAGCATTTGAAAATCATTTAACAAATATTGTTGGCGTAACAACAAAAGCGTTGCCTACTTTTGGGCGGCGCCAGCAAAAAATTAATTTCTTGCAGCCACACAAAATTCCATTGCCTACTGTCAGGGGAGGCGCCTAGTAACGAAACGGAAACATCGAAGGAGCGTCTACTTTATTTAATTTAAGCAGTTTCCCGCTGTTTTCAATACCCATCATCGAACGAGAAACTCAAATGAGGCATATTGGGGTGTTTCCATGGTGAAATGAATAGAATAGAATAGAAAAGAATAGAATAGAATAAAATAGAAATTCTAAACATTACAATTATGTTTAAAGAGAGGACTGAACTGAGGATTATACTACAGGGTATCTAGCACACAGGCAGACAATAAATTGTTGCTGTCCTTGGCACATTTGCTGTGGATGCGTGTGTGTGTGTGTGTGTGTGTGTGGTGAGAGGAGCTGCCTTAGTTGTTGAATTTCAAATTTGTATTTGCTTTTGCGAGGCATAATTTCCTTGTCATACACTTTGATTGCTGATATATGTATATATTAAGATGTATGCTTTAAAGTTTGTCCTCAGCTGTAATTGCACGGAAAATTCAATCAATTAGCGCCACAGTCAAATTTCTTGCATATTTCCCAACGTTGATTAAGCAACAACATTTAAGCACTATCGATTTTACAATTTAGCTACTGCTACACACTCACACACACACACACATGTGGCTGCCTCTCTTTGTGTGTAAGCAGAGATGCCACAGCGCCGCAGGACGTCGTTGCCGTGTGGCTGAAGCTCAGAGGCTCTGACACTGAAGCCATAAACTCCAGGTATGGCGTATGCCCAGATTTTTAAATTAAGGCGCAAGCTAACAAACTTGATAGCCTTTCTGGCAGTCTCAATTTCACATAGATTCGCCAGGCATTCTTTTGAGCGCGTGTGTGCGCCAAATTAAGTTTACGAACAAAAAGGGAAACGATATTGGCTAAACGACTAATGACAGCTAACGATATTAAGGTATTTTGAGAAGTTCAATAAAAGCGGGAGTTTTACAGAAAAATGAAAGAAAAAATCAATATTTAATTTAACAGAATATAATTCTTTTAATGGCTGGGAGTCAATAGAGAAATCAAACTTTCTCAAAAGTCTATCAATTGTATACTTCCTGCCAAATTGTTCGAATTGATTTTTGTAAAAGCACATTGAAACAAGTGAATTGAAATACTTTCATTTCAAATGAATTATGCAGGTTAAGGCCATCACACGTTGAGAGCATCCCCTTCAGCTGCGCGCTTAATAAACTAAAACTAATGGCAAAACTGTTTAAAATTCTGAATGTGCCAAGCTAGACGCTGCAATAAATCTGAAAATACACTCAATTGCCAAAGCGCATGCAATGTTGCAGTTGCAGTCGCAGTCGACGTTCAAGTCGCAGTTGCTGCTGTTTGAAACGTGCGCGCAATTTTCACAATTTTCTAATAGCCGCTAAGCCTGGGACAGGGGGCAGGGACAGGGGGAGCAGTTTCTGTATTCAGCTGTGTAAAAGGTCTGTTATTAAAAAGGGAAACAAGCCAAAAACATTTCACGTACGCGGCCAGAGTTGCATAAGGGGTTTTTTGTATTTAACTTGGCCGGAAGTGCTTTCGACGCCATTTTGCGGTCGGCTTTTATGGCCCGGTCCGGCATTGCAATTGAGAGTGCAGCCCAGCTACAAACTATACACGAGACTTGCCTTGAATGCCCTTTATCAGCTACGTGCCCATTCAGCCCAACACGGGCTTAAACATCCATCTCGCATCCAAAAGGAAAAGCTAGCGAAAAATCAAAACCAAAAAAATAAAAAGCGCGCCTATTTTAGAAAGATTGCCAATAAATTGTTGCTAAGCAGCGGAAGGGTAACGAGCAGCAGCCGGAGCAGCAGGAATTGGCTTTGATTGCGTCATGATTCGTCCTTTGCTGCTGACACAGCAGCCATTTGCATTTACCGCCCAACCCATCCCATCCCATCCCAACTCGACCCACAGCATTTCGGCTTGCCATTGAGTCTGCCACAATTTACATGTGATTGACATGTTTATAAGGGTCACTCAGCAGGACCTTAAACTCTCTGTTGTCCCTTTTCCGGCTGTTCGATTCCTCGGGTCTTTGTTTTGACATCCATAACAAGTGAAGCCTATAACTGGTTTTCACTTCTTTTCCGCTGTCAGTATATCTCTGATATTTGCACTGTCCGAGCATACTAAATATCCTTTTGCATTTCAAGTGCTTTACTGTGGCAGCAGCAGCAGCAGCAAAGGCAGCACGACTGGATTCCCATATGTACACACAATTAAGAGTTCCCACGTTTGGAGTCCCATGAATAAAACAACAAGTTATAGCATTGCTTAACAAAGTTTTAAAGACTCTTGTATGCCCTAATTGTACGACAGCACTTTATTGAATGATATTTTATACAGGCAAAACGTAATCGTATTTGGAGAAAAGATTCCTTTTATTAAAAAGGAAACTTATATAAATGTTAACTTAAATTAAACGTTTATCATTCATATTATTTCTCTAATTCATAAAGAACGCTATAAAAATGTTTACTTTAATTAAACATATATCATTCTGTCTATTAAGATATCTGCAATACAAGAAAATAAATCTATGCTCGATAAAACAATACTGTCCCACTTTGAACCACAGTTCAAATAGCTTATGTACCCAGTTTAGGGATCAAAAGAAAGCACACACTCCGATATCAACCTGAGCAGACAAAACGCATGTTTTGTTTTAATTTAGCAGACGGCAAAGCAGCCACTCACATGTGAACAGGTTTTATATGCACCATACACACGAAAGGGCAAAGCGTGTGTAAAGTAATCAGGCAGTCAACAACAATAACAACAACAACAACAGCCCAATTGATATGCAACTGAAAGAAAAACAGCTGACACGCAACGGGGGCAGCCCGACTTACAACTCGCAACTCGAACCGGGTTGCAAAGTGAGCAGCGCAGGCGCCAAGCAACCTACAAGATACCAAAACGAACTTCAGTTGAGCGCGCGAACTGTTCGCTGACGGACGGGGCTAGTTCGATCGTGTGATCGTTGGCACGACTACGGCTACAACTACGGCAACAGCAACGGGAAAGGAGTAACGGGTACGGGTGCGGGAACAAGAACGGGTAGACGGGGCTTGTCTGACGAAACAAGTGCAATTTTGAAAGTCAATAACTCGAACTGTGCCAGAAGTTAAACGAAATTTAATTTGAAATTACAATTTAAGTGCTGCATAAAAAGTTGAAAAGACAATTAATTACACCAAAATTGAAATGAAGCCAAGACCTAAAAAAAACATTTGTCAGCTGTTAAAACACATTCTTTGGTCAAAATGCTAATGGGTTTCTTTGGTTATTGTTGCTGTTTGTTGTTTGCTGCCACTGCGGCTGCTGCTGCTGCTGCTGATGCTGCTGCTGATGCTGCTGCTGCCAGTTGAACTTTTCAATTAATTTAAAAGCCAGAAAAGAGACGTCTCTCATTTTCGCTTGGCCCGCATAGATCTTATCGTCATCTCATAAAACGTATGCCTCAGCAATAAGAAGAAGAACACTTCTCAAGAAAGTTTACGAAATGAATACAACACAAACAAAAAACAAACGCCACAAAACGGTTTTTTTGTTATTTGTTGCTTTTCTGTCTATTTTAGTAGCATTTTTAACCTGCCGCAAGGCCTAAAACTCCCCATGAAGGTGTGCCCAAACAAAAACGGGGCATTAAAGCCCCGCGGAGCTCTACTGACACTCTCCTTCCCCTCTCCCTCTCTTTTCCTATATCCCATTAAATTATGTTTTTTTGTTTTTTGTTTTTTTGCATTTATTTCTTTTACGAAATTTATGCCGCGTTGCTACTTTTTGCCCATTGGAATTATTCAATTTGAATCTGACATTTGAAACTTGAAATTCATGTTGCTTCTGTTGGAAGTTAATGTCGAATCTGTTGTTGTTGGCTGCAATTTTGTTGCCGTTGCCATTAATTGTAATTCAATGCGGAAGAAGCAGCGGACCATAACCGCTAGTCAGAGCTCAGAGAGCTCTTGACAATTATTACTGGCAACAGGTTGCCAAGTGGTGCAAATTGCCGCGGCTACATTGAAAATTCTTGGCCATAAAACGGAGCAAGTTTTAGACTCACTTTACGCATAACTGTAAGATAGACAACAAGCCTGTAAGCACAAACAGGATTTCTCCACAAGTGAAAGATACATGTGTGTGTGTGTGTGTGTGTAAGTGCTTCTGCCACGCCCCTTATCAGTCAGCGCAGTGAGTTACAAATTAAGCCAAAGCTGCAGCTGCTGTTTGGCCTGGCATAGAAAAAGTTTAGCGGCCTCCCCGTTGACTTCAATTTGTGTCAAGTAATTTTCAAAAAACCAAATAAGCAAATGGGCAATCTTTGAATTGAGATAGCTCGAGCAGCAGATACCCTGTAAATATATGTGAAGTGATGTGGCATATGAGAAAACCAGCCTGAATTTAAACCTAAAATACAAATTTGGGATATTCAAAAATGCGACCTGTTTCTATACGATTTTCTAGCTGAGCGAGTGGAATAAACTTAGTCTATGTAGTGTAGTGTATCTATGTATCGCTGTAGCTTTCGTAGTCTCTCTGGCAAACACGACAATCTATTTATCGATTCGTATATTTCTGGCTTATAAGCTTTTGGGTGATTAAAATCGACTGCAGGGTATAAGGCAACTATTCACAAAATTGGTATTTTCCATTAGTAACAACAACAAAACAGCTAACAGGCAAAACTGGCAGCAGCAGCCAGGCAGCTAAAACTCTTAAACTAACATGAAAATAGTGAAAATCATGTGTGTCTTGTGCAGTTCCAGTCTTCAGTTCAGTCTTTGGTCTTCAGTCTGCGACTTGTCAAACGTGTTCCGCCAAGGCATTGGAAATGCATTGTGCAGCAACAGCAGCAGCAGCAACAGCAGCAGCAGCAGCAGCGGCAGCAACAGTTGTTGCAGCAAAATAACAGCACTAACTATGACTCGGTATTAATTTTCAACAGCAACAATAGGCCGCCACAAATGAAAAACAAATAGTCATATATGCACAAGATATTTTGAATTTTTCTTACACAAACCACATTTCTAACTTGGCAGCTTTGTTCTTTAGCTTTATGTTTTTTTTTCTTTTATTTTTTATTTTTTTTTTTTGGAACCTTGGTGCCCGTTAATAGAAATGACGCTTCCAAAAGTTTAAAGCCCTGACAGATTAAGAAGAGTTCTTCACGCCTCTCACACTCTCTCTCCCCAATGGAGGAGGACGTCTTGAATGCGCTGCAGATGCGCTGCGCATATCTATCCGGGGGCTACGATCGCGACAAGCGAATCATATTCATTGTGAATGCATTTAGTGATCAACAATTGTGGAATCGTCGCTGCCTCCAACTGACACTCGACTATCTCAAGCGTTCGCTCAGGTGAGTCTCCACAAAAAAAAAAAAAAAATAAGAACAGCAACTAGAAGTAGATGTAGAAACCGACCGCTAATCTAGCTAATTAACATAGACAAAATATGCAAATAACCCGCAGATGATTTAGACTTTTTTATTCGAGTCTTTTCATTAGATATGGCCTTAGGCATAGGCTGGGTATCGGTCTGTCTGCAGTTTTATAGGCCTCGGAAATAACGTTGTTATATGCAAATAGCACTTCTATTTTATACACTTCTTGGCTTTCGAGATCAAAGCCGCAAGCTGAGTAGGGTTTGAGTTGAGAAAATGTCATAGATACATCAGTTTTTTAATATCTACCCCAAAGACGCTTTGCTTCTAACTCGCAAATTGTGTAAGTTAACAAGCTACAAAGGCAAACATATTTGAGGTGATCAATCAAGCCAATTTGAGTTGGAATTGAATGGGCAGATTAATGAAGTGACTCTTTGTTCTTCTCCCTTCTCAGCGCTTCTATCTTGCAAAATGGCGTAAGTGTCATTGTCAACGCCCAGGCAAGCAGTTCGCGCATCTCGAGACAGCACGTGCGACAAATCTATGCCCAGTTTGGCGGCGACATTAGCGTCGATGTGTATCTAGTCAGGGCGGAGGGCTTCTGGGAGAAGCACGTGGAGCCATGCGCCAAGTCACAAATTAAGGGAGAGGTAAGCCAAAATATCTAGCTATATACACAGTTAATTCCACTCCATAATTTCCACTCCATAGCCTTTGGTGCTGTCGAAGGCACGCCTAGCGAAGTTTGTGGAACCAAACAATTTGCCCGAGGAGCTGGGCGGCACCCTGCAATTCAATTACGATCTGTGGCTGCAGCAGCGCCGGGTAAGTGTCTTGTTATTTTGCGCAAACGAATTCATTGCAACTCATAAATACCCTTTACACGCCCCAAAGTCCATTGATGAGTTCAGCAGAACGCATGCGCTAACTTTGAGCTGCATGGAGCAGCTGCTGACGCTGCTGGGCGGGCACAAGGCGCTGCGGCCAGCGGAAGCGGATGTAGAGCTGAAGAGGAGCGCTCAGTTGCATACACATGTGCAGCGCAGCATTGAGGCGGCTATTGAAATGGGTAAGCGAAGCTGCACCAAGTTTGTTGCCTGAGTCTTTCGTTTTGTGTGGTGTGCGAGTAATTTACATATTTTCAATGCCCTTCACCTCCGCCATCGACGACGACAACAATCGAAACGAGTCTGGCACACAGCAAATGTGACAAGTAATCTACAACAACAACAACAACACCAACAAATACAAAAAAATTGAGTCTTGTACGTGTTTCAATTAGAAATGAAAATGTTTGGCAAACTTGTTTTTTGAGTTGTGGGTTGAGTTTTTATTACACTGAATAACATTGAAAATATTTATGTGTTCTTGTGAGTGTGATATATCGAAAGCATTGCGTGATCTAGTAACAGAATAAAAGTGTGTTTGTTTTAATTATAGTATAAAATATGTTGAAAAAAAGCAAGTCACGCAACTTCATTTTTTTGGGATAGAATTTGTTTACGAAAATCTTCTACTAAATTGATATGCAACGTTTATCAAGATTTCTAATCATGAATAAAAATGAGTTGCTTTTTACAAAGTTATAACAATGACATAAGATGATATCGTTCCTCAAAAAAACTTTTTTAAAAGTCTGATTCAAAGATATATGTTAATATTCAGTAAATCCGGAAGAATGTTTTTCCATTGTTTTCTAGCATTTCAAGCTCATTTTCTCTCTCACAAGTGGAGGCCAAATATTTTAAATACTTTAAACCCCTTTTATAAGATCTAGCAATTAAAAAAAAAGAATATCATAAATAATTTTCCATATATTTTCTTTCATTTTATTTTTTGACTTGAGTTCACATATTTTTTGTATACATATTTGTTCACACCTAGCTGAACCGTAAATTGAACCACATCAGTTTTTAATGCTTTGTGGTGCTGTGTGTGTGTTGCTTTGAAGTGTACTCATCAAAATCGAGTATGTCACAAAAACCGCACGCCACTTAAAGCTCGTGTTGTTGTCGTGTGTTGCGCGTGGGTGACTCCATTTGTGACTCTATTTGCATCGTGACCCTTCACTTAGCTAGAGCTTTTGTATTTTTATGTAGTTTTCTGCGGTGATGCGCATCGAAACTGGCACAGGTTTTCACTTTTACATAAGCCATTAAATCAAATAGAAAACGCAAATGTTGAGTGACTGTGTGTGTGTTAAGTAAACGCATAGCTAATAAAGAGATTTTTTTATTGAAACTAAACCCTTTTTTCTCATTTCTCTTTCAGGTAATACGATCTTGGCGCGCTTTAACGAGGTATACGAGACGCAAACACAAATGCCACATGCCACACCTGTTGCTAGCACAACAACAACAACAACAGCAATAACAACAACAACGACGGCAGCAGCAACAACGGCCCTTTGCTCTGGTAAGCCATTGCTGCCACCAGATCTTGGCTGCGAACGTGCCCGCATCGAGTTGCGCCTCAACGAAATCGAGAAGAAGCAGACAGCGATACGCACTGCGTGGCTGGAGTTGTTGCGTTCGCTGCGTGAGGCACGCGAGCTATGCACCTTGGCCGAGGGCGTGACCTTTGTCACCAACTGGATCCTCAACCAAGCCGAACAGCTGCTCAGCCGCCAGCGCAGCGTTGGCAGCGATGTCCGCTCCTCGGAAATTCTCCGTGCCGCACACGATCAGCTGGAGCTGGAGTGCCGTGACACCTACGGCTGTTATGCAGAGTTGCTCTACAAGATTGAACAGTTTGCCAAGGAGCGGACGACGGCCATGTGCCGGGATCTGCTCTCGCAGCGCGATTTTATGCAGTTTGTCTGTCGATCCTTTGCCGTCCGCTTGGAACGCAGGCGCAAGGTTCTAATGACGGCTCTGAGGTTCCATCGTCTGCTGGAACAATTCGAGGAGCAACTGCTGATCGCCAACCATGCAGTCGATGCGGAGGCAAGTGAATTGGATGCACAGCAGGCCGTAGAAATGCTAATGCAGTTAAAGACCAGTCAACAGCTGCTAGGTGAGTGGTGATTGCATCCATGATAGATGAATTTGGTCGCATTTAGTTCCCATTTCAGCTCGCTTTTATGGCCAATCGTTACTATTTAATAGTTACATAAATCAAATCAAGTGAAAGTCTTTTTTGGTAAATGTAAGCAGCCAGCTTAAATATATATATTTTGTACTAATTGGCATTTTGCCCAATTGCAGCTGATCAAGCAACTATTAACTATTATTTTACAACTTTAGTTTCAAAATTAGAAATCAACCAAACAATTTAATTTACCGCTTTACTTTAACATGCTTACATAGTTTGACATAATTAGATAAGCGCTGCAACACATCGAAATATGCATACCAATCGCCTGACCCACATAGATAGCGTTCTAGATAGCATCCGTAGAATATTTTAATACCTTATCGAGTTTGTTATGAAATGCTTTGTAGACGACATTGCTAAATCCAATAAGTGTACATTCTAAATAAATAATTTCTATATAGCATAGCTATATATATAAAAGACTATTACCAAGTCAAGACAACTACAAAAGTTATAAAGTTAATCAATGCAATAAAAACAAGATATTGAGCCTTCCCCGAGCCAGAGTTAGTTTTCTCTTATTTTTTTCCCATTCCAAGACTCTGCAGCTTCTCACCATATGAAACTCCTCCCAGTCCAAAGTATGTGGTTTTTCTTTTTGGTTGTTACAACAATCAGTTGCAACTGCCAGCAAACCTTAAACAAACAAAAATAACGTAAATAATTCACAGGCAACATCGAACGCGAACTTGTGCGCGAGGGCGAGAAACTGAGCGACATGTTGGCCATGCCGGTGAAAGATGCATTGGGCCGTGACCTCCAGCTGGACTATAGCAACGACATTGCCCAGCTGCGACGACAGATCGACTCGAGCCGCGAGCGCCGGCAGCGGTGCGGGCAGCGTTTGGCGCTGCAGCGGCTCACCTTGGAGCAGGTGACCCACATTCATGGATACGAGCGGGAGGTGCGCTGTGCTCTCCAGTGGCTCAACGAGCTGTATGCGGTGCTGTTGCGCTGCCACTCCCATGTTGGCTGCAACATACACGAGATTCAGCTGCAGAAGGACGAGCTGCAGGGGTTCGAGGAAACCGGACGGGTGAGTTTTTCAGAGAGAAATATCTCGAGAGAGATCTGCATTTTTTGTTTATTTTGTTTTATGGCCAGCCAGTTTTGGGAGCACTTTTTAATGGGCACTCTCTCTTATTCTTCTTTTGTGACCACTTAGAGCATTTTCAACTACGGCTGCCAGCTGCTGGAGGCCTCGCAAACGCTGCGTCTCTGCTGCAAGCTGGAACAGTCGGAGCCGGAGCAGTTCCAGCTGCAGCTGCAGCGCACTTGGCACAGTCTGCAGTCCATTGCCCAGGAGCAGATGACTCGCTTGCGCGTCTCTGCCGTCTTCCATCGCAGCGTGGAGGCTTACTACAGGCAACTGCGTGACCTGCGACCCCTGCTCACCCACGAACTGGCCGCCCAGCTGCAGCATCAGCGCCAGCAGCACAATCGCAGCAGCAGCGGCATCAGCAGCGATGCTGAGGCATCTCCAGAGTTATCCCCAGCAGGTGGATTAGGTGCTCGCCTGCAGCGACACCTGCTGGCACGGGAGCAGCTGCTGGTCGAGGTGGGTCGCATGGTGCGACTGGGCCGTCTGCTCAAGAAACGGCTGAAGGAACCCTTCGTGCTGGATGCACTCACCGGCAAGAGGTGAGTGTGAGAGAAATCTAACCATACTTCTTGCTAAACCGGCGGCGTGAGTGCAAGGAAACAACAAAAATCCAGTATACGACTAAGTAATACTCTACAGTCAGCTAGCAGCTGAAAATATGTGAAAGAATTTTCGCGATTGTGAGGCGCGAGTTGAAAGAGTAAAATATTAATCATTCTATTGAGCGAGGTCAGGGATATTAGGATATTGGATGGGTAAGATATATATGTGTAGCAAGCTCGGTAAACGCCATAAGCAATCCAATATACCGTATTCCCTTCTAGGATCAGTGCAAACACACTCAAAAACTATGCTCAAATCACTCAAATAACTGAGTAATAAGTTTCGTAAAAGATAAAACCCAAAATAAAAGCTGTCGGAAAGTAAAACAAATGACAGCCAAGCACTCAGCGAAAAGAGCTGTCGTCTATTCAGAAATATAATTTTGGGCGACAGAACAGTCTATTTCGGTGCGTGATCCAGCGCGGAGCGTCTAATGCTCGACGGGAAGCGGATTCGTCGTCGTTTCGGGAATACAGTACATAAATACAGACATCTACATATATATAGCGAGCGGCAACTTGTCAAGTTGTCAAGTAAACGAAACAGGCGGCAATCTAAAATATTTTATTATATATAGATCGCTATATATGTATATCTACTGGAAAAGAAAGAAAAGAACATGTGCTAACAAGTGGGTCAAAGTGGAACTTTAATACACAGTGTGCCCAGTAATTTAATAATAGAAGTGTTAACATAAGTACAACCGCCCATCCCGCCCTTTATCCACATTAGTCAGTGCGTATTATTCTAATTGAGCACTTCCCGTAATTGTTCGTTGTTGTCAACTGGCCCGGAGCCAAACGCGTGTTTAGCGATTGCGTCAAACTGCTTAATTGTGAGAGGCGCCAAGAACAGGAAAATAAAAGAACGATCACAAAATGTTTGCCAGATTTCGAAATTTGTTTGGCAAATCCAATGCCGAAGAAGTGCCCATCATTGTTGTCGACGAGGCACCGCCCGAGGAACCCACGAACAATCAATCGAATCAAGCGCCACTCGCCAGCGAAGAGGAAGATCTAAACAATGGTCACGAGGAGACGCTGTGTGCATCCACTCAGCAGCTATCCCAGCTGCTGAATGACATTAATTTGAGCAGCAAATTGCCTGAAGATACGGAACAGGATGAGGATGAAGATGATGATGAAACGGCGAGCACTTCGAGTGTCACAACTAAAATAGCCAAAGCCTCAATAGAACGGGATATAATCGTAGAGGATCCCCTAGAAGAGGAGGAGTCGGAGGCAGAGGTCGAACAAAAGACAGGGCAAACTGGTCAGAACAGTCTGGAGAAGATTAAGGCGCTCATACGCAACGATAGTGAAACATATCCGCAGAGTGATTACACGGATACGGAGGAGGTTACGCCCTTGCACTCACGCACAGCCTCGATGGACTCCACGGCAGAGCCTAATCGCAATTTATTTCCATGTGATTACAGCATTGTGCCGGACGATGAGCTGCCGCTGGACAACAGCCCAAGTCCCATGCACGACAGTGGCAACGAGTCCACGTATGTTGATGCCTCCTCACCCAGCACGTTGACCGTGACGCCAACTGGGAGCAATGAACTGGCCTGTGCCGCCATCTCGCACAAGCTTGGCGCCATTGCCGAGGTGGCCGAGTCCCTCGATGCGGTTATCCGAGACTGCAGCAGCAGCAGCGCCGACCTGGATCTCTCCAATGTCCAGGCGCACAAAAAGCTGGGCAGCCATGGCATGGGCAGTGAGGTAAGTCGTAGTTGTTTTCTCTTTTCTTGGATGTTTCTTTCATTCGAGGGTTTCCGATTGCAGGACTGGCAATCGCGCTCAACGGAAGATGAATCCTTTGCGACGGCATCAGAGGGCAATTTTACGCCCAATTCGCATTCGTCGTCCTTTCAAACGGCCTCGGGTCGCACCAGCTCCTACATTGGCTCCGCTAAGAACTCCTTTGACGAGGCGGACGACTCGACGCTGAGTAATTTCGAAATACCAGAGCTGCCACAATCCCCCGTCAACATGTCCTTTGACAGCTCCGAGCTGAGCTACTTCTCAGCAGCAGCAGCTGCAGCCGCCCAGCAGGAGCAGCAGCTGCCACTTAAGCCATCCACTGACGATGATCAGGATAGTGTTGTGGGCGTGGCTGAGCTTCACAGCCAAAGCGTAACGCCCACGCCCGAGGAGCAGCATCAGCATCTGTTGCTGGGCCATCCCATAGAATCGGACAGTGAATTGGAGGCATACGGCTTGGATGCAGCCGGTTGCATCAGCACCGAGCTGCTGCCTGGTGCCTCCACGGCCGTTACGCCGGAGGTGAGTCCACCTTCAGCTCTGCCCGGCTGCGCGGCTGCCACTAACAACAACAACAATAGCAACAGCAACAATGATGAGCAGACGGCGCCGTCGACGTCGACGCCGGCGTCATGGCGTCGTAGCAAATATTATGAAAATATAACGAAACAAACGATCAAGGGATTTCTCTGAGAGATGACCTTCACCCCCAACAACCAACCCCCTTCTTGTCCCCTCCGAAATCTGCCTAATTAATGCGCGCCATTTGCCTTGCTGCTTTGTTCTTGTCTCTTTTGTTTTTGTTGTTAACCGTTTTTCTTGCCAAAATGAAAATGGCTGGCATATTATTATATTTTCATGCTAATTTCATTTTAAGTTTCGTTTCGATTTTAGCTATTTTAGACCAATGAGCTAAACTAGTTTTTTTTTTCAGAAATTTTGTTTTTGTTTGTACTTTTGCAGCGCATGTTTTGGTTGTATTTATTTGAATTATTAATAATTTAGTTTAATCAAATAGTTTGTTTTGCCTGCTATGATCATTAGAGAATTCCAAAATACTTTATACCTTTTAGCATTTATTAAGTACATCATTATTTATAATTTAATGAGACAATAATCTAACAATTAATATTTTATAGCTGACAAAAACTACAAAATTGAGACTTGCATAGAATTTGTTTATTTATAATTGAATACTTTAATAAATGAATACATTTATTTTTCAGTTTATCGAGTCACAAACTGCCAATTATACATAAATTAAATATATTTATAAATAATTTGTAAATTATAATGTAATTATTTTCGTTGCATAACTTTAGGCTGCAGATGTAAAAGCGCACATTTAACCCTTGTGTGTACAAAAGAGAAATATGCCTAATTACAACAATTTATGTTCGCGTGGTTTGTGATTGCCACTGTGGGTGTTTCTAAACGTTAACAAGCGCTTTTTAAATGATTTCAATTATCTGATATGTGACGCTGTCAAAAGGGTGTTGATACACACACACACACACACACTAACGAGCTCTACTCAAGCATCCCATTAATCTCAATAAAAAGCATTATAAATAAAACAACTCCGCGCACATGTCTGTGAGTGTGTGTGTGTGCGTGTATCTGTGTGTGTGTGTGCGCGTGAGCGATTTTTAGGTGAAAATTCTTGCCGTCTGGCTGTGTGGCAGCTAGCGCCATGTAGCAATCAAATCAAATTGCCGCCAGCGTTTGCTGTTGCTTTAGCTGCTTCTCGTGACGAGCCAAGCCAGGAGAGCAGATACAAGACACAAAACTGGGCGCTGTAAATATATAATTCAATAAATTTTTGGTGCCGCTGATAGGCTGGCAAAATAATAATAAGAGAAAAACACTGATTGGAAGCAGTCGCCACAACGGCACGAACTCGACTTGCAGGCCCCCCCACCCCACCCCCAAGTTCCACCACAACTCTTGTTGCACGCTCATCAAAAGCTTTGGTCAGGCACTCATCGTCTGCCACACGCATTTCGGACGCTCAAGTAGCAGAAAAGTGTGATGCAGCAAGGGGGGAGGGGTGTTGGGAAGGGGAAGTGGCTTTGAATGCGGGCGGCGGCTGCCAGTTGCATTCTATTAAGACACGATGCACAGTCAGGTTGTTGTTGCTGCTGCTGCCTCTTCGCTGGATATGTGTCTGTTATTAAAGTACAAGCTATACTTGAAAACATTGTTGCTGCTTCGGCTGCTGCTGTTGTTGTTCTTCTTCTTCTGGCAGGGCATTAAAAATTGAAATCATGAATTAACGACGAACGCAACGAATGCCAAAAGCACTTGTTTATTTATGTCTCCCACTGCTCACCCTTGCAACCCCCTCTCTCTCTGTCTCGCTCTCTGTGCACAGCTCAGCCGGCTTTTTTCTACCAAACTGAGCTCGGTGAGCGCCAAGAGCTGCCCAAATGCAAAAGCTGAGCGAAACGGTTAAGCTAAATCACTCACTCACTCTTTCTCTCTGTCTGCTCCGATCGCAGCCACGACGAGAGCGCTGTGCTTGCTGGCTGCCTCCGTCCGGCTGAGGTGCTCAATTTGTTAGTCAGTCTTGTTCGAAGTTCGCGTTGATCGGTTGTTGGGCACGCGGCGGCGCGCATCTCTTTCCGCATATTCTTTAGCTACAATCCGCTTTTCTGGTTTTCGAATGTGCGAATAAGGTTTTTGAATTAATGTAAATGTTTTTTGGCAAAGAAATGGCAACGAATTTCTATGATGAAGGGCTATAATTAATTGGCACAATAAATTAACTACTAATGGCATTGAATGTTGCATAAATTATAAATGATAAAAGCAAATATATATATTCATATATATATTATAATAGTGGGGCACAAATTGTGTTCTAATTTTGTTATCATTATGTTGACGCTGCCGAAAAAAAATACTGACGGCACACACAGAGCAAAGAATTGACAAGCGAATCGCAAAAAAAAAAAGACATGAAAAATAAATATAATTTACGTTGAGGCTGTTAGCTAAAATTGACAATTGTCTGGGAGAAGGCAGGCAGCCAAATAGTATCAGCCACGCCCCAATTTCCAGGCATGTGTGTTGTGCACAAATTTATAGTGCTTATTTTTAGACACGGCCGAGCGAAAAGTACAATTAAAATCATTTACATTTGCCCAATACGAGAATCGCTTCAAAATGTTTTGACTATTAAAATCAAAAATGAACAAAAAATTACCTAATGCCACAGCCGGGCGCACACATGAACTACTACATATATGGGCGAAGAGGGGAGAGGAGTAGGAATGTTGCTCACATTGCGTATGAGCAATATTTCAAAAATAAATGAAAGCTGCCATAATTTGTGACTGCCAAAAACAATTGCGATTGATTGAGCAGATGAGAGAGAGAGAAAAGGCAGCCAAAAGGTTAACATTTATTCAGACAGTGCAACAATTGGCACATATGTGAACAGATACATATATATAGAGTATATTAGTACATCTCGCAGATGCAACTACAGTGATTGGGCTGACGCACATCCGCCACCAAAATGTGGGCTATTCAAACAGAGCATGCGAGAATTACTCAATACGCGTAGTTTCTTTAGTTTGCTTCAGTTTGATTTCAAAAATAGCGCAAATTGAGCATTGTCATCGAGCTGAGCAGAGATCTCAGCAGAGGCAGAGGCAGAGGCAACAACAGCGCACGCATCAAAGAAACAGTTTCTCAGACAAATATGCGAAATACAGCAACAAATGCAAATATATACATTAGTATAGGTACATCTCATATATATTTGTATATATATATATATATACATATATATAGATAGAAATTGTTGTGCTTAGCGCACAATAATAAACAGGCTGCGCGAGGCATGAAGTCATAGTCGATTTATTTGCCATAGTTCTTGTTGCTTTTTTTTATTTTTGCGTTTTTTCTGTACTCGCCTTGGGCGCTCTGAGCGTATTCTATGTGATGGGGCAGATCAGACGATCGCCAGCTTCGATAGTGTACGCGACAAACGAAAATCGCGAGGAAAAACTCGAAACGAAAAAAACTCGCGAAAAACGAACAACGAACTCAGCCAAAATAAAACAAAACAAAAACAAGCAATACTAAATAATATAAGCATAAATCGATTCATTTCTTCTATAGAGCTTCTAAAACCAAACACACAAAATGCACAACAAATAATAACAATAAAAAAGAGCAACCACTAAGCGAAAGACGCGCGCGCAAAAAGAAATACCAGCAAAAAAATAAAAAATAAAGCACAAAAACACAAAGGAAAACTAAACGGGAAAGATTAAAAACGCCCACGCAAAACATACAAAACTACACGTAGCCGCTAAGCCGACAAAAGAAGAAGAAGAAAACAATAACAACAACAACAACAACCAGCAAACAACAACACTCATCACACTTCACAGCCGCAAACATGGAACGTCGCCAAGCGTTAGACTCATCGATGTCTTCACTCTACTCGGCCAGCTCCTCGAATCGCCAGCAGCCGCTCCATTCCCAGTCCCACTTCCAGTCCCAGTCCCAGTCACAGTCGCAGTTCCCGTCGCAGTCGCAGTTGCAGTTACAGTCGCAGTCGCAGCTAGACGCCTTCAATTATTCAGCAACAATGTCATCATCGTCGCCAACGCCGAGCCAGGCAACGAACATCACCAGCACCAGCAACACCAACACTACCACCCCCCTGCGTGCCACCACCATTGGCACCGTCGTCGTACGCTGTGGACCCATCCAGCTGGTGATAGCGCTCTTGCAAGTGAGTTGTTGTTCTTGTCGTCGTCGTCATCATCGTCGTCGCTGTTGTTGCAACTGTTGCAACAACATGGACAAAGTTGCAGATACCAATAGATAACTCTATGGCTATATTGGTAGCAGTAACTGGCTGCAATTTATGCAGCTACACTTTGCCGTTAAGCCAACATTTTGTTGCAGATAGTCCTGTCAACGAAAATTTAGTTCTTCTCGGTAGGGTAAAAGCGCAAAATATTGAGTGCTTAGCTGAGATATTTATACTTACATGTTTTTATCAAATATACAAATTTGCACGAAGTTTTCCGCCTTCATTCAACAAGTATGATCGGAGAATTAATATCCTTGAAGACTTTGTTTCTAACCTTCGGCTTTGCCCTTAGTAAAAATACGCCTGTGTATCAATCAAAACTGAGAGAGTTCTGCACATATAAGTCTCGACTAGGGAAGTTGATAATATGTATATATATACATATATACATATATATATATATATATATATATATAAAATATAATTCGTACGTGATAATGAAACCTATTTTAACATGCAGCATGAAAGCAACTACAAAACTAACAAAAATACACTCTGATTTCATGCCAATTACATGCCACAAATCATTGATGCGGTTTATATTTACAGTTAGTGCTGAGAATCGAGCGAGAATTGTTTTTGAGTACTCGCACTCTTCAATTATGAAATTCGAGTATCTGTTGAGTGCTCTTCTCTGTTGGACTGTTTGTTGAGTTTATAACTTGAAACAAAACTTCATCAAATACACAAATATTTGTGTATTATTTCGACTAATGCCCAAAACTGGTTGTTTGATTGTTTAAACCGGCTCTAATAGAATTTCCGTGTCAATTAGCACACTAAGCGCAACACAATGAAAGCAAAAGTTGTTGATGGCAGTTATAAGTGTACATATATGTAACATATATGTGTGTGTGTGTGTGTGTGAGTGTATGTATGCCTGTGTGTGTAGCAACATATTTGAAACAAAAACAAAAGGTTCAAGGTTGTCTGACGTCAGCGTGCGCGTTCTAACGTGACAAAAGAAATGTATCTGCAAGATACTTTGGCAATTAGGCGCAGCTGCTACCTGCCTCGCAAAAAAAAAAAAGAAGAAGAATATATGTATGTATTAAAAAAAAGGCAGCCCCAAATATAAAATGTTGCTTCCCAGAGTGAAAAACTGGTAGCTACGGCAAAAGCAATAACCAATAAGTAGAAGAAGAATAAAAAGAACAACAACAACAACAAATCAATGGGCAACTTTTGGGGCTCACATGCGTGGCGAACTTGAAGCTACAATTTGTGGCCTGAACTTGAGATTGAGAAATGGAAGCGCTACAAGTTTCATGCCCCAGACAACATTCAATAATTATAGACGACGCTAAAGTATTTTTTTCTCGTTGTTGTTTTTTTTCTTACTGTTTTACCACAGGCTGTTTTTTCTTCTTTTGTTCATTCAACCCGCTTTGCCAAAAGCTCATTGAAAATGCGGCCACTTTGTGCCACTTTCGCCAAAAATTTGAATGGGCGCCCCATTCTCTCGATCTGAACACTCCATGTGTTTAGCATTTCATTTGATTTACACATTCACTTTTTTTTATTTTATTTTTGGTGTTTTTGCATTTATTTGCTTCCTTCATTTCATTTAGTGTTGGCGCGTCTGCAAAATGCATGAGTCAGTTGAAAGCATTTTGTTAAGCGCCTTTCAACACGCTTTATTTTATTTTTACAAACATTGAACATTTTCTACGAAGTGAAAACAATCCGAAAAGTTAAACGCCCACCAGTTAGCAACACTTTAATTGATTTGTATAAAACTAACCTGTTGGAGCTCTGAACTGCCACCAAAAGTGTTTAAAATAAATACGATAACATTTTTCAATCCACGCACAGGTAAACAAATTAGCACAAGAGGAATAAGTAAGCTGAAGCGAACTAAAAAGAAACAAATATTTCAAAAAAAAAAAAACAAAAACAAAAAAAACAAACAGATGTAGATATATAAATACACAGACACAGATACACAGATAGCAAGCAAGCCGCAACATGTTTTTGAATAGATGCTTTTCGATGAGCTCAGTTTTCTTTTGTTATTGTTATTCTTGTTATTGTTATGCGGAGAGAAACGTTGAAGCGTGTGGGTGGTGGCATAAAGCGGAAGCACAAACGACGTTGTGGATGGGTCTGTGAAGAGCTTTCCGAAATAGATTAAAGTAACAATGTTTTTATGCTGCGTACATAAATATGCAAATACTGTGAAATACTTTTACATATGTCAAAGTGTCTTTAACAGACCAATATTTAACTGTCTGCATAAGCTTAAGATTTCGCCATAAGTTTGCCTTTGAACAATTCCAATTATATAAATAATGTGATTGGAATTGTCAAGTGGCATATGCGTATCTTGATTGGTTGCTCTTTCCTGTTTCGTACAATTTTCTTAACACATTCCCAGCTCGGCCAGTTTCCATTTCCCATTTCGAAATCTTTCCATGAGGAAACACAAGAAAAGGCTCGTGATGATTTACATTTTATGCTTCCATCTAAATCATAAACTTGTAGCACAGTATCTCCATCTTAATGTTGCCCCACCCTTGTCCAATAAAATCCATTTACTCTAGGCATATGTAACTCTTGGGCAACGCATCAATCTCAATGGCTTTAAGAAAATTTACGCAAAAGTCTATTTTGTTCATATCTTCGTCGCAACTGTAAATTGTTTCCGTGGCCCAAAGCCAGATGAAAACATTTCTAAAAAAAAAACATTGTATTTACAATTGATACAATTTGCTTGTGTGCCTAGTTTTTTTTTTAGTTGTGGCCCTAATTTTGTTGTTGGGCCTTCTCCGTTTTTATTTGTATTTTCCTTGTCCAGCATAAGCAACGAATTTACTGCAAGCTATTAAAGCCAAGCAGACGGAAAATATAAACCAAACAGACCAAATAAACTTCAAAGGCCTGCCCCACCGTTTGTGATTAACATATTTACTTTGACCGTGTAGTAGCCTAAATAAATAGTTTTCTGAAGCGTGCCAAGCGGACGCCTCCAGTTGCTCCATAATTGGAACTAACGCGCGAAATTAATTTGCCATTAGCATTGGCTAAGACCATTTTGATGAGAACGGCGTGAATTGGTGCGCAAAGGCGACCTGCTTTTCTAGCTTTTCGAAAGAAGCAATTGAAGTATCTTTTTTTTCTTTCTTGTTTTTTTATTTTTTGTATCGCTCTGATTTGCAATTGAAGCGCATCTATGGGCAAATGGAATCGGGGGAGGGCAGTACTAATTGAATTTATGGCATTTTCATTTGTACGACTCGCAGATTTTCACTCATAAATTGCACAGCATATGAGCAAATGCACACACACACACTCACACACATTAGTTGGTGTGTGTATGTGTGTGTGTGTATGTATGTGAGCATAAGTTATATGCCGTCGCTTTGGGCTGGCGTGGGTGAAACGGCTGCAGCTGCGCAAAGCCTGAGCTGGAGTTAAAGTTGGGGCCAGAGCCGGGCCAGTGTCGGGCCTGGGCAAAAGAAAGCCGTGTGCCAAGTTAGAGAAATGTTTACGATGCTTGGCAGGCACATAAATTTACGCATGAAAAGCTGCACATTCCTCTCGAACTTGCGACGGACGGACGAGGGCTGGTGCAGGCTTCGCTAAAAATCACGGCCTGTTTTATTGTCACTGTGATTTATTGCACATTGATCTTCAACTGTGATTTGCTGCTTAATTATCCAGCCGTATGCAATGGCGGTAAAAATCACAGCTTGTGGTTGAAAATTAAAAATACAAAGTCCAGCAATTTTAGCTTGCATATACTCAGAATACTCAACGATACCGAAGTGGTTTGTTGCAGTTAGTATTCTAATCATATTGTTTGTTTATTTAGATCAGTGGCTACTTAAATCTTGTAGATGGCTTCTTTCCCTCTTTTGCCTCATACTTGCACATAAATACTTCATACTTCACATTAAATAATCCATGCGTTAATCACTTCATTCAAGTCACTACAAGCAAAGGAAAAAACACAATGTTGAAAAATACTTCTCGCTTCGGTGAACCAGTCGGAATTACCATAAAGCTGCTTATGCAGCCCTAACTCGTTGCATCCACACCAATAGGTGGCGCTGGACGTTGTCAACATGTCCAACGCTCAAAAGCAAAGCAACAAAAACAATTTATTCTATGCGCAGACGCTGCCAGTTGGCAACGCATCCAAGCCGGTCTCTTTGCCAGCTGGCGGCTGGTCCTCTATCGTCTACCGTCTAGCGTCTATCGTTGGAGAGTTAATGCAGCTTCTACTTAGCGCAAACTGACAAAACAGTTTTGGCACGCACTGATTGATAATCGAAGGCAGCGGCATAAATTCACTAAGCAATGGAGACGGTCTGGCTCCAAGCCGGGGCCAGAGTCGGTTGGCCAAGTTATCGGAGCTAAAAGAGCAGACGAACAGCTGCTGTAATTACCAAGCACGTTTTCTGAGTAGACTGTGGATGCTGTGGATACTGGGGAGATGCGAAATGTATTGCATGTTTACATGAAAACTGATATTTTACCGATAAACGCTCAATGAAAGTCGACTGTGGCTGCAACTGCAACTGCGGCTGCTGCTGCTGTTGCTGCTGCTGTTGCTGCTGCTATTGCTGCTGCAACTGCCGCTGCAACTGCGGTTGCGGCTTTTTGGCTTCATGCCGGGCTCCAGTTGAATCGTGGTTAGCAATTTGTACAAACAATTATAGAAATTATCTTTCGCTTGGCTGCGAATTAAATTGAAATTTAAATTGCATTCGATTGCTGCGCCGCGATTGTGTTCCCTCTCTCCGTCTCCATCTCCGTCTCCATCTCACTCTCTTTCTCTCTCTCGTATTATTCTCTGCTGAGAAAGTGAGTCAAACAATACGCTATGGAAATGCCTGAAACATATTTTCTGTGTATTTTGTGTATTTATAGAACTCAAAAGTCTGACATCACACCGCCAGCGAAGCAAGCCAACCTTTGTCAGATCATTAAAGTTGGCGCAATGCAAATTTGTAGAGGCAACAAAAAATTAAAATGAATAAAACAACAATATGCTTTACGATAAAATAAAGTCAAGTTGAACCAGCCAAGCTGATAGCTTACTGTTCTCCATCAATTGTATATCCCCCCTAGAGCGCTCAGCCTATGTCAGGCAGTCAATAAGCTACAGAGCAGAGCGCTTTGTTAATATATTAACAAAATAACAACAACAATAAACAAAAACAAGTCAGAAAGTGTAATCCAGAGAACTCGACTGGCAGATACCCTGAACGAAGCAGGTATATACATTATATCGCTTCAGAGACAGGTGCTGATTACTCGCATTATTTATGCTTGCGACTGCTGATAGTACAACTTGGGTGTTTATTTCTGATCTTTCTAAAATGTTCACTGTTGATTGACCAATATTATATATTGATTGGAGGGCTCTGCTTTTAAGATTGTCTTTTCTAAACGCGAAACAGGTCGAGTTATCGATTAAATGAAATTAGCTAGATCTGTTTGTTCAATCAGACCGATAGACCGGCTGGCTAGATTGTGCAGCTGTTACTCCCGATCAAGAATATATATATATATGTGATTCTGCCTGTTACAAACTTTATCACGAAGTCAATATACCTTTTGTACTCATTGCTAATGGGTTCAGGCTATAATAAACGACAACACGACGCTTCGCAAATACATTTGCATATGCGTATTAGATCAATCTGTCAATTTTGTGTGCTCTGTATCAATTTACACACAGTACGCTAATGTTAATGTCGCTTTTATAGTTTTTGGCTATTTGGGTAAACTCTTTTTGTTTGTGCATCACACTTGGCCATTATTGAGGTTAAGTTGACACCAGCGCAGTATGCGTAACTGACAATGATTGATTTATGTGTTTTCAATAGTCCAGTCTAATTGGTATTCAGTTAGCATATATACACTTGGAGTGCGGGAAAGTTGAATTGCAGCTTGCTAAAAAAAAAGTATGCAATTTAATAGTCTAACCAAGAACTGGCCACACTGTTTAATCCATCTAACTCCAATTTGGACAGTCGCGTGTCAAGAATTACCAATTGTCCGATAGCTGTCAGTTGAAATTGCAAAGTTTTCAAGTGATTTGCCAACGCCCACGCTGAAATACTTGTGCACAGTTTGAGCTCGAGATACTCAATCAAATCATCAAACAGCATCGGTATTAAACGCCGGGCCTCGGTACGGACGTAATGAAAGAGCGCTCTAAAAAACGCTCAATGATTTCATACAAACGATAACAACCGTCAAGGTAATTTTATATCGAAATCGTGTTCTGCCCGCTGACATAAAGTATTAATTTAAAAGCCAAAAACGTGTTTGGGATAAGCGCCTCACCACCGGACTCTATATATCTATCTACATACAGTTTGTGCACACACACACACATATATATGTATCGTACATATATATAGAACCTTGTTGCCGTTGGGAGAACTTGTAGGTATTATATCATCGCAGTATCCTACTGACGTGATTGTCGAAGACTTCCGTCTATTTATTACAGTGTAGCCAAGTAGTCTCCGAGCTCTAAGCTCTTTATAAATGGCCAAAATGCATACAATTCAAATGGCTTGCTGCATGCGGCAGCTATGAAATCTAATTCGAAACATTTATGCAATGATTGAGGCGCCTGGTGCGCTTTGTGAGGTGAGTTTTCACTTTGAATATGAATATGTTGATGTAATGCATATGTATGTATAGACACAGACACATATGCATATAGTTATGGTCTGGCTGTTTATAGTGATGTCATACCGTATATGGTTCAAATTTCAGTTAGACGACTCGTGACGTGATTTCATGATTTGGTGTAACGAAGCCGTTATATTATGTTGAATTATCTACAAGCAGACCCATATACGTATACAGTCAAACTTCAGCACATATATATTTTTCAAATTAACAAATCCAAATCACTGTACGAAGTCATTTAATGATTTTGGTTCCATTCCTCACGCACCTCGCGCTTCTGGATAACTTCCTTCAGAGTATTTGATATCCTCCTCGTGCTTTTTCCACTGATCCTTTGGCAAGACGGCCTTGGTCATCAACATATGTATGTAAGGCACGCATAATACGATAGTTGCGCTCGACGGATGGCTTCAATCACGTACTCTTTCTCGTTGAAACCATCATCGCGGTGCAAACCGTATTGATGAAATCCAGACAGATTGTAGGCCCATCTGCCCAGGCTGGAGGCCACCAAATGTCCCTTTCTTGCAATATAATTCGCCATCATTTTGAATAAATTGTAGTCTTAGATCAGTTGGATGCCTGCTTTATTTTCAGTTCGTCAACTGACAAAATGGAGGTGGTTTCCGATTATTTTCAATTTTCAACGAAACTTTAACTTGGGGCAGTTCGAGTGTATTTGCATGCAAATCGAATCTTTATATATATATGCACATATATATATATGTAATTATATGTACCCATCTATTTATGCATATTGAAAGCTCACTCATGTCAGCTAGGCAGAGCTGCAGCCAGAGTGGATGTGGGTATGTAGATGTTAAATGCCCCTGGGGCGGCAATGCTGTAATTTCACTCTAATAGCACGGTTATTAGTTTTCATTGTAATTGATTGATTACTGTCATTAGCCAGATAGATGCTTGATCTTGAGCGTATGCATTGGGCACACGGCAGCTGTGTGAGAGCACTCCAATACCCGATATGTGTGTGGACCCTCAGCAAACAAATTAAAGTTCAATTTAACAGACAGCTAAACGATGAGCCCCCATCCCAATATGGTTAAAAGACAAACATAAGACAAGCGAAATCGTTGCAGTCGGACGTAATCGACTACGAAATGCTCTAACACCATAATAATACAGGTGGCAAAAAACTTTCTTGCTGAAATTGTGATTTATGACGGTGACCTTCGGTATCATAGTAAACAGTGATTGTAAGAACTGTTCAAAATTTTGCCGCGCCATAACTTTGTCAAAACTGAACCGATTTTCAAAAACACTGTATTTTTGATCATAGTTTGACCTCTAGAAAAATACTTCATTCAAAGTGCGAAACGTGATTATAGCTCGAAATCGAAGTTAAATTTATAACCTCAAAGGGTGTATTTAGGAATATATCAAAGCTTTCCACTGCCATAACTTTGTCAAGACTGGTTTTATAGATGATTTGACAGCCAAATGCACAAATCCAATATACTCTTATACTCTTCAGCAGGGAGGGTATAAAAATACGACAAACCTTGTAGTTAAAAAGATAACGTTTTCGTGACTGTCAATCGAATTAACACCCACGCATTGTTGTAGTTGGTATTCGCTGGGCATTCCATGGGGCAGATGCTACCTAAATGTCAGCAGGAGCTTTCACTATGAGAGAGGCAGCAGCTGACAAGTTCTCTGCGCACTCTTTTTCTTGTTTTTTTTTTTTTTTATTTTAAGCTACTAAAACAACATGCATAACTCTGGCCAAATATGTGAGAAGGAGTTTGCTTGAGGAGGAGAGGCATTGGTGCGAGAAGCATATACATATCAATACATGTGCATCCCAACAGGAAAAACTAACGGATGCCATTACCATATAAAGCCAATGCTGACCTTCATTGCAATCACACACAAGCTTCAATAGAGCTGGGAGCTGTTGTTCTTCTATTTACTGGCTTGTTATTGTTGCTATTGTTGTTGTTGTGCATCGATGACTCGTTGACTACCAAAATTAGAAGCTGCTGTGCAGCATTGTCGTCGTCTTGGTCTTGCTCTCGGTCTAAGCAGGTTTGCAGTCGGTCTCTGGCGATGTGTCAACGACTAGTTTCATGAATGAGAGCGCAGCATTGATGCAGACTATACCAGAGGCCGTGAACGTGACTGTGAAAAGATGTGAAACATAAACATTATAGGGTTTTAGCCAAGGGATTATAATATATTATTATATTAACTTTACTTGTAATCTTAATTGGGCTATTTATTATTTCTAACGGCAAGCGTTTTAAGAATCACAATATATAGCTACATGCTTTGCTTTCTTGTATACGATTGTTATTTCAACTTCTTACAGAGCCCCGATAAGATTTACATCAAGGTGGTTGAGTTGGAGCCAAAGATCACAGCGCTTGGCGACAACTTGGATGAGTCGATACACATGCAAAGAGAGCACGATGAAACACTACGCAATCTGCAGGTAAATCCAGACACAAAACTAACACACCAATAATTTTACCTAACCAAGTTGCTTTCATTTTAGAACCTGCCCGGTCCCATGGAGGAGTTCGTACAAAAGGCCGACAAGTTGCTGGCCAGCAAACGAATCAGCTCGGAGCTAGTCAATGCCATGGCCGATACACTGAATGTCATCTGGCAGGATATATTGAATCTGTTGCACGATCGCCAGCATATATTGCACTTGTGCACACAGTTTCACGACAAGATGACGCAGTGTTTCCGGCGCATGGATCAGCTGGAGCTGGCCTGCAGCGAGACATCCCTTCCCACCGAGGTGGCTGGCGTTCAAGAGTTCCTAAACAGATTTAAACAGTTGCGCATTGATATGCTCACCGGTGTGATGGCAGCTCTCAAGGATGGCAATGAGCTGCTGGCTCAGTTGCAGGAGCTGGAAAAGCTCGAGACACTGGACACGCGACCGGAGCACATTAAGCGCGATGCAACGAGAGCTGTGCATCAAGTCCAGCAGTGGCTAGAGGCATTGCACGATCGTCGGAACTCACTGGAGCTCGAGTGGCAGACGCGCAAAACGCAGCTGGAGCAGTGTCTGGCCCTGAAGCTGCTCGGACGTGAGCTCATTGAACTAGAGGCAGCGCTTCAGCAGGCCAGGCACGAGCTGAACACCATGTATAGTCTGGGAGAATGCGAGCACTCATCCAATCAGGCCTTACTCAAGTATCGCCAGTGGAAACAGCAGGCGCTGTTGCTCCGCGATCGCGCTTTGAAAATTACTCGAGCCAAGGAGAAAGTTCAGGCATCGGGTCACTTTGCAGGGGATGAAGATTGCGCTCGTGCCTATGCGGTGCTTAGTGGTTGTACGGAGCACCTGGATCTGGTGGATCAGCGGGAGCATTGGCTGCAGCAGTCACGGGATTTCTTTGCCAAGGCAGAGCACACACTCAGCGTGCTGGAGAAGCTCGAGCTGGAGCTGGCGAGCGTCAAATTACCACCCAATTCACCCGAGAGCTATGCCATGTTTGCCAAGGTATCGCGAGATGTGCGCACATTCACGGAAGAGCCACTGCGCCTAGGCTATGGCATACTGGATGAAGTGGGACGCACACAGCCGGAGACGCAGGGCATTAAGCGTGTCCTCGACGAACTGGAGAACCGCAAGGCGTATGTGGAGGGTATCTGCGCGCACAGCACAGAGGATCATCAGCGTGTCCAGCGGGCACTGTCTGAATTTCTGGCGCAGCACAACGAACTGCTCGCCTGGCTGCGCGCCTCCGGCCACCTGCAGCTGCAGCAAAGCATCAGCATGGGTCGCAATCTACATCAGGCCAAGCAGTTCCTACTGCAACATCATGAGCTAATGCAGGATCTGGAGGTAAATTGGCAGAGCTAACTTACAGAAACTCTCACTCATCCTTCCCCTTTAATAGATCAAAGGTGAACTCATCAATCTGCTGCTTGAGTCGATCAAACAGCATCTGGAATCACTTAGTCCGCAGCAGCGTTACGACGTGGACTCCAAGGCCGAGTCGCTGCACAAGCACTGGATAGAGCTGAAGGATCTAGTGCTGAAGCGCGTCGACTACGTCTCCCTGCTCATTGAGTTCTTCGAGCAGGCCAATGAGCTCTCTAGTCAACTGGATCATTTGCAGCGCCAGCTACTGCAAACGCCCGACGAGCACAAGTTGCAGTTCCTTCAAGCCACATGGGCCAACATCGCCGCCAGCTACGCCGAGCTGAAGTCATCCGGCCAGCGATTCATCAACTTGAAAGTCCGTATAGCTATCCCTAATCTCTCGAAAGTTTACATATTCATTTTGTTGGAATTCTCTCATGTCAGGGCTTTGCATGCCAAATTCTTTTTATTTTCCATTTTGTTACGTCTACGTTTTTATTTTACTAACCGCTGATGTCAGCTGCTGACAGCTTGCACATTTACCATCTGTCCGTAAGATCCAGACTAGACTAATATGCCGCAAACATGATGCAACGCTTGCTATTTTTAGAGCGCTTTGCCTTTTTGCAAAAACAAGCAAACTATGCTGGTCGTTAGCTTATTTTTATGCTCGTCCCCGAACAGGTATTTAAACTATGACACAGAGTAGGCGACAATGATTTAATAAATTAAAGATTATTTTTCTGCAAGGCAAGTCCAAGCTTTGGTATTTGTTCACATATTCTATAAATCGAAATTTGCCCGAATCCCTTAGGAGCTATTTAAGCTCTCAATAAGCACTTGTTACTTGTGCAGTTTCCACAGTTTTGTGAGTGTATTATATCTGTACATAGTTCAAAAACAATTTGAGGTGCTGATTGCATCTTTGGCAAGCAGTGCAGTCAGCAACTTTACTTTACCTGCCACATAAATTTCCAACAATATGATTTCGGTTTTTGGTTTTAACCATAGCCACACCATAAACATATATCAGAAACGACAACGCTATTTTCCCTCTTACATGTTGCGCAGACATTGCTATAGGGTATGTTTGGATGAGGGGGGTTAGGGCGAGGCAGTCGCATAGAAAATTTGAAATTAGAAAATTCGCTTGGCTGCCGACGCCTCGAGTCGAGAGTTGAGTCCATAAATAAAAGCAAAAAGGCAATTCGCGCTGCCTTGTCTATAGATAGAGAGACCTATCTCGGGTTTTGGTCTTGTCTGGTCTCTGGACTCTTGTGCGCCAGAACGCGACAGACCCCGGCCATAGGCAGATGCGTGCCACGTGCCACACGCTCGGAATATTCCCAACTTGTCAGTCAAGCTACTTGAAGACGAAATTTTGAGAAAACCAAAAAGGCAAACGCAAAACTAAAAGAAAAATAGCCAAAAGAAAGAAGAAGATGAAAATACATGAAACTGATTTTATATTGTGCTATTTTTAACGACATCACTGCGTAGATTGTGGATCCATATCTCGAGACGAAATCCTCTGTGCAGGCAGTGGAAGAGACGCTAAACGGCTTCAGTAAGCGGCAAGTCGACGTGTCGAGCAGTTTGGAAAATTGGACAACGAGCATTGCGGAGAAGCGTGAAGTTGAATATCTACTGGAGAAAGTCATGAGTGATAATGAGGAAGTAAGTCCCCGAAAGTAGTTTATCATTTGAAGATCTCCTGATAACATTTTCATTGTTTTTCTCCCGCAGATCGTCGCGAAGAGCACACAGGTGGATACACAACTGTATCCCGTGTTCAGCACATCCAGCTTGGACTCCAAGCAACTGTTGACGAGCACACGCGAGAAGCTCTCCCATGTCACAGAGGATATCGAGCGAGCGCAGGAGGAGATTCAACAGCGCATCCAAACCACACTGAGCATACAGACAAAGGATCAGCACTCGCTTTCCAAGATCGAGCAGGTGATCAACAATCTGCGCATGCTGAAGGCAAAATTGGATGGCATCAAGTACGACTATCGCACCCTCTTGGAGAGTGTGCTGCAGTTCCTCGAGAACATTGTGCAGTTGCGCCGTGAGATCGATGCGTATTTTGCCAAGCAGCAGCAGCCGCAGCCAAAGTCATCGGGCGTGGACCGCACCATTGCCGAGCATGAGAAATTCCGCGAACTGTGCATGGATAAATTTAGATCGTTAATCACACAATCCGAACTGCTGATCGATCGGGTGCGCATATTGGAGCCGCCTGGCGCTCGCGAAATCGACACGGATCGCATTTTGAAGTTGTTGGAGAATTTGCGCATTCACTTCGAGTCGAACAACAGCGCCACGATGTCGTCTCTGGAGCGTCTCGAGAAGATCGAGCTGTTCCGCAACGATCTGGAGGATATTGATCGCAGTCTGGATAGCGTCAGCAAGCAATTGCACGATATTAATGGACAGAGTGTGGATAGTTTAGCTGCTGCCAAGACCACTTCGCTGGCATTCGAGTACTTTGAACGTACCATAGAGGTGAGTGAACTTTCCCAACTAGTACAATACGCTGTAGTATTGTAGTTTGAAAATAAACAAAATTGCAACTGATTGTATTTTAGTTGCGGGAGAAATCTCAGGTATTTAACGCTAATATTAATTTCTAGTGTTCAATGCCCCAAATATTGAAATCGACGCCACATCAGCGACGGTGGGGTCAAACAGCGCAAACAGTGGAGGTAGACTAGTAGTAAACCTAGTAGTATCCATAGACCTATCCAAAATGCATGTGGAAATAGTCTTGCTTTCTTTTTTTGCGCATTGCCTGTTGCCCCTTTTTGGGTGGTCGCAACTCAAATCAACACATACTGTTTCAGTTGCGTGTATGGTGGCAGCCCCGGCTCATTCATCAAATTTCCAAAAGCGTTGAGACATTTTTTCGAAAATAAGTACAAATTCAAATTCAACTTTCAAAATGTTGTCGCTGTCAGCGCAGTGTTGAACGGACAGCGGCAGCTGTCGTTAGTTTGTAATTAAAAACTTGGGAAATACATCTTGCAGCAGATACAGAGACAGATACAGAAGCAGATACAGATACAGATACAGCCACAGATACAGCGATGCACACAGCTACAGATACACAGCTAAAGATACAACAAGACATGAAAAAAAAGAAACAAATTTGAATGCTTGCCACTTGGCTGTTTTAAATATTCACTTCTCTTAGCTGCACATTTGCTGTTATAAATTGCTTTTAACGTTCTGATTTTTATGGATTTTCGGCCTAGACAGATACAAAAGTATCTTTTAAGCTCATTATCGCTGCGCTCAGAGCCCTGCACTTGTGCGTGTGTATATTTGATTGTGTGTGTGTGTGTGTGCGTGTGTGTGTGTTTATTTGCCCAGACATTCGTTTCAGCTGCTGCTTAATGGGTTAATTAGAGGGCTGTGATATTTTTGTCAACATTTTAACGATGATATTTATTTTGCTATCCCCCGCAAAGCTGCTCGAGAAACGCATTGAGAAGTTCACAGAGACGACGAGCCAGCAGCTGCTCATTAGCAATCCGGAAAGCGAATCGTATGTTAAGGACGAGCTGCGCAAGCTCAACGAGAAATGGCAGAGTTTCAAGGACCAAGTGAAACAGAAACGAAAGAGCCTTAATCAGGCAAGCGAGTTTTTCGAGGCGGTCGAAAAGGTAAACACACTTAAATTATTTAATATCCCTTAAATTCACTACTAATAATAATGTACTCTTTAAGATCGATGCGGAGTACCGCGAGATAAGTTACTTCTACAACAGCGTCTCCAACAAGGTGCCCTATTTACGGGATGCCGTCGAAGCGTCCAACTTGGTCAATGACATTGAAAAGTATGTGACCAGTCGGGAAGCGGCTCTACGCTCCAAACTGGACAGCGCGTCACACTGTGCGCACGACATGAGCAAAGTTTCAACGCTGTACAACGATGTGATGAACATATTCCAGTCGTTTATCAAACTTAAGATGGACATCAATGTTGTGCAGGAGCGTCTGAAACAGGAGCAGCGTCAGCGGGAGCAGCGCGAGCGGGATGCACGCGACCAGGCGGAACGGGACCAAGCGATGCGCGAAGCGGAGGCCAAGGAGCGATTGGCTCGGGAGGAGCAAGCGCGTCTGGAGGCACAGCGTCAACAGGCGGCCATTGAACAGGCGCAACGCGAGCTGGCAGCTCGCCAACTATCACTGCGGGAGCAGGCTGTGCGAGAGGAGGAGGCCAGACTGCAGGCGGTGCGTGAGCAGGCGGCAAGGGAGCAACATGCTCGAGAGCAGTCTGCTCGCGAGGAGGAACAACGCATTCAAGCATTGCGCGACATTGCGAAGCGGGAGGAGGAGCTGCGCATGCAAGCTCTGCGAGATGAGGAGGCACGTCTGCACACCAAACGCGCAGAGGATATCCGCATGAAGCGCGAAGAGGAGATCAGACAGAAACGCGAGGAGGAGGTCAGACAGAAACGCGAAGAGGAGATCAGGCTGCAGCGCGATGAGGAGTCCAGACAGAAGCGCGAGAACGAGGCACGCATTCAGCGTGAGGAAATAACGCGTCTACAAACGCTACGCGATCAGGTGGATCAGCAGCGCATTGTCACGGAGAATATACGCAAGGATATACAAGTGAATCAGATATTTACAGAGCTCCGCTATGCCTCCCCCTTGTTTGTGCGTCCTCTGAAGGATGCGTTGACCCGCGAGGGTGAACGCTTCGTGTTCGAATGCGAGGTGACAGGTACTCCTGAGCCGAATGTGGAGTGGTTCAAGGACGGCATCAGCATACAGAACAATGCGGACTATAAGACCAGCTTTGACAAGGGCATCTGTCGCCTGGTCATTGAAGAGACCTTTGCCGCGGATACGGCACGATTCACTTGTCGTGCTTCCAATCTGGTCGGCACTTGCGACACCAATGCCACATTGACGGTGCGTGAGAATGTTGCCGAGCTGCAGCTAGTGCCGCCACGCATCCTGCGCTTCCTTGAGAGCGGCAAGGCAACCGAGGGTACATCCTTCCAGTTCGCCTGCGTGGTCACCGGTGTCCCACTGCCCACTGTGCAATGGTTTAAGAATGACAAATGCATCGATGACTCGCCGGATTATGTCATCAGCTATAACAACGGCGAGGCCACGTTGCGTTTCGAGGAGGTCTTCCTGGAGGATGATGCTGTCTACACGTGCAGTGCCTCAAATCCTGCTGGCATCGAACACTGCTCGGCTAGTTTGATTGTGGAACGTAAGTTCAATAATAACACAGTTGACTTTGCGCCAACTCCTAAATACTGCTCACTTTACAGCACTGGAACCCACTGAGCTGCCTTGCTTCAAGGTGTCACTGCAGAATGCGATGGCGCGTGTCGGTCAAAAGGTCAAGCTCGAGGCACTTGTCAGTGGAATTCCCATGCCCGAGATCTGCTGGATACACAATGGCAAACCGTTCCAGCCACGCGACTCAAAAGTGAGTATAATCTTCTGATTGACTGGGATGGGAAACTTCTGGTTAAACAATGTGAATGTAGTAAACTTTAGGTGCTCAGAACGAACTTCAAATACCCTTGTGCCAAAATTTGTTATTGTTTCTTCAACTTGTGCTCGACATTTTTGGGAATTATTTCGTGCGCAATACGAATTCCAGTCCCAACTGTTGTTCTCATTCTATATCGCACATATAAGAATAATATTTGTATATGGCAAAAAAACAGAGAAGGAAAATATGGCACTGAGTTCAATTGCCTGATCGCCCGATCATACAGATATATAAATCTGAGTATATTAACAAACTTTGCTGGAACAGCAAAAAGAGTGAAATATCTGACGCCTGGTGGGCGGATTCCATGTATGAACATACATACATATGCCATATATGTATCTTTATTTGAGTTAACATTTAGTTTCATAAAATACTCAATGAACATGCTTCTAGATACGCTTTGGATGCTGACGTCAGCGTTGCGTGTATGCCTATCGCCACGTCCACATCCAGAGAAACACAGGGGGTCCATCATTAGCATCATCAGATAGGCGCTTCTGTATCTGTATCTGATTGCAAAAAAAAAAAAAAAGCAGAAACCGCAACAAATTCAAGGCAAATGTTTTAAAAATACGCCGACGCATAGAAGACGCACATGCAAAACTATAAATTAGCCAGCCTAAGACAAAATGCCCCGTTTTTCAGTTGCAATATTTGTATTATTATTATTATTACTATTTTTATTTTTTGCTTTTTTTTGTCATCTTACGTCGTGGCAAGTGCAACGAGCCGTACGGGCGGCACAAATCCAATTCACCACAGTCATCGTTCGTCGTGGGCGCTGTCAGACAATTTGTTTATTGTGGGCGCCGTTTTTCAGCACAACATATGTATACACATAGCAGAGATACAGAAACACACATACATATGTGTGTGTATGTGTATATGCTATATGCTATAAAATTTTGATTTAATTTCGCGATTTTTATAAAGAGAAAAACGCTTTTGGCGAAATGCAAAATGATTTCATTGCTTTTAATTGGCTTTTTGACAAAGTAAAACATGATCTCATTGCGCTTAGCTGATTAAACAATTAAACGAAGACCACTATTTACAATAGTACAACGATTATATATCTATACTAATATTGTTCCATTTAATTGGAACAACACCTGTGCTCTCAGAAGCTTCCTGTAATTTGGGGCTAAACAAAAGCGCTTTTCCAGTTTTTGGCGAAAATAAACAAAGCGCCGGGCCAAATATTATTATGTTGGAAAATGCCGCACCGGATACAACGCACTCACGGACCGCACATCCGTGCGTTAAACTTAAATAAATGTTGGGGGGTGAGAATGGGTGTAAATGAAAATTAGATTGCAAAAACCACACAAAGCACAGAAACTGGCACAAATTGAAAGCATTAGCCATTTGCTGTATTTGTATTTAACACACGGCCCGTCGTCGCTTTGTTCACCATGTGGTGAATACAGATACAGATACTTTACATATTTCAATTTTAATTTTTGAAATTTCAGTATGAAAACGGCCGCGTAACGTTCATAATACCGCAAGCTTATCCCAACGACGCCGGATCCTACGTGTTGAGTGCTAAGAACTTGGCTGGCGAGGCATACACCAGTTGCAATATCATTGTCAAAGGTCGTCTACCAAACGAGACGTCCGATTCCGAGATGGCCAGCGATATTGAGCCCATCAGGCCGGCGGTCCATATACCGCTCAAGGATGTATCCATTTTCGAAGGGAAACCGGTGCGTTTGGATTGCGTGATTGTGGGTCAACCGGAACCGGAGGTCATTTGGTATCATAATGAGCGACCTGTCAAGGAATCGGCAGATGTGCAGCTCCTCTTCCAGGGCGATCGCTGCTCTCTCTTTATACAGGAGGTGTACCAAGAGGATGCGGGCAATTATAAAGTGGTTGCTATCAATTCGGCGGGTGAGGCCTCCAGCAGTTGTGATCTGAAAGTGACGCCGCTGAACATGTCAGAGCCAGCGACACGAGCAAATGCAGAACGCCAATCGCTGCCTAAGGATTCGCAACCGAAATTCGAGCGATTACTCTCGGATGTGCTCGTTGATGAGGGGGAGCAGGTGGTGCTGGAGGTGCAGACTAGTGGCGATCAACCGATGCGAGCACAGTGGTATCTGACCAACAAGGAACTGCAACTGGATGAACGTGTCACAACAAAATCCGATGCAGAGGCCGGCATATTCAAGCTTATCCTCAACAATGTGGCTGCCAGCGACAAAGGCGTCTACACGGTCAAGGTCTCGAACAATGCCGGCGATGCCAAGTGTTTCTCGCATTTGATTGTCAAGTCGGTGAACGCGCCAGAGAATCGTCGGAGTAGTCAATCATCTGTCGAGATCGTCGAGCGACATGTGTGCCCCGAGTTCAAGGAGCTCTTCAGTGACAAGCAGGCGCACATTGACGATGTCGTCAAGTTCGAGTGCATTGTGGTTGGCAAGCCGACGCCCAAGGTGCATTGGTATTTCAATGATCAGCCGGTGCATGGACATAATTTTCTGGTATCCACTAGCGGTGACCGTCAGGTCCTGACTATACAGCAACTGACCCATGATGCTGTCGGCAAGATCAGCTGCGTCGCCGAGAATGAGGCCGGCAAAGCGACTTGTGTTGCCTTCCTCAATATCATTGGTAGTGGTCCGCTGGCCAGCAGCAATGTGCAGTCAATGACCCAGGAGCATAATACCGAATCCTCGCGTGTGACGATCAAGAAGCAAACATTTACCACCACCTCCACATCGCAGGTGAATTCGTACGAAGGCAATGTGCCACAAACCGAGGTGCATCACTCCTCGGCGCACATTGATCAGTCGCTCAAGCAGCTGGGCCAACAGCGACCAGAGATCGTCGAGACCCATAACTACCAGGAGCTGCACAAGAGCAAGGAGATGAGCAGTCCCAGCGTGCAGCAAAAATCATTCACGCTGGTCCAGTCCACAAATGGATCCTCACCGCTGCCCGCCCTGGCAATGCCTGAATCGCCGACCCGACTGCGCAAAGAGATTGCACCACGTTTCACCACACCACTTACGGGCAGAATTGTGGATCAAGGTGCCAATGTTAACATGGAGGCCATCTACGATGGTTATCCCTCGCCCGAAATCAAGGTCGAGAAGAACGGTGGCCAATTGTTCGACAATGCGCACACAAAGATATCCAACAAGTGCAACCGTGTGACCATTGAATTGAAGGAGGTGGGCGTGGCTGATGCTGGACGCTACGCGGTAACTGCATCCAATGCAGTGGGCCAGTCAACAAGCACCGCGGATTTGGTTGTAAAAAGTAAGTAGATTATTATAGTATTTATATTACCCGTTTTTATAATCTTGGAGTGTAAAGGATCACAGTTTTTGGTAACAAACATTTTCCTTCAGCTTCTCATTCTATTTTGAAAATCTGAAGCTTATCTGTTAGCGTCACGCAACAAACTTAATTAATTTTCCAGAAATAATGAGCTAACCAATGTATAGTACATAAAAAATGGGGTCATACATATGGCCTATATCGTATGTCAATATTTGTACGTCCGTCCGGCCATGCGCCACATCAATCAGTTGGGGAGCATTAAAGTGTCATTGTCGGGGGCGTCAATAGATCTACAAACGTCAATGCCGCCATTTTCACATATTGATGAGTTTTTAGGTGGCGTTCACTGGTTTTGTTTATATTCACAAAAATATTTCTGCTCCTAGGAAAAAACTTGCCCAATGCAAACGTTCTGCTTCTTCTTTTTTTCTACACAAAAATTTCTAAATAATTTTTAGTTTGCTCGTGTTGGGGGTGGAGAAAAGTGGGCAATAATTATGTAAATTCTGTTGAACACAAGTTTTTGTTCATTTACTCGGTGCTTAGCGGTCTTGTCGTCTTGTGTGGTTGAAAATAAAATTATTTTTACTGCCTGTCTACATGAATTACTCATTTTCGCTGATCATTCAGTCGGCTGTACAAGTAAATTATTTTTGCGAGATCTTTAAGATATGTTGCAATGACATACAAATGCTAATATATATTTTTATTGAATTAGCATTTGCTGTTGTGTGGTTGGTTGTGTGTTTTGTGGCTTTTTGAATTGAAAGTGGTCTGCAGAACTTTAAGTAAACCACAACATATGGGCCACAAATGTTGGCCAATTCGTTTGCTAATGACTGCTGCTGACTTCTTTCATTCTCCAGAGACCATCTTTCCACCAGTCTTCGGTCGACGCTTGCAGGCGCAGGTCAGCAAAAAGGGTGAGAAATTGATCATGGAAGTGGAAGTCACAGGTTTGCCGGAGCCAACAGTCACTTGGCTCAGGGACGAAGTGCCAATCAAGGATGCTGGCATCTCCGAGCATCGTCTGCTTGCCCAGGGCAACACCTACAAGCTGATCATCGAGAGAGGTGAGCAATCTAATATGCTGCTTCTTACGAAATTATTTACCAAGGAGCTCAGTATTTAGATATGCTTATTTGATAAATACTTCCTAGTTACTTGCTAAAGAGTTCTTTACTTTCCTTGTTGTGCAGCACAAACGACGGACTCTGGCAAGTATATGGTGAGGGCCACCAATGCTGGTGGTGAGGCGAAGAGCATTGCAGATTGTGCCATATTGGAGCCCTCGCCGGAACGCATGCAGGAGGTGGTCAGGACGATTGTCTATGAGACGCCGGCAGCTAGTGAATTCAAAACTGAAGTAAGTTTGCATGTGCTCAATTTTTAAAAATACAAACGATTATCTGCCATATCCACCTGATATTGTATTTATCTTATGACTGCAACTCTCCTACCCTATTTATCTACTTTATCGAACTGTCAAATCTATTCTATTCTATACTATACTATAAATTATTTATTCGACTTGTTACGTTCTTGACATGATTTATACATATATAATAAATAAATCTTGTGAATTTCTTCTCTCATTGATTTCGACGTTGTTCGTTTCGCTTTGCTCATTACATACGACATGGGTTCTCATGCAAACAACATAAATATACACATATATATATATACATATATCCGAATCTGAATCGTATCATCAATCGTACCGACAACACAGCCCCAGTCTTATCAGACTAATCAAAGCGATGCAACCACTGCCAACGATCTGCATGGCCTGTCCGAGTCGAAAGTAACCACTGAGCATCGTTGCACCACCGAGGCAACGATGCGACTAGAGCACAAATCGACGTATCTAGACCTGCCCGAGCTGAGTCCACGACCAAAGACACCAACCACCACCAACATCGATAATAAGAACACTGCCAGCCCAGATCAGACCGATACACAGACCAGTTTCAAGACTGGCATTACACAAACCCCACCGCAAGTGCCACCCAAACCCTGTACGCCTGTGGTGGCAACACCCTTTGGCCAGCAGCCACTGCAGTTGCAGCAACCACTTTCACAACAACCACCGCAGATGCATACGCAAATCAACACCAGGTATGAGAGCCGCAGCAGCGAAAAGAAATCGTCTTCTTCCTTCGAGTACTTTAAGAAGATGGACGAGGAGAGCGTCACCCAGCGACCCAAACCACTGGCCCAGAGGCCATTGGAGACGTTGGTGCGTCAGCCCCAGGCTCAGAGCCTGGCCGAAGAATTAAAAAGCATGAATCTTATACCAGGAGCGCCGCCAGAGTTTTGCTACACGCCCAAAGGCGAGAAGCAGTTGCCCAAGCCACCGCTCATCAAGGAAAAGATCAAGCTCCTTCAGGAAGTGCAGCCTATGGAGTCACCACCACAAGGTGGTGTTCCCGTCTTTCCACCGCCGCTTAATCTGACGAGCATGCAACATGAGACCACATTAACCAAGGAAGTAAAAGTGGAGTACGGTCAGCCCATTGTGCGTCCAGCGGCGGTGCTCGCTACTCCAGCACAGCAAAATACACGTTCGCCATCTCCAAAGCCATCGGCGGAAGGCGTGGCAATGTCCAAGCTGTGGACTCCCATCGGTGTCCCTGGCTACACAAGTGATGTGGAGCAGAAGACGGAGCAACAGATCAACGTTACTAAGCTGTCCTCCCCGACGCCCACCAAGGAGCTAAATGCACCCTTCCTGGTGCAGCAGGTTGCCAGAAACATAACGCCAGCTGCACCAACGACGCCCACAGCGGCGCCAGTCACTCGACTGATCAACGTGCAACTTGAACCAGGCACTCCGCCAGAGATCTGTTATGCTCCGAAGCAGCCACAGCAGCAGGAGGAGGTGCGTCGCCATTCGTTGGTGGAGAGCATGGAGCAGAAATTGGAACAGAATCTCATACAGGGTCCCAGCAAGGTGCTGCCCCATTCGGTGCCTACTCTAACCCCGGTCGCACCACCACTCAAATCAAATGGCTCCACCCATCGTCCACCGCCACCGGTGATGCCCAGCCGGCTCGGTCCCCGGGAGCTTTACGAGAGTGACTACGAGAGTGATCGCTACAAGTACAGCGGAAGTGAATCTGATGAGCCGGGAAATCGAGCACGCCAACAACAGGCCACCATGGAGTCATCGTTCAAATCGAGTGGCTACGCTGCCGATACGGAGGAACACTCCAGCTATCGCAAGTCGGAGACTAGTTTCTATGAGACAAAGTCTTCATCTTCAGCGAATGCCGCACCACCCAAAATGCAGCCTGAGCCACCGGCACAGCTGTACTTTACGCCGCAGGCTGCACCACCAACCCAAACTAGCTACAATCAGGAGGCGAAGGTTCGCATCTCCCACTCTCTCCGTCTAATCTTGTCTCTAAATGTGTTGTTGTCGTTGTTGTTGTTGTTATGTGTAGCACACACTCACTGTGTTTGTGTCTATCTCGCTCCGTCTATTGTTGTTGTTGTCCTTATTTAACCATCCTCATAAGCTGCTGGCTTGCCCCTAACTCTCATAAGCATTAGCTGAGCTGCCATTAAGCACATTGCCATATTTAACATTGCGATTTTGTTTCGAGATTATTTTGAAACTAACCATTACGAATATATTAGTATAATGTAATACGAATTATATGTTTGTGTTGTTTTCCTAAGCCATATCAATGTTTTAAGTAAAGTGTATTTGTTGAAATCAGTGCGGGCCAAAACTTTTGCGCTTGTGTTGAGCAATTAAAAGCTGTCCTACACAATTACTGGCGTAGCATGTGAAATAATAAAAGCTTTCTTGTGTACATGTGAAAGCTCACATAAAAGCTTGTAACTTGTGCTTAAGACTTGGTCCACACTGATTTAAACACTTTACTCACTATTTCTATGCATTTGCCTGATAAGTAACACAATTTATTTGTTCTCTAACTACATGTTATACATTATATGCGATCCTCAATAAACATTTTGCGCATCTCTTTCACAGAACTACAAATACACGTCGTCGAACATGACGAGCAACATGCGACAGAGCAGCAGCAGCTCCACACACCACGAGACCAAGTTCTCATCGAATGCCACGCCTGTAATTAGCCAGCCCCAGCCCAGTCCGGTGCCGGCGCAGCGTAAAACACCCGCCACGGAATTCAGTGACTACAGCAGCGAGGTGGACGAACGTTTCCGTTCGGTGTCGCGTGCCAATGAATCCGACTCGGATATCAAAGGCTATCGCGTGGTATTCCCACCAACACCGACACCACGTACCAATATCGCCAATGGCCACAAATCGCCCGTGGTGGTAGTGACGCCATCGCCCATGGAGTTTGAACCAATGCCAGCCGAGTTGGGCAGCTATACGCGCCCCAAATTCGAACCCATTGGTAAGGAGATACGCCACGAGATCAAAACGGAGTCCAGCTCCAAGCAGTACCATTCACGTCAACAGCAGCCACAACAACATGTCTTCAAGCCCAAACCGGTGGCAGCCAAGTTCATAGCAGCAACCCAACAACAACAGCAACCGCTGCCCACATCACGTCCAACCATGTATTACAATGCCGTAGCTGGTGCCCCAATGCATACGGCCAAGGTGGCCCACGAGACGAAGAATGTGATGCAGATGCACGAGTCGACGGAGAGCTCTCAGCGAGTTGTTAACATGCAGCAGACCAAGCGCATCATTCACTTCGACAATCAGCAACAGCAGCAACAGCCTGCCTTGGAGCCCTTCCCTTATAGTCCGGCGGGCAGTCGGACGCCTTCGCGTCAGTCACACCTGCCACCCCCGGCCACGCCTACCAAGTTTACACCCGGCGAGTTTCGTGAGAGCGACTACGAGAGCGAGGTGGAGGGCGCTAGGATTCAGCCCCTGTGGTCACCCTGTGGCGATGGCCTGACAAAGGGTTATCGTCGTGTGGCAGCGCCACAGTCTGGCGGTCGCTCCTGCAGCCTGCCGCGCACCTACGAGCGAGTGCTGTCGCCCATGGAGTTTGATCGTGGACCAGAGATGCCCAGCAAGATCCATGTCGATGTGAATACGTTGCGCAAGGAGCAGCGAGGTGGCAGCACGGTGACCACACAGCATCGCACCCAGTCCTTGAATCGCAAAAGCACAATGCAGCAACAGTATGGCAACAATAGGCTGCCAGATGGCTCCATGGATCAGACGGATCAGCAACAGCAGCTAAGAGGAGGCACCTTGCCACGCTCTGCCGGCTACAGTTCACTGCAGCAGCAGGCGGAGGGTCAGGGCCGGCGTATGGGCTCTACGTTCCTGCAGAAGTCGCATCAGTTCATCGAGGAAGTAAGCAAGGATATGGATAGTTCGAATGTTGGACTGCGTCCAGGATTCAGGCGTGCGCCCAGTGAGGGCAGCAATCAGCCGCAGGCCTACAGAGATGAATCGCGTGTATCCCAGTATGGTAAGTACAGTGAATACTCGCTTTAAACTATACTAAAATGGCAGTAGATATATCCAAAAACCTAAATTGGTTCCATTTTAATTGGTATTGAAATTTGAAATTTGATATGGAAGATTTGAAAATGATATTCTTGGTTTTGAGTGCCTTTTTTCTACTAACAACCAAAAAAACAAACTTATTTTGTATATGTTAAATATTAAGTTTTGTACAAACCTTTCCAATTGTCGAAAAAACAAAAACCAAACCAAAAGGCACCAAATGCGTCGATCCCAATACCGGTTTAATCTATTTCAAATACGACTTTGGCTACGAGTTCGGCATACTCTTTCCCGGCGAGGGCCACAAGTTCGTGAGCAGCCAGTGGAACAGCAAAGGCGGCACCAGCAACAACAACAGCCTCAACAACTCCTCCAACTGTTCCACCACCAGCATCCACCATAGTCGCAATGCGCCGTATCCGCTGAAGCTAGGCGCCGGCAATGAGTTGGTTATACCCGTGCAACACGAACGCACACTGGGCAGCAGCGCCCAGCCCCTACAGGGCTACAGTTCCGACAGCGAGACGCAGCGTCGCAGCTATGCGCGTGTCAAGGCGATGGCGCCACGCATATACGCCCAGAAGCGCTACAGTCTGCCCAGCGGCCACAGCCTCGACATTCATCTAGATCGCCTGCATGCGCAGGCACCGCGTCTGCCGCCCGAGCAGATGGTGCGCACAGGTATTGACTAAGTGGCAAGGATGCCATCGCCATCGGATGCAATCCAATCTAATCCAGCCTATCTATCGATGTTGTCAACTAGTCTAGGACACATTGTCGTTACTGTTGTTGTTAATCTCACTTATTGGTCGCGGTCACCAGCAGCATTCATTGTTTGATTTTCAAGAAGGATTGCTAAAAAGTCTTAAAATCAAAATATAAATTTGATTGTACGAATTGTAAAGTTTATTGCAATTCAAGAAGAAGATCTTAGAAAGGAAATTCCATGATAAGTGCTGTTATGGCTTATTCGTTTACGCTCTATGCTAACTGTTCGAATGAGATACCTAATGAAATACGAACCTTAACTCATTCAATCAGTTTGAAAAGTCCTTGAGGCGTGTTTACTCAAATGGAGTCAATACAAGTCTAATTGACCACGCTTACTCAGTGATTATTTATAGAAAATAACTGCTGGTGTCTGCCGCCATTAGCTTTGCAATCGTCATTAAGTCGTAACAGCAGTCGTTTTATCACGGCGTATACTTGATTTAAGTGCCTCTTTTGCTAACCCCATCAAACTGCATGATAACCGATGTTTTTTTGCATGAATTACTTTGTGTCTTGTGCCACGTTTATTTGTTTTGTGTCTTGTGCTTTAAAGTGAATATAAATATATACAATTTAAGAAAGAAAAAAGAATGTTTATGTAAATAAACTCGTTGCTCGTTGTTTGCCTTGCTGCGTGTTAATCTCACTAATGGACCGCTGGCTAGCCCGGCAACAAAAGCTGCAGTTTCTAATGTCTTTTGTCCAACATCATTAGTGCCGGAATTGCCCAATACGGAGCCAGTCAATGCCCATTTGAATCGCGATGAGCTGGCACAAAGGCCTCCCTTATTCATAACGGTAAGTGAAGTCATTAACCTGACCCGCGGACTGACCAAACTAAGCTCTCTCTCTCTCTCTCTTTCGATGTGTGGCAGCCACTGAAAGACATTGCGGTGGGTGTGGGTGGCACAGCACGGTTCGAGTGCATTGTGCAGGCGCATCCGCAGCCGCAGATTAACTGGACGCACAACGGATCTAATTTGGAGCAGTGGGGCGGAAACAGTGGCAGCAGCAGCAGTCGTCGGCATATCATTGAATACCGGAACGGCGTGTGCCGTCTAACACTGCCCCAGGCGTATCCGGGTAAGCAAAACAATTCGTAATTTGACTGCCAGCCTCGGCGAGAGAGCTCATTAATCGTTTCACCGTCATTTGCATTTGCAGTTGATAATGGGAGCTACGCTTGCAGCGCCATGAATCCCTTGGGGGCGGCCAGCACCATCGGAAATTTGAACGTTTCGAGCATAAATCGTGGATTTAGATATTAAGCATATTTATATATATATACATATCTTTATTTATTTACTTATGATTTGTTCATGCCAAAGGTTTTTACATTTTTATTGTGTGTGTGCGTGTCCTTTAATTCTGTTATTTGGTTTTGATTGAATGCGAAAAATCAAAACTAAAAACCCCCCACTACGTTCATGTTGAGGGAGTATAGTATTACTTGTGTTTTTTCTTGTCGACAATTACAATAAATCAAATCAAAACGATCCATTTGTTTTACTATCCTATCGTATAATAATCAGAATTCTTCAACTGATCTGCCTTTTCCGTTAATGGATCAGTTTTCCTTTTTGAATTTCTACTCGGCAAAAGCTCCTTTCTTAGCGCTCTCTGTGGGCAAATTGACGCATTCAGTTCGAAAAAGCTATATTCGGCTACCCGAAAGCTTTCGAACAGGATTTTAGCGTTAGATGGCGCTGAGTGATCGTTGTCCATCGATCTTCTAAAATCTAAGATAAAATCTTTTAAAAACATATATAAAATGAAGTGAAATCTTTTGTAAATATACAATGGCAACCAGCCAATATTAACCATATGAATAAATAATATACGCGTTTGCGGACAAGAACGTATGTTTATATTATAGTTTTCAAGGCCTTAAAGCTAAATATTAATCATAAATTACCAAGTGCAAATTCCTTTAGTTAAGACATTTTGTTTGATTTAGTAAATAGCATGCCAAATGTTAATGCCTACTTATGAATTTTCAAGAAGCGAGGAGAGCTCAAAAAGTACTTTATTAATGCACAACAAATTGGTCTTTAAATGTCCATATTCTAAAAATCCCACTATTTATTTAAACTTGACAACTACTTAAATCTAAAAAATAGGTCAGCTAATTGGGAGGCCAGATGTTTTGGCTGCGATTCATTAAAAAGATTCAAGTGTTTTCTGAAACAACATGCTGTCGCGAAATCAGGCAATACGATTTATCAAAATAATATTTTAGAACACGAAAAATCAAAACGGAATCGCTAAAACAAATGTTGATTTTCCTCTTCTTTTCTTTGCCCAGGAAAGGGGGCCATGTGTGGGTGGGTGGGTGTGTGACTGACTAAATGACTGACTGACTGACCGACAAGCCTGTTATTGTTGTGTGTGTATGTGTGTGATGTTCAGTTTTTGTGTTTGCTGCTCATCATAAACGATTTATTTGAATTTTAACATTGTTTATTTATCTATTTTTCTCTCGAATTTTCAAAGTATTCATCTGTTTTTCGTCGCAAAATGTGTGCAAAATGCGATCGCTTGCCAAGAAAATGAAATGAAACAAACCGCGCAATATGTGAGAAATGCTTCGCTGACCCAGAGGCCAGACATAATAAACACTCGAGCCGAAAACATCAGGCCGATGGGCCCCTGTCAAGGTGGCTCGTCGCAAACCCAAAAAACGAGATAAATAGAAACTAGCCCAAAATTTAGTCCATGTCCTTGACACTGACCAAATACTATACCATAATACCTGATTGGCATATGGGTTATTTATAGTCGGCTGATTCGAAAAACAATTTTGGATGACACACTTTAAGCTAATGCGTGGGCGCAAAGTGCCTGCCAAACTGCCAATTCTCGTGTACTTGGCCAAATTGTACAGGTCTTTAGGCCACCTGAGCAATACAACAATACAATAAAATTGGATGGTAGTCAAGAAAAGTGAATCATTTGTCAATTACTTAGTGCACCTCTGCGATAATTTCTTTCAATTGGCCTGCAAGAAAAATACAAATCGTTTCGCATTGCATATGTACATGTTGACATATATATGCCATATGTTTGCAAGACTTTTCATTCAAATGATTCACAGATTTGTACATTTTCAACTTGATAAAAAATAAATAAATATCAAGAGACATAATAAGTACGATTTTCGTAGATGAGGCAGCCCGACTAGGAAATACCCTAAACTCTGGCTTTTACTTCTCATCTTGAACTTTGTAAATCAAAACGTTAAAAAATGCCTATTGAAGTTATGCAAGTTGAACATTTAAAACCTATCAAGTGGATTTTTTTTGGGATACAACTTTTTACATGAATTCCAACCGAAAATGGCGTTTCCAATTTGAAATGTTGTCTTAACATAAATATAAATACTTGGCCCAAAAACTGCTTTTTAAAATCGTTTCAGTTTTTGAGGAGATTTCGGACCTTTCTTTTTTTTAGCTATTCGGATTGGATTCAGGTTATAAAAATGGCACATCTTGCTTTGTTTTGGTAAACGTTTTAGTTTTACTGGCCTTGTGCAGCATTTTTTTGGCACATTCACCAATTTGAAATGCTGCTCAATATAAACACATACTCTACCATAATGTTTTGCCAAGATATATTGGAATTGTTATACTGTAGCTTTGTTTCAACTATTTCACTGGTGGACATATATATATATATATATTTTTTTTTTTTTGTGTTCATATTTCTTTTTCAAGTACAAATAGTTTTCACAGTTTATGCTGGACATGATTTACGGTCCTGCGGCAATGAAGCTTTCATCGATGCTTATCGCCACGCGTTCTCGCATTGTCCACAAAATCAACGAAAATCCGTTTTGGAGATCGAAAGAAAATACGCAACATTTTTGTGTGATGAATATGCCGCAGCTATACAAACATTCGTTTGATGCTTTTTCTCGCTCTGATTTTCTAAATTAATTAGGCAATTTCTAAAAATACGCTATGAACTCAACGCCAGTCACAGCAAAAATTCTTTCTTTTCTATGACTACTTTAAATTGTTTAATATTTTGCCCACTTATACCAGTCTGCACTTCAGCAGCAGGCCAATCTCATTGAATGTCCATACTCCTAAAAAAGTTTCGCATGAATTGTATATTTTCCCTACTGCCTAAAATGATTCTTTCTCTAAGAACACATTCAACATGGAAATTGGTTCAGCTATGATACAGAATTTAAATTTAAATGAATACACAATATTCATGCCGAAATTCTACCACTTTATCCTTATTCATATACTAAATTATTTTCTGCTACTTGAATTATATATATTCCATTACCAAGTTTTATGCGTTGCCAATTCGGAACTGAGTGCTCTGTGTACATTATTTGAATATTCGACCATCAAAGCAGAGACTGGCACTTGTCTTAAATAAATAATAATAAAATATTTCCGCATGGGTGTGTTTGTCAACTTGGCAAATTTATAGATATAGTTTTAGATGTGGTGGGGATATATACATTTGCTTAATAAACATTAGATTTAAGCCAAAATGTATACATGGTATATTAGCGAATAAAATTTGATATTATAAGCAGTTGGGCGCATCGTTAAAATTGTTTTCCTACTTGACCGCCTACGAGGACTGTAATTAATGCAGACGCCCAGAAATTTCAAAAAACTACGCAAATTCAATGTACGGAATGTGCTCGAATAGTTGTAGTACTTCATTTTCTAAGCACATCGTATATTTAGCGAGCATTCAAATTGTAATGTGTAAACATATATTTTAATTAGCTATAAGCGAGCTAAGAAGACGCCTTAATATCAAATCCCACAATACACAAAATTCAATTATATAATCCCCAATTTGACAGACTGTCCGATTTACACATGTATATCGCTTTATAAGCACCACATAGTAGTCCGTATGGCACGCGTTGAACCTGCCACTTTTCCCCCACTTAGCTCGAACAACAAATGATTGCCAAAATGTTGGCAGCAAATTTATTTATACGCACGCTGTAAATTAGCAACAAAATGAAAATAGCAAGAAAACAATTGCAAATGCAGCACTGTGAATTTTATTTAAATTTAACGAGAATAAGGCCAAGTTTTCAGCATCAACAACATTTCGCGCACGCAATTTCGCATTCAAGTGCGCTCAATGCTCGTAAATATGCTGTTAATTGCCAAAAAAAACACATACACACAAACAAACAGCTAACAAAGAAAGAACCATTAAGCAGGATGCGATCGGAAATTTCATAGTTTTTACCAAGTCTTAATTGAAATTGAAAAGTTCAAAACACAAAGCAAACAGTGTATGCTACCCATAATAACCATAAAGCCAAAACAATTGCGTATCTCAAATTGCGTGTTCAAATTCATTACAGATCAGGGCACACAAACGGATTGCCTGCTCATCACCGAGGATGAGGAGGAACCAAAGCAGCTGAATGGCAATAAAACGCCACTGCGCAAATCCGCTTCCTTTTCATCCTCAACAACAGCCCAATCTCAATCGCCGGGCAGCTCATCGCTGGGTTCGGCCACATCGACAATGTCGTTGCGCTCCTCAACGCCACAACGCGCCGCCAACAATCAAAATCAATCGGGTTCATCGCGTACTCTGCGCAGCGATACGATCAACACATTTCAGAAATGGGAGACGACCGTGGAGTCGATTAGCTATGTGAGCACCAAGACCGTTTCCATATCGGACCTTAGCCAGGAGCCGCAGCTGCAGGCCCAAGCAGGTAAACGAATTCAGTCAACCAACTAACTAACTGGGTTAAGCTTTAATATGCGATATTTTGCTTGCTTTTTTGTTTACTAACAAACAGCTCGTTATTCATAAGCTAATGCATCAGATACATTTTGATTGTAAACAACTTTTTCATCGGCGATCTGGAAAATTGTTACCTACAAAATGGGCTGTGCCCGCACACACAATTAGACAAATATATACACAGATATATATATGTATGTATATATACATATATATAGTGAGTATATGTGCGTGCATATTTCGAATATCTTTTAAGATACCGCATGTAAAATCACTAAATATAGATTACAACCACACGCACCGCATCGCAGCACATTGCAACTTTCATTTAGACAGAGCAACAGAGAGAGAGAGAGAGAGAGAGAGAGAGAGACAGCTAGAGAGAAAGAGAGAGATGAAGAAAGGGAGAGAAGGAGTGACAACATCAACTCTCGCTTTCTGTCTATCTACATGCGACTCTTGTGTCTAATTGTATAAACAATTGATATATATGAAAAAAAGACCACATTTAGACATTTTATACGTAAATTGCAGCTGGAGGCGCAGCTCGTTTCATTTCGTTTCGGTTTTCTGCGTTTGCTGAAATTTGATGCTTACACATATGCGCTGACTGCATGACAGCGTCTGTGTGGCAATAAGATACAAAAGTATCTTAAGAGTTGAACTGCTGTGCTTTGCTTGGGGTCGCATTCATTCGCCTCTTCTGGTGGGGGTGCATTCGCATTCGCCTTCGCATTCATTTCATTTATTTTCTTTACTCTTTACTGCATATCATAAATTCCCAAAAAGAAAAAAAAAAACAAGTCCTGCATGCGGCATTCATTCCACTTGTATGTGTGTTTGTGTTATCAAATTATGAACCTAATTGATATGCGACTATTCTTCTTCTTGTTTGCAGTAAATTGAATGCAGTGCCTCCACTGAGATGGGCCCAAATCCCTACAACACAAAAATACAACTAACTAAGAGCTACTAAAATAAAATGAACACAACAAGAATAACTTAATTTAAGCAATTGCCTTATCATTATCTACTTATTACAACTAAAAAACGAAATTAAAAAAGTATAAAGAATATTAATATTACTAATTAAAGCAAAAAAATTATCTGCAGTTCTCAGTTGTCTTATTTTGTGTGTTTAGCAGCATTCTATAGTCATGACATAATTGGACGAATATTTTTTGCAAGTCGTGTGCGATAAGATAGCCTCTGACTCTGGCAGTCAGATAGATTGCTTTTAATCTAAGACACAGCTGACAACGAGCAGCAAACTAGAAGATACATTTTGTAGCGCATCGCTGCAATCGGCGGCTGTCTTGCAGAACCGACTAACTGTTCTTGTTGTTGTTATACTACTTAGAAGTAGGCTTTGGATATGCTGCGTGCGTCTTTTTAATAAATTTTTTTTGCTTATCTGCCACCGTCGCGTCGCTTCACCTATGGCAGCAGATACATTTGTATCTCAACAGTGACAGAGTCAAGCTGGCAGCTGTGCGGCTCGCTGCGCGTCTTAACATTTAATTCTTGGCTCGTAATAAGTGATTTCATAAGTGTGCCGGTTTCCAAAAAATCGCCAAGCATGTTAACAATTAATTTGTGCAGTAAAGCTAAATAACGTACTTACAATTGATAGCATTGCCAACCGGGTCTCCTTATAGAGCTCCACTCAATGATCAGCCCATATATAACCAAAGCAAACGCAACTCAAACGCAACTCGAGTTGTAATTTGTAAAAACTACGATTGTTTTTACGTTTTGCTAACGAAATAGAAAGTTTATTGGCAAAGGCGTCACTCGCTGCTGAAATTTGTTTTTTTTTTTTTTGGTTTTTTGGTAAAAATGAAAGAAGACGAAATGTTTTAAAAAGATCTTGGTCTTGATGATTAACACTCTAAATGAATAATCAAAACTATATGTAGCGAAAGCAGCGAGCCAAATTTTATGTATGTGGTTTTAAATTTAGACAAACAAAATAAATTATGTGGAAAATTTGAAAATTTGATGCAACAAACACATTAGACACACCTAATTAATAATAACAGACACAAAGAATATATACAACATTTTATTATATAGAAAAATCTTACACCTTGTGGGAGACAGAGTACTTTCAGTATGCACGAGGTACATTCTGGAACTTGTAGATACATTTTAGCGATGAGTGTATGCACTTTATTGTCCACTTTTACAGTATCTAGAATTTCGATAGATTTCTTAATTTTTTTTATTTTGTTCTGCACACAAATGTTGAGAAATACGTGTCAAAAATAAATCGAATTGTATTTTTAGCTTACTTATTCAAAACCCGAACACTTGCCGAAACACAGCGAAGAGCGTAGCAAGGAAAATGAGTGTGAGATGAAAAGCTTTAGATTTTCCAACAAGTCAAACTGCTGTGTGCCAATGGCAAACTTTTAATTAAATGGGCATCCAAAAAGCACAGCAATTTGACTTGGCAGATGGGTGCAGGCTAAAATTGAGATCGATCAGACTGAAAGACGTGCAAAGTCGATGCCTCAAGCTGCTATAGCAATTAAGTGAAGAAAAACTTGTCAAAGCTGATTCTAAATTATATTTGTGTTATTTTCTAAGACTACGATTAATAGCAGAGCTATTAGTGTTGTATTCATGGCATTTCCGACACCTTGAGAACAAGAAGAGCCTGTTTGAAAAACACCCAATTGATAGACAGGTTCCAGTCTTCAATCTTTCGAACTCTGGCAGAGCTGCAGCTCTGAATTGTGGCTTGTTCAAAGGCCCCCAGCAAGTTGTGTAGCGCACTTGCAGCTCTCGCAGCATTTTCCACAACAACAACCAACGTGTGGAAAGTGCAAAAATATCTCATGTGAAGCGAGAGAGCGCAACTCACACACGAAGATCGTGCGGCTCTCGTTTCGTGTGCCTTGTGGCAGCAACAGCTATTTGATCGCATTCTCAAAGATATTTTGTCATTCTTCGCTCGCACCTCACAAACGATCGACGTCTTGGTTTCAGTCTCGGGGATTATGACTTGAAACAGTTTGAAAATAGATATTATTTAAAGAAATACATATATATATATATATACGGTACATATACATATATATGTGTTCAGCCATATAGTTCGCATAGAGTTTCTTTTAAACGAAATAGTCGCCGCATATATATAAAACGTCGCAAGGATAACGCATTGATGTAAGGATAAACGAGTTTTGAATTGATTTTATGTGTAAATTCCGTGAAAATATTGAAAATGTTCATGAACATTTTTTTGGTTTCGTAACCACTTTGAAAATTCCGAAAGAATTTTTCAGTGCGCTAAATATCTAAAAATAATCCACGAGCGCTGCTTCGGTCGCGTTCGATGGGTGATTCGGCACACCACTCGGCCAGCAGATCGTGGGGTCCGCACCCAATCCGACGAATGGACTGTGAATTAGTGAATACATACGAATCAGATAGATGTGCATATAGATATGAATAAGCGGTCTGATTGAAAGATATCTTACATACATATATACGCACATACATATATAATAATATATGGATACGTCTAGATTGTTATACAAATGTGATCAAGTGCATTATCCTGGCTTATCCTGCCCAGGATTACAGGCAAAGATAGCTGCGATAATGTACAGAATTGTGAATAACTATATACTGTGTGTAGAATCATCAGTGAGCAGTTCAGAGTTTTCGCATTGGAAATACCAGCAAGAAAAATGTTAAAAATAGCCCCTGAAAAATAAGAAGATACCACCGACACACACTGTACAGAAAGACGTATCTGTGTGTGTTGCATGTGTGTTTGTGTGTCGCAGTGAAAAATTCGAGTGGCTAAAAATAGCCGGATGTGCCTCACAGGCAAAGAATATGAATATGAAGAAGGATGGATGGTGATGGTTGTGATAATGATGAAGAAATCTTTTTTGATATATGTATCTATATTGAATATATATGCAGCTCGCGTCTAAGCCATAAAAAAATATAGAAAATTCAAGTGTGTGTCATAGAGATAAAAAGAAATATATATTCGTTGAGCAAACTCAAAAGAAAATCGGAAAAAAGCAAATAAACTCAAAATAGAAAGAAAAAACACACAAAATTCAATGTTTGCCAAAAGCTATTTTCGAGTGATAAATGTTTAGTGTGTGGTGGTTTTTGTGAAAAATACATACAATTTTAATGCGATTTTTCTTTTCTCCTTTGCCTTGTATTCAATTTCAGCCATAAAGAAGCGAAAGTATCAGTATAGAAATTAATATACACATATATATATATTTATAAAGTGAAGAAGCAAATCATAGAGAAAAGTGATCGAGAGGTGTTTCATTTTAGTGCAGTTGACAACTGCATCGATTTGGTTGTCATTTTTAATGATATATAGTGATATATAACGATTTAAAATGCAACGACAAAATCCGAACCCGTACCAGCAGCAGCAGGAGCAGCAACAACAGGTGCAGCAGCAATACTCCACTCAGGAGTATTCGCACTCCAGTCAAGAGCAGCATCAGCAGCAACGGATAAGCCGCACTGAACAACATGTTCAGAGGAGTCAAATCACCACTCAGCAACGAGGTCAGTCCGTCTGTCTCTCTGTCTGCCTGTCTGACAGCCTGCCTGTCTGCCAGTCTGTGCTCGCCTGCCATATTATATTATTATTGCATGTCGCCAATGGAATTCAGCAAACTGTATTGGCCAGTGGGATTCACACCGTGGATTTAGAATCTCCACTGTTCCAAGCTCTTGTTACTGAACTTCCATTCAATTCAGACATTCTTGCCTTGAAGATTTGCTTAATAATATGCTTTCCTTGTGCCAATCTCATTGTTAACGCAAACTCCCCTTGCATGCTAAATAAGTATTTTAATTAACACTTTGATTGTTCGTTGTCAATACTAGAAATATTGCTTTAGAAAATTATATTGCTAGCTTCGCGACAATTATTTTAATATTATTTTCGGGCATTAACTAATATATATGAAGATAGGTATAGCAAAATACCTATTGTCGTTGAGAATATCACAAATTTCGTATGATATACCATATATTTTTATGTATCGAATGTGACTTATGCTCTCTTCTGAGTCCCTTAACATGAAAGGAATTAAATCAACAGAAGATACACTGATAAATATAGGAGAACTATAAGAATTTGTTGAAAAATGTTAATAATAGTTTTAGCTATCGGTTTATTGCTTAGAAAAATAAGAACTTGATATTATCCCCTTCTCTAGAACTTTCAATATCCATTCTCTAAGCGTGATAATTCTAATGTATGAAAAAACTTAGCTAAATTTCAGTTTGTTGTTGTTCTTTAGCGGAATTTAAGCTTCTCAATAATTCTAGTAATGTTTATGCTATGAACAACAAAACCTTCTTTTAAGTAAAAGTTAATGTAAATATTTGTATGGACTGAAATTTTGCTCTCAACATTCTATTGTACACAACGAAAGTTTGGAAAGAAATACTAATAAATAGCAAAGGTATCAGCTTCAAAACTCTGCCCCTGCGATGTCACCAAAGAGCGAAAAAATTGGAATTACTCTGATTAATGCAACGACTATTGTTATTTCATAGCACATATTTATAAACATATATTCGTTGAAATTATTACCAATAAAAAAGGACATGATTACTTCTTGCATCAATCTAATTTGATTCACCACAGAATATAATCAAAATCGAATAATTGCTTAAGAACAATTTCAAAAAATGTCTTCTTATGAGATCATATTCTTTAACAATTCATATGATTCATAATATATATGTATTATGTATGTGTAACACATTTTGGACGAACAAACACACAAATTATTCATATATCTCATCTTATATTTCATTACTTAAATCTTAATTGATAATCAGCCAAAAATTATGTCTATTTTTAAATATTTCCATTCATCTGCCAAAATTTTGAGAATACGCTGCACTGACATACATATACATAGGTGAATCAACATAATATAAGAACATTATAAGAGTTTTCATACATATCGCTTTGTTTACATTCTTTAGATGCTGCAGTGGAGAGCTCTCATTGGAGGAAGTGAATAAGATATATATCACTTTGGAGCTCTTATACTGCCAGCCGAAGATAGCCGAAGACAGTTTGCCGATCAATTTGAGTGTGCGCACAAAAACAAACTGAGAGAAGAGAATATGACAGAGTGAGCAGGAGAAAATAAGAGAGGCAGAGTAGAGAAGAAAGAGAGAGAGAGAGAGAGAGAGAGAGAAAGAGAGGGAGACAGTTTCAAGAAACAGCTGATCTTGATGTTTGCTTATAATCACCTGTTGAATTCGAAAAATAAACAAATAAATACATACATATATTAATGACACACTTCAGAAAAGTCTACGAATGCCAAAAATACATATACAAGTTAATAAGTGCTTATATATATAGATATTTGTACGCGTGCCAACTTCTAAATATAAGTAATCCAAACTACAAATAATACATCCTCGACAATGAGCATACAATTTCAAGTTCTTGTTTACATTTAAATTTAGTTATTAATTAGAGAAAAAACAAAATGAAAGCAAATGCATGTGAAACGATAAAGCATACATATTAAACAGTGGTGTTTAATTTGATGTTGAAAAAGATTCCTGATCTTAACAAAGTTCTTCGATTCTTCATAACTATCAAACAGTGTTTTAAAACATATATTAACCAGTTCTTAAATTTAAAATACATTTTAAGTGTTTTGTCTGCATGAAATTTAAAAGTTTGTATATTTTACTAAGCAATTTTAATAGCACATATTCACTATGGCAAGCTTCACTGAAATGTTTGGCTTTACTTTTTTATATAATATTCCCATTATAATTTTGCAGTGCAACAACATCAAGGCGGTATTGGAGGCACCTATGTACCACCGTCGTTGACACACGTCTATGCCCAAGGTGACATTTCACCGCCTGTATTCGAGCAGATCTTTAAGAACGCTCGCTTCGCTCAGGGTGGCAACGCCCTGTTCGAAGGTCGGCTGCGTGGCAACCCAAAGCCATTCGTTACATGGACCCGAAAAGGCGCACCACTTCTCGAGTCGCAAAAGTTTCGCATGAGCTACAACGAGGCCACCGGTGACGTGTCCCTGCTGATCAATCAGATCGGACCGGGCGACGAAGGCGAGTATACGTGTACGGCTCGCAATCAGTACGGCGAGGCGATCTGCAGTGTGTATATACAACCGGAAGGCGCACCAATGCCTGCACTGCAGCCCATCCAAAATTTGGAGAAGAACATCTACTCCAATGGTTATTCGTATACGTCCATCGAGGAGGAGTTCCGTGTGGATACGTTTGAGTATAGACTTTTGCGTGAGGTCTCCTTCAGGGAGGCCATAACGCGTCGCTCTGGTTATGAGCAGGACACTCAGCTTTCGCATGAGCTGGATCGCTCCCAGGGTCCTGCGCAAGCACCACAAATATCGCAGAAACCCCGAAGCTCCAAACTCATCGAGGGCTCCGATGCCGTTTTTACCGCACGTGTCGGCTCCAACCCGAAACCACGTCTCACCTGGTTCCACAATGGACAACGTTTGGTTGCCTCGCAAAAGTATGAGATCTCTTATTCGAGTGGCGTTGCCACACTCCGTGTGAAGAACGCCAATGCCAAGGATGGCGGTCACTATACCCTATTGGCCGAGAATCTCCAGGGCTGCGTCGTCTCCTCGGCTGTGTTGGCCGTCGAGCCGGCCGCTGAGACTGCATACGAGCCCAAGCCCGTGGATCAGATGGCTGAGCAGCTAGAGGCTGGTAAGGCATTGCCTCCCGTTTTTGTCAAGGGCTTTGCTGATCGCGAGGTGACCGAGGGTCGCATGAGTCGCTTTGATTGCCGTGTCACTGGCAATCCCTATCCGGAGGTCTTCTGGTTCATCAATGGCCGTCAAGTGCGCGACGATGCCTCGCACAAGATTCTTGTAAATGAGTCCGGCAGCCATTCGCTGATGATCACGAATGTAAGCCGTTTGGATAGCGGCGCAGTCCAATGTTTGGCCCGCAACAAGGCCGGTGAGGTGGCCATCGAGGCGCAGTTGCATGTGCTGGAGAAGGAGCAAGTTGTCGCACCACAATTTGTTCAACGCTTCAGCACGATGACTGTGCGCGAGGGTGAACCAATCACGATGAGTGCCAATGCCATTGGCACACCAGTGCCTCGCATCACCTGGCAGAAGGATGGTGTGCAAATCTCATCAACTGCTGAACGATTTGTGGGCATCGATGGCGGCGCCACCTGCCTGGAAATACCGAACGTGAAGGCTGCCGATGCTGGCTGGTATCAGTGTACCGCACAAAATATTGCCGGTTCCACGGCGAACCGTGCAAGACTCTATGTCGAAGTTCCCAGAGATCAACCAAGTCAAGAACAGAGGCGTCTTAATCTACCAAGACCAACGAAAGTTATCGAGCCTGAGTGAGTTTTTTTTGCTTTGTTAAACTGAAGATTTATCCACTCATGGGTAATTTATTCTTTTTTAGGCCAAGTCCTGGTCCTGAAATCATCTATTTGCGTCATGTGGAACGCGCCAAGCCGCATCTGCGACCGGGCGAGGAGGATCGTGTTTATCCGCCACCACAGTTCATCATACCGCTGCAGAACGTGCAGCAAACCGAAGGTGGTCGTGTCCACATGGAGGCGCGCATCGAACCAGTCGGCGATCCCAGCATGGTCGTTGAATGGTTCCTCAATGGTCGTCCGCTGGCAGCCAGTACGTATCTGGAATACCCCCCCCCCCCCCCCCACATCTTTTTCTTTTATCTTGTTTTAATCTGTTATGTACTTGTCAGGTGCTCGGGCTACATCTGTCTTCAAATTTGGCTTCATTGCTCTGGATCTGTTGAGCATAATGGGTCACGATTCTGGAGAATATATGTGCCGTGTGAGCAATGCCAGCGGTGTCGCTGAATCGCGCGCCATTTTGTCGGTGGTGCAGCGTCCATCGATTGAGCAATCGTCTCAGAATCCCAACAGCTTGCAGTATATCAATCAGCTGGAAGATTACTCACGCTATCAGCGCCAGGAAAGCTCAGAGGAGTTGATGAATCAAGCTCCGCAATTTATACGTCCACTGCGCGATTTGGGTGAATTCGAGGAGGGTAAGAATGTGCACTTTGAGGCACAAGTGACACCCGTGAATGATCCCAGCATGCGTGTGGAATGGTACAAGGATGGTCTACCAATCACTGCCAGTTCGCGTATCACGGCCATTTTCAACTTCGGCTATGTCTCCCTAAACATATTGCACCTACGTGCCGAAGATGCCGGCGAATACACCGTCCGGGCCGTGAATCGCATTGGCGAGGCCATCAGCCAGTCCACCATACGCGTGCATACGCGCTCCCAGGTCACCGCCGATCTGGGCATACCCGAGCAGCAACGTTACATTGAAAAGGTTGAGGAATTGGAGGACTATCGCAAGTCCCAGCAGCGTCGCCATGTCCAGGAAGCACCCGAGGCCATTGCACCGCCCAAATTCAAGACACCCATCCAGAACCAGTTGGATTTGCGTGAGCACGCGCATGCGCATTTCGAGGCGCGCCTTGAACCCATTGGCGATGCCACCATGCGCGTCGAATGGCTCAAGGATGGTCAACCACTGGAGGCTAGCTCGCGTATTACAACCTATCATAACTTTGGCTATGTCGCACTGACTATCAAGCAGATAACCGTATATGATGCCGGCACCTATACTTGCCGTGCCTACAATGCCATGGGCCAGGATACGACCACCGCCCAATGTACGGTCATATCGAAGAACGAGATTGTCTCAGACACTCAACATCCGGGTGGTCTGCAAAAGATTCAGCACCTGGAGGACTCCTCACGCTATGGTCGTCGCGAAGAGGAAGAGACGTCCATAACTCAAGCACCACGTTTCCTTGGCCCAATGAAGGGTACCACCAAGATTCTGGAGGGACAACGCGCTCACTTTGAGGCCCGTGTGGAGCCGACAAGCGATCTGGGCATGCGTATTGAATGGTATCATAATGGTCGCGTTATTACCGCCGCCAATCGCATCCAAACGTACTACGACTTTGGCTATGTTGCCCTGGACATCTCCCAGGTGCGCGCCGAGGACGCAGGTATATACACGGTGGTGGCTAGAAACCAGCTAGGTGAAGCTCAGTCGCAAGCAACGATGGTAGTGGAAAGTAAGTAGTAAAAGTAAAGTATTTGTAGCAATTCTTGAATATCAATTAACACATTTTGGTTTTTGTCTAAAAGCTCGTTCCAGCATCGACACATCTAGCATGCACCGCGGCCTCTATGAGAAGACCCAGAATTTGGAGAACAAACCGTTCGTGGAGCCTCAGTACAACATCGAGGAGATCTCCAAGTCGAAGCCTGTCTTTGTGCAGCCCCTGGTCGATCCCAAGCCCATACACGATGGCAAGAACATTCATCTGGAGTGCCGCCTCGAGCCTATGGGTGATCCAACAATGCGCGTTGAATGGTTCCATAACGGTCGCCCCGTAACCGTCGGCTCTCGCTTCCGCACCTATTACGATTTTGGTTTTGTCGCCCTAGACATCATTCAGGCGACGGCAGCCGACTCCGGCGAGTATACCGTGCGCGCTACCAATCATCTAGGCACAGCTCACACCTCCGCCTGTGTGCGTGTGAGCGATCGCACCGATGTGGTGACCGAAACCCAGAACGAGCAATCGCTGGAGCAGATTCAGCTGCTCGAGGACTCGCGTCGTCGTCAGCATCGCGAGGAGGATGTTACGGTTATGCAGGCGCCCCAGTTTACGCGTGCGTTGCACAACATCGAGACTGTGGAGGGCACCAATGTGCATCTCGAGTGCCGCCTGCAGCCTGTGGGTGATCCCAGCATGCGCATCGAGTGGTTCGTTAATGGCAAGCCTGTGAAGACAGGTCATCGTTTCCGTCCTGCCTACGAGTTTGATTACGTGGCATTGGACTTGCTCGGCTGTTATGCCATCGATTCGGGCGTCTACACGTGTCAGGCACGCAATCAATTGGGCGAAGCAGTTACCTCGGGCTCCGTGCGCATCATCGCCAAGAACGATTTGATACTGGAAACTCAGAACAAGTCGGGACTGCAGAAGATTCAATATCTGGAGGATTCGTCGCGCTATCGCCGTAATGAGATTGTCGATGAGGTGGTCAACATTCGTCCGCGCTTCCTTACGCATCCGAAGAGCCTGACCAATACCCGTGAGGGAGGTCACGCTCATTTCGAGTGCAAAATTGAACCGGTCACTGATCCCAATCTGAAGGTGGAGTGGTTCAAGAACGGCCGTCCAATTACGGTGGGTCATCGTTTCCGTCCCATTCACGATTTCGGCTATGTGGCCTTGGACATTGTGGGTCTGATTGCCGAGGATTCTGGTGTTTACACCTGTCGCGCTGTCAATCTGATTGGCTCCGATGAGACTCAGGTGGAGCTGCAATGCCGAAGTGGTGAGCAAATTGTTACTGTCACCCAGAACGAGGCGGGTCTTGAGCAGATCCACTATCTGGAGGATCGTTCGCGCTATAGCCGTCGCGAGGAGATCGACGAAAGCACCAAGCAGGCTCCCGTTTTCACAACCTCGCTGAAGAACGTTGAGATCAAGGAGAATCAACGCGCCCACTTTGAATGTCGTCTGATTCCCGTCTCTGATCCATCAATGCGCGTCGAATGGTATCACAACAATCTACCTCTGAAGTCAGGCTCTCGTTTCACGGAGACCAACAACTTTGGTTTCGTAGCCCTGGATATTATGTCCACGCTGCCGGAGGATGCCGGCACCTACACCTGCCGTGCTTACAATGCTGTGGGTGAAGCCATCACCTCAGCCGTTGCCGTTGTCCACACCAAGAAGTCCATCTATCTGGAGTCCCAGCACGAGACGGCATTGCCACGTCTGCAGCACTTGGAGGATAGCTCAAAGCGTCAGCGTATTAGCGTCCAGGACGAAGTCGTGTCGCAAGCTCCGGTCTTCACCATGCCAGTGAGAGATGTTCGCGTCGCCGAGAATCAAGCGGTGCACTTTGAGGCGCGTCTTATTCCCGTTGGCGACCCGAACTTGAAGGTGGAATGGCTGCGCAATGGTCAGGCTATTGAGGCATCTAATCGCACCACCACCATGCATGACTTTGGTTATGTCGCACTGAACATGAAGTATGTGAATCCCGAGGATTCCGGCACCTACACCTGCCGTGCGGTCAATGAGTTGGGTCAAGCGGTGACCTCCGCCTCGCTGATTGTGCAGTCCAAGACTGCGATTCAGTTGGAGACGCAACACGAGGCAGCCATGCACAAGATTCATCAGCTAGAGGATCATAGCAAGTATCAACGACGCGAGGAGGAGGAATATTCGGTGACCACAGCTCCCATGTTTGTTACGAAATTGGTTGGTCCCAGCAATCTGGTTGAAGGCCAGAGTGCCCATTACGAGTGCCGCATTGAACCCTATCCGGATCCAAATCTGAAGGTCGAGTGGTTGCACAATGGCAAACCATTAAACACTGGTCATCGTTTCCGCACCACCTACGACTTCGGCTTTGCCGCCCTGGACATTCTCACCGTCTATGCGGAGGATAGTGGCGAGTACACCTGTCGTGTGACCAACAAACTGGGCGAGGCCGTCAATTCGATTGCATTGAATGTGACTTCCCGTTCGTCGATTATTCATGATACCCAACACGAGGAGGCACTATCTAAGATTCAGCATCTCGAGGATGCCTCACGCTTCCAGCGCAAGACCGAAGAGGATCAGTTCCATGCCGAGCGTCCACAATTCGGACGTCCGTTGCGTAATGCCAAGGTCAATGAAGGCACTCCCGTGCATCTGGAGGCCACGCTGATCCCTGTGAACGATCCCACAATGAAGGTCGAATGGTATTGCAATGGTAAACCCATCCAAACTGGTCATCGGTTCAAAACCACCTACGATTTTGGTTTTGTTGCCCTGGACTTACTGTATGCTCATGCAGAGGATACTGGCACCTACATGTGCAAGGCAAAGAATGCTGTTGGGGAAGCTGTCACGACTTGTGCTGTAAACGTAACAGGTACTCATCTATATACCATCTCTCTCTTTATCCATTTATAATCTATTTTAATTTGCAGCAAATAAGACACTGGATATGGATACGCTCGATGCTCAGCGGCTGGAGAAGATTCGCCAGCTGGAGAACTATGTGCCACCCACCAAGGCCATTGTGGAGGAGAAGGGACAGAAGCCAATTTTCCTCACACCTCTCAGCAATCTGGAGCATCTGAAGGAGGGTGAGCACGCCCATTTGGAATGTCGCGTTGAGCCCATTGGCGATCCCAATCTGAAGATCGAATGGTTCTGCAACGGCAAACAATTGCCCACTGGACATCGTTATCGTACCACTCACGATTTTGGCTACGTAGCCCTCGACATTTTATATGTTTATGGCGAGGATACTGGCACTTATATGTGCAAGGCCACCAATCTCTTGGGCGAGGCCGTTAACACATGCAATGTACGTGTGTTGAACCGTCGCAGCATGATCCTAGATACCCAACATCCCGATGCACTCGAGAAGATACAGAAGCTGGAGTCGAAGGTGGTTACCACACGCACTGAAGTTGGCGATCATCCAATTGGTCCGCCTCACTTCACCGCTGAGCTGCGTGGCTCCACGGAGATTTACGAAGGCCAGACGGCGCACTTTGAGGCGCAGGTGGCGCCCGTGCATGATCCCAATTTGCGCATTGAGTTCTATCATAATGGCAAACCGTTGCCTTCGGCTGCTCGCTTCCATATCACCTTTGACTTTGGCTACGTCTCTTTGGACATTACCCATGCCGTCGCTGAAGATGCCGGCGAGTACTCTGTGCGCGCAGTTAATGCACTGGGACAGGCTGTCTCCGCTACTAAGCTGCGTGTAATTGCTCGTGGCACCATCATCTCGGACACTCAACATCCTGAGGGTCTGGAAAAGATAAGAAAACTGGAGTCAGCCGCACCTCATCAGCGCCAGGAGGTGGAAACTCCTGGCACACTCCAGCGTCCCGTGTTCACGCAGCCGCTCCAGAATATTGATCGCATCAATGAGCATCAAACGGCCCACTTTGAGGCGCGTCTGATCCCCGTCGGTGATCCTAACCTGAAGGTCGAATGGTATCGCAATGAGAAACTTATCGAGGACAGCTCCCGCATTACCAAGCAACATGACTTTGGATTCGTCTCGCTCGACATCTCGCACATCCGCAAAGAGGATGAGGGCGTCTACATGTGCCGCGCTGTCAATCCACTTGGCGAGGCAGTCACCACCGCCTCAATGCGTGTGGTGAGCGAGGCTAGCATCTTAATGGACACCCAACATCCGGACAGCATCAGTCGCATTCATCAACTGGAGAAGCCGGTTGCTCCACGTCCAACGGAACCGGAGCGTCTCTTCGAGAAGCCCATCTTTACGCAACTGCTGACAGGTCCCTCTGAGCTCTGGGAAGGTAATCATGCGCACTTCGAGGCACGTGTTGTGCCCGTCGGTGATCCCTCACTGAAATTCGAGTGGTTCATCAACGGCGTGGAGCTACAAATGGGCTCACGTTTGCGCACTACTCACGACTTTGGCTTTGTCACCCTGGACATTGCCGCTGTGGTACCCGAGGATGCTGGCGTTTACATGTGCCGCGCCTACAATGCCGCTGGCGAGGCTGTATCCTCCACTGCCATGAAGGTGAAGACCCGTGCCAATATCGATGGCCAGCCGTTGATACCCGAGTCGTGGGAGGCCATTCGTCTGAAGGAGGCCGCCATGAATCGTGTGCCCGAAATGTTTGTGGACTCGACACCACAGCAGGCGCCAGTGTTCACCACGCATCTGCAGAGCTACGACAAGTTGCACGAGGGCCAGCATGTTCACCTGGAGGCTCAGGTGGAGCCACGTGCCGATCCCAATCTGCGCATTGAGTGGTTCAAGAATGGTGTTTCCCTTACCACCGGCTCTCGCATTCGCAGCACCTTTGACTTTGGTCTGGTTACGCTCTCTATTAATGGCTTGCGTGAGGATGACTCCGCTATTTATACTTGCAAGGCTACCAACCAAGTGGGCGAGGCTGTATCGACGTCATCGCTCAAGATTGAAGATCGTCACTGGTTGCAGGCAGAGTCACTGCATCCGGACTCGCTGCCCCGCATTGGCCAACTGGAGGCACCCAAGGAGGGTCGTCCCGAGGCCCCGGAGCCCACGTATGAGACACCTGTATTTATCACTCATCTTAACAACATTGAGTGCAAAGAAACAGACAACGTACGCTTCGAGTGCAACGTGGAGCCAGCTCGTGACCCAACCATGCAGATCGAATGGTTCTTCAATGGTCAACCTCTGCAGGCAGCTGCCAAATTCAAGTCCATCTATGACTTTGGCTACTGTGCTCTGGATTTGAACAATAGCTATGCAGAGAACAGTGGCATCTACACATGCAAAGCCACCAATAGCAAGGGATCGGCGACCACCTCGGGCACATTGAAGTGCACTGGTGGCAAGACCATGTTCCTGGATACCCAACATCCACAGGGCGCTAGTGGTCTGGAGGCTGTGCAGGAAACGGAGGAGGCATTGGCCAATCGTTACAACCAGAAGTCGACCAAACCAGAGACACAGTATCCACCACCGGTTTGGACTAAGCCATTGCAGCAGGAGTTCCATCTATCAGAGGCGCAACCCATCCATCTGGAAGCAAATGTAGAACCGAAAGAGGATCCCAACTTGTTCATCGAATGGTATTTCAATGGCAAGCAGTTGCAACATGGCTCTCGCTTCAAGATGACCAGTGAATTTGGTTTTGTTACCATGGACATGATTGAGGTGTACTCTAGAGATCAGGGCATTTACACATGCAAGGCATACAACAAGGCTGGTGAGGCATTCACATCCACCACCATTTTCTGCTCGAGCAAGGAGAGCATTATTGAGTCCACGCAGCATCCAAAGGGTGCCGAGGGTCTCGAACAGATTCAGGATCTCGAGGACTCCCTACGCAAGGATGGCAGCAAGCCGGTGCAGCCGGAAGAGGGCATTGCACCGCGTTTCACCACCGAATTCGTCAACATTGTCGACATCGGAGAAGGCGAGTTGGCCCATTATGAGGCGAACCTGATTCCACTGGGCGATCAGAGCATGGTCATCGAATGGTTCTTTAATGGCAAAGTAATCGAGGCGAGCCACCGTGTGCGCACCATCTACGCCTTTGGCACTGTCGCTCTTGAAGTGTTGGGCACCAAGATCGAGGACACTGGCACCTACACCTGCCGGGCAACCAATAAATATGGCTCGGCTGAGATCAGCTGTACGCTGGAGTGTGTGGACAAGCCACGTGGCCAGAAGCCCCACTTCACATCGCACATTCAGCCATTGCAGGGATTGAAGGATGGCCAGTCCGCTCACTTTGAGTGCACCCTGATACCGGTTAATGATCCCGAACTGAAGGTCGAGTGGTATCACAATAGCAAGCTACTTCGCCACTCCAATCGCATCAAGACGGTCTCCGACTTTGGCTATGTGGTATTGGACATTGCCTATCTGCAGGATCATGATAGTGGTGAATATGTTTGCCGAGCCTATAACAGATATGGCGAGGACTTCACTCGTACCACTCTCAACTGTGGTGGTCGTGGTGGTGTCTTCTATGACAGTTTGCAGCCTGATTCGCTGCAAAGGATTCGGGAGCTGGAGTGTCCTCAGGGACAGCAAACGGACACCAGTGCTCCACTTGTTGCAGAGCCACCCAAGTTTATTACACAGATCGCCGATGTCACCAAGCTTGTGGAGGGCCAAAGTGCTCACTTCGAGGCGCGTTTGACACCGATCACCGATCCCGACCTGGTTGTGGAATGGTATTTCAACGGCAAGAAACTGCCACATGGACATCGTTTCCGCACCTTCCACGACTTCGGCATCGTCATCCTCGACATACTCTACTGCTACGAGGAGAATTCGGGCATTTACGAGTGCCGTGCCCACAACAAGTATGGCGAGGATGTCACCAAGGCCACGTTGAAGTGCGCATCAAAGGCCAGTCTCATTCTGGACTCTCAACTGCCACGCGGCATGGAGGGCGGTCTGGAGAAGATTGCCAATCTGGAGTACAGCATGATGCGCACTCGCGAAGAGACTACCGAGGAGACCAGAGGCAAGGCACCCGTGTTCACCGTGCCACTGGAGAACATTGAGAGTCTGCGAGAGGGCGAGAATGCGCACTATGAGGCACGCATTACGCCCACTGATGATCCCAAGCTGAAGGTGGAGTGGTACTGGAATGGTCGTCCATTGAAGGCCGGTTCACGTTTCCGCACTTTCTGTGACTTTGGTTTTGTTATCCTGGAGATTTCGCCCGTCTATCCCGAAGATTCTGGCGAGTATTCGTGCCGTGCTATAAACGAGTATGGTGAGGCTGTGACCACTGCCACAATGAAGATTCAGGGCAAGCGCAGCATCATCATGGAATCGCAACTGCCCAAGGGCATGGAGGGCACCATTGATCGCATCGCTGAACTCGAGGGTCTCGGCTCACGCAGCACAGAGTTTGTGCCAGAGGATGATACGGGCAAGCCGCCCGAGTTTGTAACGACTCCATTCGACATGGTCATCACAGAGAATTCGCTGGCCCACTTCGAGTGCCGTCTGCAGCCCATCAACGATCCGTCCATGCGCGTGGACTGGTTCCACAATGGCAAGGCCTTGTGGTCCGGCTCTCGCATCAAGACCATCAATGACTTTGGTTTTGTAATACTGGAGATTGCTGGTTGCTATCAGCGCGATACTGGCTTGTATACGTGCAAGGCGACCAACAAGCATGGCGAGGCCACCGTCTCCTGTAAGTTGCAGGTCAAGGGTCGCCAGGGCATTGTTATGGAGCCTCAATTGCCGTCGAACTTCCGCACTGGCACTGAGAGCCTGCAGAAACTGGAGGAGAGCATGCACAAACGCGAGGAGATTGTCATCGATGATGAGCAACCAAATCCGCCCAGGTTTACTGAACAAATCAAGGACAACCTGGACGTGCCCGAGAGCGGTCCCATACACTTTGACTGCCGCGTCGAGCCCGTTGGTGATCCAACTATGCGCATCGAATGGTTCTACAATGGACGCGTCATGGCCACCGGTTCCAGAGTGCATCAATTGAATGACTTTGGTTTTATTGCCTTGGATGTGGATTACATCTATGCACGCGATTCTGGCGAGTATACTTGCCGTGCCACTAACAAGTGGGGCACTGCCACCACCACCGCCAAGGTGACCTGCAAGGGCAAGCACAACATTATCTATGAATCGCAATTGCCGGAGGGCATGACCGCTGAGAAGCTGAAGGAATTGGAACGCGGACGCATACCAGATGCACCCAAGATTGTCGAGGAGACCTTTGGACCCCCGAAGTTCACCACACAAATTGCTTCAGTCACCGCCGAGGAGTCGGAAGCGGTGAGATTCGAATGCCAAGTGGAGCCCAAAACCGATCCCAGTCTGCGTGTTGAATGGTATCGCAATGGCAAGCCTTTGCCTCTAGGTCATCGCTATAGGAACATCTTTGACATGGGCTTCGTATCCCTGGACATTCTGTATGTGTACAATGATGATTCTGGTGAATATGTTTGCCGCGCCGTCAACAATCATGGCGAGGATCGCACCAAGGCCACCATCTCCTGCAAGAGTAAGCCGTCTCACATGGCTGTCATTGCATTTCTTCCTAATTATAATTTCTGTCTTTTAGAATTGCCCACTATTTTACTTCAGAATCAAGTGCCTCGTGGCATGAAGCGCTCGGATGCGCTCACCCAAATGGAGGCAACGATCAAGAAATACACCTCCGAGGTTCATTTAACCGAGGATGATCTCTTCGATCCCGATCGCAAGCAGCCACCACGTTTTGTTACCCAGATCAAGGAGCAGCTTACGCTCACTGAGATGGCCAAGACCAAATTCGAGTGCCAGCTGGCACCAGTGGGCGATCCAAACATGAAGGTCGAATGGTTCTTCAATGGCAAACCCTTGCTATTTAGTAAGATTCATAATAGCCTAAACAAAAAAACATTAAGCTAAGGCTCCCTTTCAATTTGCTTGCAGAAAATCGCTTCCTTCCCATTTACGATTTTGGTTATGTGGCCATGAACTTTGGCTGGGTCTATCCGGAGGATAGTGGCGAATATGTTTGCCGTGCCACCAATTTGTATGGCATGGATGAGACACGTGCTGTTATCAAGGTATCGGGCAAGCCTGGCATTGTCTACGACTCCCAACTGCCTGCGCATATGCAGAGCATTGATCGCATTCGCGAAATGGAAGCATCCTGGCAGGTGTAAGTAACTCATATAAACTAGCTTAGAGATAAATCATTATATATATATATATACATTTTTACGTTTAGTGTACCTGAGGAAGCTGATCCCGATGCCAAGCCGAGAACAAAGCCCGTATTCGTTAGCAAGCTGGAGCCACAGACTGTCGAGGAGGGCGATCCCGCCAGGTTCTGTGTGCGAGTCACTGGACACCCACGTCCTCGCGTCATGTGGCTCATCAATGGACACACTGTTGTGCATGTATGCATTTCTTTAGACGTATCTATTAGCCATTTACTAAAAATTCCTGCATATACAGGGATCGCGTTACAAGCTCACCAACGATGGCATGTTCCATCTGGATGTACCCAAGACGCGTCAGTATGATACCGGCAAGGTGGAGGTTATAGCGCGCAACTCTGTGGGCGAATCGATTGCTTCGACCGAACTGAATGTTGTCGCACGCTCTGATGACTATCGCAATGTGCTCAAGAACTCACCACGCCGTAAGTCACAACACTCCAACACTTGTTACATGCACACATGGAAATACCAGCAGATACATTTATTATATTTTATATTAACAGCTAGCAAAACTTAACACAATTAAATGCAGTAGTTTTTTAGCTGGCTAAACACCAAAATCACACGAAATCACATAAAAGACTGCATTGTAAATATACATAAATATATACATATATAGTACACATAGAGTTTACAGATTTAAGTAGAATAGCACCCAAGTTTATTGCTACAGGCCAAAACAAGTAAAATCACAAGTTCCCAAGTACAAAACTCCCTATTCCCTGCGAGAAACTCGCTTCCCTTCTTAATATTCCCACAAGAGCCTCTTGTTGTCATTTCAACGAGCTATCTCAGAGGAGGGACCCAGTGGAATCTGCGCCCTAATGGACTCCATCAATAAGTATCGCTGGACCATGGGTAGTAAGGTTGTGCAATTTTTTTTAGTGTGTGCGTGTTTTACAAGACTGTCTATATTCAAAACTGTGGCTGATCATTCAACTACCTGTTCTCTGTTCTCATTTGCAATTGATTGAAACCGAAAAGGAGTTAGCAAACCTCTGTGATTATCATCTTAAAATTTACAACATATGTATAATATTTTTCCCAACTTATTTTAATTCATGTTATAATACTAAAGCTGAATAGGAATGCAATTTTACCTAACCAAGTGTATGATGCTATGCTTGCATGTATTTAGCAAATGGTTTTTTTTTTTTCTCATGTGCCTAGATGTATTTAACCGTGCCCTCTAGATAGTGTTTAATCCTGTCAATTCGTTTTCGAATATATAGCGTGGTACGATTATGAGCTAGCTGGTTACCAGAAGGAGCGTCAGGATAACGAATTGGAAAAGGCATTCGATGAACGTAAGCAATACTTGTCCGAGCAGAGTGCACATACCCTTAAGGGTGTGGAGCACTTGAAGCCGAAGCAATACAAGCCCACAACGCCAGATTGGCAACAGAATGTGAAGGCCAAGAAGAGTGAAGAGTACTACAATAAGCTGCAGGAGCTGGAAACCGAACAGCTACTCAAGGAGACCCACATGCGCAGTGATACGCATCAGTATGCCATACCCGGCGAGAAGGTTGTCAGCAGCTCAGCTGCCAAGGGCATGGCCCAATCCTACGAGGAGAATCTGTAAGTGCACATGAAATTAATCAATAAGCCAGAATCTAATCCACAGCCAAACTTGAATCTCCACAGTCAGGAGCAAACTAGCACTACCCAGATCAAGGGGGCACCACCAAAGGGCACAGCTCAACCATCTGAATCCTCGGTACATGGCCGTGAAGTCTACATGAACAAGCAGCAACAAGTGCAGAAGGAGATCCAAGGTGATTTGGAGATTACACGCAAGATCACGGCCACGGAGACCACGGAGATGGAGCACAAGGGCACCATTCAGGAACGCGTTGTCAAGGGTCCCGTCAAGCCCGCTAAGGCGCCCGTCTTCACCAAGAAGATTCAGCCATGCCGCGTCTTCGAGAACGAGCAGGCCAAATTCGAGGTTGAGTTCGAGGGTGAACCAATGCCCCAGGTGAAATGGTATCGCGAGAGCTTCCCCATCCAGAACTCGCCCGATCTGCAGATACACACTTTCAGTGGCAAATCTATATTGATCATACGCCAGGTCTTCATCGAGGACTCGGCTGTATTTTCATGTGTGGCCGAGAATCGTGGCGGTACCGCCAAGTGCAGCGCCAATTTGGTCGTGGAGGAGCGCAGACGCGCCGGCAAAGGTGGTATTCAGCCACCAAGCTTTGTGACTACCATACAAAGCACCACTGTAGCCACTGGCCAGCTGGCTCGCTTCGATGCCAAGGTGACCGGCACACGGCCCATGGATGTGTACTGGCTAAAGAACGGCATGAAGGTTCAGCCCAGCATCAAGTTCAAAATGCTGGAGGAGGACAACGTTCACACCTTGCTGATCATCGAACCCTTCGCCGAAGACTCTGGCCGCTATGAGTGCGTTGCTGTTAATGCCTCTGGCGAGGCACGCTGCGATGGCGATTGCATTGTCCAATCACCCACCAAGCCGGAGAAGCCAACAACGCCCGGCAGCGAGAAGGCACCGCATATTGTCGAGCAGCTCAAGAGCCAGTCCATCGAGGAGGGCCACAAAGTGATCTTCCGGTGTCGTATTGATGGCAAGCCCACTCCCACTGCTCGCTGGATGCGCGGAGAGAACTTCGTGAAGCCATCGCGTTACTTCCAAATGACGCGCCAAGGTGAATACTATCAGCTCATCATTTCGGAGGCATTCCCCGAGGATGAGGGCACCTACAAGTGTGTGGCCGAAAACAAACTGGGCAGCATTCAGACCAGTGCCCAGCTTAAGGTGCGCCCCATAGAGAATCTGGATGCACCACCAACTATTACGGCTCTCAAAGATGTCTCCGTCACGGAGGGCATGCCGGCGCAGTTCAAGACCACTGTAACGGGCAAAGTGAAAGCCACCAGCGTGCAGTGGTTCCGTGAGGGTCAGCTAATACCGGAAACACCTGATTTCCAGGTACGCCGAACAATAAATTTTGATCATATATTACATTAAGAATACATTAAATTGTCGGGAATCATTGTGCTAACACAACTTTGATATCATTTCAGATGATCTTTGATGGCAACAGTGCCGTGCTACGGATTGGCACCACCTATGAGGAGGATTCGGGCATCTTTACAGTACGTGTGACTTCGTCTACGGGACAGGTCGAGGCATCAGCCAAACTGACTGTTAAAAGTAAGGATTAAACTAAAAACTAAGCAAAACCAAAACCAGAGTTCGTAAACAACAAGAAAAGAAACGTAAGCGAACAGTGTTCGAAAACTCCAAAGAATGCTCAAAAAACACAACGACCAAAAACCGATAAACAAAAAAAAATATTTATATATATTTTTTATACCATAACGGATCCCTATACTGACGACGTTTAAGCACAATTAACTAACTAGTCCTAAAAGTTTGAGTGAAGAATATTTTAAAGCGAACGTTTCGACAATTTCAGTTTCATTTCTAATAGAATATTATTTTATTTAAATCAACGAACAAGTTCTTTTAATTACTAACAATTATTCAAAATGTCAACCCGAGCAACAATTTAATGAAAGATGTTTAATATGAAAAAGGTAACAAAATCAAAAAAAAAAAAAAAATCTAATTTATTTAAAACGAAAAAAAAAACACAAATAATAAAAATAATTACAAGTATTTTGCAATATGAATATTTATAGAACATTTTCTTTCTGGCAGAGCCAATCAAGAGGGAATTGCTTGTCGGTTGTATATGAAATTCGAAATTCTTCAAATTTTGAGTGAAAATTAGAAAAGTGAAATAAAAAACGCTCAACACTAGCCCCTTTTGAGTGAGAATTATAAATAAGGCAGCTTATGTACTTTCAGATTGTTCAGAATACCTACACACACATACTTAATTACTATATATATAGAAATATGTATATAAATATATACATAGCACAGGCACTTTATAAATATGTTGAGTTCTTCTGTATCTAGCCTCCGTCCCCATGTACATAGTCCACATCTAGATACATTCTTATAGCTTTGTGCTGAAACATATAGAAACATGTGTCGGAATAGTTTTGGGTCCGTGTGCAAAACGCACATTTGTCCCGCCTCCGCTCGAGCGTGAAACATTTATTTTTCATTTGGATATTAGCATAAAATATTGTGGATGACACATCTAGCGCACACAGTTCCTTGTGGAATCAGCTCACTCTGCTGTAGTATATCCATCTCATAGCTACCAAATACTTATATGAATATCAATTTAGAAATGAGCGTGCGCAAAACTAGCACAACCAAAAGGGGGGAATACGATAATGAGTAAAAAGCTAAAATATTGAAGGCATTGCACACATTGAATTTCAGCTGCCAGCAATGCCAGATTATCTATATACTATACAATAATATATGTGTAGCTGTCTATTCTATTTTCAATTTATTTTTTGGAAAATGTTTTTCTTTGAAAACTAATTTCCAATAGATTAGCTAAAAAGAAACAACAAAAACAACAATCCATTTGATATTTTTAGACCTCAGCACAGTCTGGATATCAACGTGTCGCTACAATGAAAAAGCATTTTATGTGTTTTTCAAGTAAATCTTGAAATTTATTTCAATTTTCTTTTATTTAAAGATTAGAAAAAAATAAAAATATATTGGCTTTCAATGTACGTGCGCTGATGAAAATAAACTGACATTTAGTTCAGCAAAAATAAAATAAATAATTACCTACAAGTTGTTTGTTTTCTGTATAGAACAGATATGAGTAGCCGATTTTCCCGAGAGGTATACACTCACATACATACATATATATATTTTTATAGATGGGGGCTATATGTTAGCCATTCGACAAGAACATGCATAAATGACTCTGCTTATGGTGCAGAAACGGTTTTAATTAAATTAATCAGTTACGGTAGTTCAACCATCAGTTAGTCCTCTGTCCCAGCCTCTGATTCATATATTTTATATTTTTAGAAGGCAGCCTCTATTTCGTATCCAACCGACAACTTAGCAGCAGTCCCTTTGAAGCGAAAGAAATTCATATTAGTTTAGATTGCTTGGTTTTGGTATTGGAACGATACTTTAAAATATTATGATCAAACTTTTACCATGGACTCGTACTCGTACTCATACAGACATATGATTGTTCAGACAAGCCTCGAAACGTATTATTATTTGACTTTTGATTATAATCAATTTGTATTGTTTATTTAATTTACATTTATTTATTTTGTAGTGATGTTGCATGAGATTTTATTATTCATTTTTTAATGCCGCTTTTTACTACTAATTTGTTTCGTTTTCATCTCTTCCACTTTTTGCTACCACTCTTAAAATTTTTGCTTCTCCAAACACATAAAATGAATCAGTTTTCAAAAAGAAAAATCGTATCTAATGAAAGTATTTGCCGCTTACGCTGCCAATATCTCTATTTGTATATTTTGTGGTAAAAATGCTTTACTAAAAAATTAATCATAAAAACTCATGCGACTTTTGTTTTAAGTTTTATCTACAATACATTGAGATACTCGTATTCCTCTGTCAGTTTTATAATTTATGTTTACGTTTCATGTTTTAAGTGTGTATTCGATCGATCGGTAATCAATATCATACTCGATTGTTCAATTCCAAAATTATTTTTTGTTCTTCCATACCACTTTTGTTGTTTATTTGTATTTCTCATGTATTTAATGCTTAAAACCAATATCGCGTCTTTAAATAAATCAACAAGCAAATGCATCATCAATTGATATTCGTTTTTTATAACTTCAAAAATGCTCCATGCTTTCGCATCCTCGCCGCTGCTTGCTCGCACCAATCACAGGTAATATTTATATTTATATATATATGTATATATATAATTGGTATTTATAGTACTGGAGTATTTATATTTATGTTTATGTTTTACAACACTTGAGAACTGCACTTTATAAATAATCCACACAATTGCCCAGTATAGCAACTGTCTACCTTCTGTGCTCGATTGTTGTCTACATCCGAATGAGATCGCTCGAATGCGCTGCTGCGCTGCGCTGGCTGCGCTGCGATGCTTACCCCAAAAATACCAAATATCGCCAGAACAGACACACGAACGCCTTAGAATCTCATTTGAGCTGTTTACCCCACCTGGTGACGTAGCCGCCACTAATCATAAATCTATTTTCGGGGCGTGTATTGTAAACAAGCATTTAAATTGTGCTTTTGGCTCTCAATTGTATTCGCTCAGCTCGATCATTATTTGGGGTGATACTTCATCGCGATGATGAAGCTGCTGTACTTAGGCGGATGACAAATACTAATGGCTATTAATTTGATAGCTTGCCAAAAAGTCGCTGTTGGTTAATGCAAGAATCACAGGTGAAATTCGTCACACATGATTAATGCATGTGATTCACGATGCATATTCGTCATAGAATTAAATGTGCTTTTTATCAATGTCAAATATTCAGTGGCTGTATGAGCGAATTTATATAGGTACCTATTTATTGATTCACGGCCAACAGATATCAGCTCTCATATGCGAGCATGTAAGCCAAATATGTTTTGTGGCTGTCGTGCCCCTTCTGTATCCGAGCTGTGAATAAGGATACAGAAATAATTATTTTTCCATATTTGAATAATTTTGGCACATTACATTTATATTTCAAGTTCATTGTTTATGCGCATGAAGCTGCAATATATTTTTCTTTATTTTAAATATGCGGAATAAGCTCCTTGGAAACAGATTAGAGGTATGTATCAAGTTGCCCCTGTGAATGTCAATGCTTTTGTCAGAAGTTTGCTCCCATATTGTTTCGAACTCTGGAAAATGGTCATTGAGATGTCCATCGATATTATCTACTAACCCTCAAACTTCACCTTGAACTTTTAGAGCGACGTATCTCGGCTTATCAATTGCGTACGATTGATTCTGTCGAAGATGAGTCCTCGTCATCTGGCAAGGATGATAGCTCGCCTGAATCACCCCAAAATTACCAGCAGCAGCAACCTGGCCAATATGGCCAATATCTAGGCGTTAATGGGCAGGTTCAGCATCAGGGTCGATCGCGCACTAAGAAGACCAAAGTGCGCAGCAAATCCTTGCAGCCACCCTCGAATATTGTGCCTTGGCGCAAGTCGACGCGTCCTCATCGAGGGCGTTCTCTAGATAAGCAACCATTCTTGCCGGGCTTCAAGCCAGAGCCGGTAAAGTCCTGGACTGAGGAGACAATTAGCTTAAAGGCCACTCCAATTGAGAAGAAGAAGCCAACTCCCAAGTTGGAAGCCGCTCAGGTTGTGCTTAAGTCTATTAAGTCGGAAAGGGATCAAGGTATTATGAGCCTGGGTGCCACTTTAGAGCAGATTATAGCTGGCAAAACTGAAAAGGAGGCTATACCTTGGATAACGATGCGTGAAAAGCTAAAGGCCGTCGAGAGTGTTCAGCAGGAGCTAAGCAAGTTTGATCTTGATGAGGTCTACTTGCGTCCACTCGAGGGTCAAATCGAGACAGACGAGCAACTGCCACAACAGGCGCAAGTGGAGCAAGTTCAGCGTACCAAGGAAATTCAACGCCTCAAGAGCATGGAGAGCGTGGAAATTATGGAAATGACTGATCAAATTGACAAACTTATCACCCAGCAGCAGAATAACAAAGATCTCATCCCATGGAAGGAAATGCGACAGCAGCTAAAGAGCGTTCAGCGTGTAACAAAACAAATGGATAAGTTTAAGATAGAGGAGGTTGAGCTACGTCATCTCGAGGCCCAACAGACTATCAGTGAAGAGTTCCAGACTGCTAGCCAAGGTACAGTTATAATGACAATCGACGATAGTTCCAAGGGCTCAATTTCAAAGGTCATGACTCGCGATGAGATTCAGCACTATGAAGATCAATCCAACATCTACAAACAACAGTTTATTACGACGGAAGATGTGAATATCATGCACGTGTCGGAGCGTGAAAAGCTCGAGGCACAAAGATTGTTGAGAGAACAACAAGCTGTCAACTGGAGACAGCAACAGCAGCGGCCTCAATTGCAGCCACTGACCTCTGTGGAGGATACGATTTCCCAGACTAGTGAGCGCCAGAAACTTGTGCAACAGCAAAGCTACATCGAGGAAGCTCAACGTCAACAGTATTCACAAATCGAGGACTCACAGATGATGAGCCTCGAGCAATATGAACACCAAAAGATGATAAGCCAACACACCCAACAACACTCCGTCAACTGGCGCCAGCCTCGTGAGCCTCAAAAATTCATTCAGGTTGAGGATTCATCTCTTCTACACTTGCAAGAACGTCAGGATACACAAGAGCAGCAGCTTACGCAGCCGGAGCCCGTGATGTGGGATCGTGGTAAGAAAAAGCCCGAGCAAGTGCAGCCGCAGCAACTGCAGCCCCAAGCTCCAGTTCAAAAGCAATTTGTGGAGAAGCCAAAGACATATGAAGAAATGCACGATGAGCTTATTGAAGAATTGCCAGTCAAACAGCCAGAAGCAGTGCCAGTTATGTGGGAACGCGGCAAGAAGAAGCCAATACAGCCCCAGCAAAAGACATTTGAGGAACTGCACGATGTGTTGGATGAACCTGTGCCAACTCCACAGCCAGAACCTGTTCCAGTTATGTGGGAACGTGGCAAGAAGAAACCCATTTCTCAGGAAGTCACAGACACTCAGCAGATTATGCAAACGTCGCAAGTGGTTGAACAGCAAATTGTGGAGGAAACAAAGAAGACGGCAGTGCGTCGGGTAATTCCACCACGTGCACCTGAAGAGAAAGTGGAACAGGTTACGCTGAAGCCAACGCCGCGACAGCGACCAAAAGAAGCCCAGAAGGCCGAAGAGTTCCAATTGAAGCCCCTGAAGACCACGAGGACAGTACAACAAACCATTGAAGAAAGTGTGCAGAAGGCTACTGAAGAAGCTACAGACGAATTGGTTGAAGAAGTCATTACTGAGGAACAGGATCAACCGAAGCCTGTATTGTGGGAGCGTGGGCAGAAGAAACCTCAAAAGCCAGACCAAGAAGAGCTTCCCGAGGTGCCTAAAACACTTGAAGTGGCAGTGGATACTTTAGAAGAACAACCCATTCAAGCTGTAGAGCCCCAACCACAACCTGTAATGTGGGAACGTGGCAAGAAGAAGCCTCAAAAGCCAGCCACTCAAGATATTCCCAAGTCCCATGAAGTCGCTGTTGACACACTGGATGAAGAAACTGTTCCAACTGTTGAGCCTGAACCACAGCCTGTAATGTGGGAGCGTGGCAAGAAGAAGCCTCAAAAGCCAGCCACTCAAGATATTCCCAAGTCCCATGAAGTCGCTGTTGACACACTGGATGAAGAAACTGTTCCAACTGTTGAGCCTGAACCACAGCCTGTAATGTGGGAGCGTGGTAAGAAGAAAAAGCCACTGAAGCAAGACTTGTTTGAAGAAAAGGTTGTCGAATCACCAACCAAAACTTTCGAAGAGGCAGTAGATGTTCTGCCTGATGAACCAAAGCAAGAGGAAAAACCAGAACCTGTTCTATGGCAACGTGGTAAAAAGAAGGTACCACAATCTGCGCCAACTGACGAATTGCATCCAGATGAAGTAGATGCGCAAGTCCAGCAAGTTGTCGAGGCTGAGGATGAAGAAATCATCGAGGAAAAGCGCAAAATAAAGAAGGTAAAGAAACCAAAGCTTCCAGTCGCTGCGCAGGAGCAAGTTGAACAGCCTGAAGAGGAAACTCCAGAGGAGGAGATCATTGAAGAGCAAGAGGAGATTGTTGAAGAAAAGCGTAAGGTGAAGAAAACAAAGAAACCAAAGCTTCCAGTCACTGCTCAGGAGCAAGTTGAACAGCCAGAAGAGGAAGCTCCAGAGGAAGAGATCATTGAAGAGCAGGAGGAAATTGTTGATGAAAAGCGTAAGGTGAAGAAAACAAAGAAACCAAAGCTTCCAGTTGCTGCTCCGGAGGAAGCTGAACAGCCTGAAGAAGAGGCTCCGGAGGAAGAGATCATTGAAGAGCAGGAAGAAATTGTTGAAGAGCAAGAAGATATTGTTGAAGAAAAGCGTAAGGTAAAGAAAACAAAGAAACCCAAGAAGCCCGTAGAACTGGAACAGGCTACAGAAGACATTCCACAAGAAGAGCTCATTGAAGAGCAGGAAGAAATTGTCGAGGAGAAGCGCAAAGTTAAAAAGACAAGGAAACCAAAAACCAAAGAAGCTGAAGCAGTGGAAGAAGAAGAGGAAGAAGTTCCAGAAACACAAACAGAAGAGGTGGTAGAAATCGAAGAGACTACTGTTGAAGAACCTAAGAAAAAGAAACCTATTATTAAACCTCCTGAAGTTGAACAAGTAGAAAAGGTAACGCTTAAGCCTGTCCCAAGAAAACAACACCAACTTCCTGAAAAAGAACAAGTTGAAGAGGTGACACTGAAGCCACGTCCTAGAACTTCAATTGTCTCGGAGACGCAACAGCCTGAAATACCTGAAACCGAATATGTTGAGAAGCAGAAGGTTGTTACATTTGAAGATCAAGTGGTGGATGTCACTAAGAAACGAGTTAAGAAGAAGAAACCTAAAACAAAGTCTGAAACTCAGGAATCAATCGAAGAGCCGGTTGAAGATATAGAAGAACAAGAGGATGAATCTGTGACTGAAGAAATAGAGCCGGTTGAAATTCTACCCGAGGAAGAAGTTGTTGAAGAAATTGCTCCAAAAGAGAAGGTGACAAAATTGAAGCCCAAAAAGGAAGAAGTTGTCGAGATGGTTGAAGAGGTTGCCTTGAAACCAGTGACCAGGCCAAAGAAACAATTACCCCAGGAAGCAACAATTGAAGAGGTACATCTGAAACCAACAAAACGCACAACAGCCAAGCCTGAGGATGTAAAAATTGAGGAAGTTGACTTGCAACATGTTGAAAGACTGGATGAAGAAGTTGTACAAGAAGAGAAACGTAAAGTCAAGAAGGTGAAAAAACCAAAGCATGAAGACTTGCCCGAAATACCAGATGCAGAGCCCACTGTTTTAGAAGAGGCAGAACACATTGACATCGAGAAGGAGCCGAAAACGGAAGAAGAAACACCTCAAGTGCCTTGGAAGCGTGGCCAGAAGAAAAAGCCGGTTGCTGAACCTTTAGAGGAGAAGCAATGGCCAACTGGTAAGCGGCGACTACTACCTGAAGAACAGCCCGAAGAGGTGCAACTGAAACCAATTCCCGCCAAGCCAGTGGAAGTGCCTGAGCAACCAGAAAAGGCAATTCCGGGACCACAGCTACAGCCTGAAGAGAATGTGGAAAGCGAAGAGGAGATATCTGATTTGGAACCTCTGAAGATTCCTGATGACAAGCAACCCAAAGAAAAGGTTAAAAAGGAGAAGAAGAAGAAGCCAAAGCTAAAGAAGGCAACTCCATCGGTGGATGAGGTATCAGAAGAAGTGGCTGAGCCATTCGCAGAGCCTATTGCTGAGGAGGATCAAGTCGAAGAACTACCAGTTGATGATGACAAAGTGGTTGCCGTATCCGAAGATGTGCAGCCCGAAGAAGAAGTTGTGATTACTGAGAAAACACCCGAAGTTAAACAAAAGGCGCATAAGAAGCGTACTAAGCCTCTAAAGGAAGCTTCGGTTGAAGGACAACCACAGTTGCTTGAGGCAGCTATTGCAGAAATCGAAAAGGCTGATGAAATTTCCCAAGAGATCTCACAAAAGACTATAACTCTACTGAAGAAGACTGAAGACACAAGACCTCAATTCATAACAACAGAGCAGCTCATCGAGCTCGATGTGGAAGATGTGAGACGCGATCTCGAAATGAAACTCACTTCAAATATTATCAAGAAAGAGAAACGTCGTGTGATACTTGATGACAGCCAACCACTTCCCGAATTGGAGCTTATAACACAGAAACGCATTCAGGAGGGCATTGACAAAGTGGCTGATGAGGAACTGATAGAGGACCAACAGCTGATACAAAACTTACAAGAAACGACTACGTCGGAGGTGATTGGTCAGGAGCGTAAGCTGGTAAAGAAGAAGAAGAAGGAAATAAAACCACCACGCATAACCGAGAAGCTGCGACCACGTCAATGCGTTCCGGAGGAGCCAACTGTTCTTGAGTGCAAGGTTGAAGGTGTACCATTCCCGGAAATCAATTGGTACTTCAACGACATTCTCCTGTTTGCATCGGAGAAGTATGAAATTACCGTCGTGGAGCAGGTGGCACAGCTGAAGATAGCGAAGGTCACTCCTAGTGATGTGGGTGTTTATACCTGTGAGGCCAAGAACGAGGCTGGGGTGGCGACTAGTCGTACCAACATTATATTAGGTAAGTTATATTTAAAACTATTTTATTTTAGAGTATGAAATGGATTTTTTCTCTGTGTAAGTCACATGAAAGCTTTCAAGAAAGTTTGCTGGTGACATAACTGTTAACCTCTTGGAAGAAACGACTTAACGAATATATTCCATGATTTATTCCTTTTCTCTGCCCAAAAACATAAATATACAACAACAACAATACTATAAAAAAAATTCTTACCCACACTGCATATAGAAAAAGAACAAGGAGTTGCACCACAATTTACCAAACCTCTTAAGATCGTGTTTACAGAAGAGAAAGAGCCCGAACGGCTTAAAGTTACAGTAACGTGTCAGGTAACGGGCAGTCCCCATCCACAAGTTAAGTGGTATCGTGGCATTGAGGAGGTTGTACCTAACGAAGCACTACAGATGTTCTATAACCAAGAAACGGGAGAAGTGGTTCTAGAAGTTATGAATCCACCTGCCAATGAAGCTATTACTTACTCGGTTCAGGCACAAAATCAATTTGGTCGCGCGATTGGCAATGCCAATATCATGAGTCGTGTTGATGAAGCTCCCAAGGAGATCCTAAAAGCGCCCACAGTTACACCATTAAGTGCAGTCGTAGTACCAAGTGGAGGCACTTTACTATTTGAAGCCAAATACGATGGAAGCCCTACACCAGAGATCAAATGGATGCGTAATGGTCGTGAGGTGGTTGAAAACGAGGAAACAATTATAGAAACCACTGAAACCACAACTAAAATAACGGTTACCAATATGAATCGTAAACGTACTGGAAAATACGAAGTTTGCGCCAAGAATAAAGTGGGTGAAGCCAAATCTTCAGGTTCAGTGGTCGTTTCAGACTCAGCGCCCGATAAGAAAATCAAACCACCCCGATTTATTCAACCATTGGAGCCAAAGTTCTTTGGAGAGCATGAAGTTGCAATACTTGAGGCTGTCGTTGATTCAGAACCGCTTTCATCCTTCCAATGGTTTGTGCATAACGAACCCATCAAGAGCTCCAATGAATGCCGCATTGTTACCCAAGCCAACAAGTCAACGCTGTTGATTGAGGACTTCCAAAAGAAGTTCTCTGGACCATTCACTTGTCGGGCGGAGAACGTTGGCGGCTCTGTTACATCAACAGCAACAGTAAATATGCTGGAGTCTTTGCCACTGGAAGAGGCTGTGGAATTCGAATCGCCTCGATTCATTGAAAAACTGATTGAGCCCATGGAGGTAATGGATGGTGAAGCGCTGAAATTGACCTGTAAAGTGACAGGAAAGCCTACACCAAAAGTGGAATGGTATCACAATAAGGAAAAGATAACCGAGACAAAAGAAACGAGTATATCGCAGGACTTACAAGGAAATTGTCAACTGCAAATAACAGAAGTTTTCCCTGAAAATAAGGGACAATATAAGTGTATTGCTACCAATAAGATTGGCAAAAGCGTCACCAAAACTACAGTTAATATTCAAGGTACTTTTGGATGGAATCAATTGATAGTTGATAGCTAACAATAGAATTTTAGAAGAAGTAGCATACACCATATGCATTACATTCAAAATAGGGTTTCCAATAACTACACTCTTGCCTCTATCCTTCTTTTAATTTCGCTGACAATCCTATCCTTTGATTGCGTATCTTATACTAACTCACATCTTGAAGAATCTGCATGTGATCCATTCTAATAGAGTTGCGCCTATCTAGTTTCGAATACAAGTCTATTGTATATAAATCTATATCAGTTCTCTCCAATTCCTTTTGTAAATAATTTGCCGTTTTGCGTTTGTTCCAACATATTAATATATTCGTGTTTCGGCTCTTCTATATTGACACACTTTAAAATATTTTTTAGCATTTGAATATATCCCCGATTCTGAAATCACTGGACTCACAGGATCTGAGGAGGATCTACTTGATAGAGTAAGCGTGTTTGTAGTTAAAGAGTTGCATAGGTTTTTGAAGCTAACTTTTCGTATATAATGACACCGTTTTAGACCACTTCAATCGACGAACAAGCTCCGAAAATAATTAAAAAGCTACCTGTTAAAATCGAACCCAAAGAGGGTGAACAAGCGAAATTGGAAGTTAAGGTTATTGGTAAACCAAAACCAAAAGTCAAATGGCTACGTGACGACGAACAGATATTCGCTTCCGAGGAATATCAAATCGAAAATTTCGACGATGGGACCTCAGTGTTGGTCATCAATCATGTCTATCCCGATGATTTGGGCACAATTAGTTTTGAGGCTTACAATCCATTGGGAGTGGCAGTAACTACAGCACTATTTGCCGTGGAAGGTACTGTTATGGTTTATGATGTATCTGAAATACGTTTTATAATATTATGGAAAAATCTTGGAATTGTCAGTAAAATTTTCTTTCAGATCTGCAGCAGCATTTTCGAATTCCCCCTTACCCAAATCCCCTTTCTAATATATGTATACAATCCTCCTTAATAACATCCAACTCGTATTCCCTACACTTTTATTATACAGTTAACTACACTAAAGGTTAAACAACGAATACAATGCAAAAATTGAAAACACAAATAGTCTTCATTTACATCTTATAATGAAAATATATTAATATATAACACTATTGTCACTTTCTACTATATTGCATCGATATTAGGCATCGTTGGATCAAAGGATTACCGCAAACCAGAATGGGTGACTCACATGGAAGAGATGCAAGTTGCTCTCAAAGGTATGTATCTGATAATTGCAAAATAACCGACTTATACCACTGTTATGTGTATATGTGTTTTAATTTCGTGTTTTCAACACACAAACGTTTTCCGTACTATTGTCCTATGTTACGAGCAACATTTCACAAAGTCTGTCACTTCTACTATCTGTCTCTATTGTCTTTGTCCTTGTATTATACAATGTTTTGTACAACACCAACAACAAAAACTATGTGAACATGTCAGTTTCGTCCAAAAATAAAACTTTACAAGTGTGGCTTTGTTATTGTCTTAGTCCTTACAGCTCTAAGGCTTATCCCCCAAATCCCTAGTATCCTACCCTAGTATTATTCGAAAACGCCATTAGAAATATTAGTATAGAAATTTGTTATCGTATATATATATTCTCTTACAGTATCAGTACCTCATCTGCAAGTAATTGGTTGTGTTCTAAAAATTTTATTTTTTCCATTTTCCAAATTTCTACTAACAATTATTGAAGTAAATTCCAAAGAAACAATATGACATTCCCAAAACGCTGCTTTCCCTAAACGTACTTATGTACACTATATTTCTTTATTCGTTTACTATGTTAACTAATTTTGCTGTTTGTTTGCAAGTTGTATTTTCTCTTATTATTTGACCGCATTACTAATACATCTGAAAACAGACAAACAATTTACAAGTTACTCAAGTAAACTATGTATGTCCAAACGAATACAGACTGGATTCACACCACATTAGGATTAGACCCTGTAAGTACAAAAACAATGCAATACAACACAATACAAATATACACTAACTCTTGTTCTTTGTAAGCAAATGTAGTTTGTTGTTGCTGTAGAGCGTAGAAACTAATCGATAGTTAAATTATGCAAATCTTTATGCTTATAGCTGCTAAATGCTCGCCATCGCTGCTTAATGAAATGCGTGACTGCCGTGGGTCCATTGGCGAAACTGCCAAATTTAAAATACAATTTGCAGGAAATCCAAAACCAGGTACTGTATAAATCTTTAGTCGACTGCTGTAGATGGCAGAGGCTGATGGAAGATTGGTTTACTGAATTTTGTAGATATACAGTGGTATTTCAACAATGTGCAACTTAGGGCATCAGAAAAGTATCGCATGGTAGTGGAGGAGTCGGAAGCAACGCTAGAAATATTCAAGATTATAAATGAGGACTGCGGTAACTACACCTGCAAGCTGATCAATGAGATTGGCATGACAATGACGCGCGCTAAATTCGATATATCCTCAACGACTTCGGAGGAGACGGAGCATATTAAGACGAAGACAACTGTGAAGAGAAAAACGGCTAAAAAGACGATGGCGAAACGAACTAATGCATCTGCGTCGCAGACTTTGCATAAGACAGAAATACAAATAGTGCCAGCCAGTAGAGTAGAGACTACAATGAATATAATCAAGGTGAAACAGGCTGTACCCATAGTAGTGGAACACAGTGAAGTTTCCGAAGTGATGCAAGTAAAAGATCGCAAGATTGCTGATGCCGAGCAACGTAGCAGCAGAATCATTGAAGAAATTGTCGAAGAAGATGAGGAGGAAGAGGATGAGAATGAGAAAGAGAATAAGAAAGAAGATGTCTACGTGAAAAAGATATACAAATCGAGTAAAACTATTCAGCTAACTGAAAGCGTTGAGCTCATACGAATGAAAATCACTCAGAAATCCATTAAAATTGAAGATATCTATGATATAAGCCAACATGAAGAGGTGCAATGGCTACTCGAATCTGTCGAGGCCAAGTCCTTTGGCAAAACTGGTGAGGCAGCCCTCAGAGATCTGGCCACTATTGGTGTGCTATTACGCTATGGCTGCACTCATTATGAGATCACATACATGTACGAACAGAACATATTCATATCTCTGCAAAAGCCTGAATCACAATCGGCTCTCGTTCAGCTTGTGGAGCGTGAAGGCCACGAAGAGCTAATTACCCAAATTCTAAGTGAATCTTCAAACGAAGACGAGACCACACTGGCAGCGACAGTCGGCTTCAAGGCCTTCATACGCATGATAGAGTCGTACGAAATAACAATAGAGACGGTCATACGAAAGTTTCATAGGGAGGACTTCATCTCGCACGATTGGAAGATATGCGGAAAGGAGGTTTGAAATCTGTTTTGTTTGTTATTGTTTTGTTTTTGCGATTGTGTAGACAGTTGAATTGCCAAAAAAAAAATTAATTTCTTATTATGTAAGATTGAGGAATACTTTAAGAACTGGCATTTCAACTACTATCACGATGTATGTTCTGAGAATTTAAATAGTTTTCTAGTTGGAAGCTATGTGAATACTTTTCAATTAGCGTATTGACAATTTTTTATAAATTTTTTATACGATTCACTGAAATCTAGAGAATAGTAGAGACATCCCAGATTATTGAAAGTCACGAGGCAATTACGCATGTCAAAATCGGTGAGTAGTGCTTTATTTGTATATATTTGTAGCTGTATATACATATGTATATTTTTGTAAATGCTTTTATTATACCAATTGTACTTTGAATACTGAAAAGTTATTATTTCATTTCTTTTTATTTTCAAAATGAAAAACTGCTTTGTAAAAAACAATACCTGCGCTTATGTGCCAATCCCAACAACAAACTAAATCTAACACAAACGTAGAGGAAACATTTGTCGAGGAACGCACGATAGTTGTCGATGAAGGTTTGAACTTAAACACAGATGAACTGTAAATCCAAAATAATACCTACCAGTAATGATGTCCCCCAATCAACAACTACTCAACTACAGTTACAACATAATATTATTTAAAAAAAAAAAAAAAAAAAATTAAATGCAGACACAAATACAAATACAATTAATAATTGATATTGACTCTTTAAATATAACAATTAAACTTTGTTAAATCAAACGAATCATGTGTATATTCTAAAAAAGACGACTACCGAGTACTCGAAACTCCCATTAACCTTTAATAACTGCCTACTACTATTATTACAATTAAATGATTTTCTTTAGCCTGTTGTCATATAAGCTTATTTTTGAAATCATTTTGAAATTTAAATGCTTCTACTTACCTGAATACTATTAGTAGAAGGGCTTTTATTTACTGCACGCTGCAAATGAGTCGGTTCGACTTGAGGTAAGTTTTCACAGAGTTTTCCAATTGTAAATGTATATTTTGTTTGTCTGTTTGGCTTTCGTTCTGTTTCACCAAAAAGCTGTAAATAGATGAAACACAATATTTATAATCATTAGCTTTATCGCTGCCTGACCTAATATTTATTATTTAATAATTGCATTTGTCTGGCTTCATGCAGTTGCAAACATTGTTAGTGTATTGTATTTAAAAGCACTTTTAAGAAGAGTCGACATTGTCATTGTTTAATTACATTACATTCGCAGAAACAACAACCACAAAAGTGGATAAACTATTCATACAGCAACAACAAGCACAAGAACAAGAACATGAACAAGTACAAGAACAACAAGTACAAATAAAGGCTGAACAAACAGTGCTTAGCAAAACCAAAACTAAAAAGCATAAAAAACATACAGAAATGATACAACAAGAACAAGAACAACCACAACAAGAAGAGAGAGAAAGTGTTGAGGCTATTACCTATTACGAGCAGAGAGAAACATTTGCAGAAGAATCAAACACTGAAGCTCCAACAATTGAAACACTCGAGCATATTGAAGAGCTATTGCCACACAGCACAACACTTTCCACCCAAAATCTACCAAAAAGCACACACGAGACAATTCCAGTTTCAGTAACTACAGAACTCTCCACACCGAAACCGATAGCCGCGCAAGTACATAATGAATTTTTACCGCAAAAAACTTTAGCAGTGAATGAGGAGTGTTTAGCATTTGATGAGGTTAGATTTGATTTAGATCGGTCCAAGCCAGCGACGAGTCAACTTAGCGAACAACTTGAAGTTCGCGAGAGACATGCTGTTTCTATAACAGAGATGCAGATAAAGGAATCACCCAAGGAAATAAAATCCTCTAAAATTCCGAAGCTTATGAAAGCTGAACGTAAAATGAAGGAGTCGCGTCCCTTGTTAATACAAGCACCGAGCGTCGAGGACTCAGTAGGTGAGCTGGAATCGTTAAAAAATCCCACTCAGCAAGCACATGGCGAGATCGTTTTCTCCCATGAGCTCAGCTCGGAGCAGACGTCAACATTGGAAAGTGTTGACAACCTTAAATCACCTTTAATTAGCACGGAAAGAGCACAATCACAATATCTGGAAAATGAAAGTGTTCTAATCACTGAATCGTTTAGAGGTGAGACTGTCGCTAAGGAAGAATCCCCTGCGAAGCACATTAGCGAACAAGTATCTCCACAAATTATGTCAAATATTAGTTTGGGAGTTAGTGAATACCAACCAGATGACTCTGTAATGGAGCTAAAATCAGAAGCAGAAGTGCACGCTGAGACTTCATCAGTAACAGTACAAGAATTTAAAGTATTTAGCACTAGTGAGTCCAGAGCATTAGAAAGTGTTGAGGAAATACGTGTTGAACACCAGACTGCAAAGTCTCAAGCAGAAGTTACCATTAAGTCCGAAAACACACCACTTTTGGTTCAGGAAATCGAAAAAATGGAGTCGCTAAGTGGGGAAGAGCCATTAACACAGCGAATACCTGAGGTTCAGGCTCTTAAACAATTGGTATTAACAGAGGGACTAATTAATACAACAGCAGATGCGCGAAGTCCTACGGAACAAAGTTTGCCAATGTTTAGGGCTGACTCACAGGAAGCCAGCTTCAGCGTGGAAACTCAATCTCATATTATTACTCAGGAGACTGTGTTTACTGAAGATGGTCCAAAGGATTTGGCTCTTATGGACGTACCCAAAAATGTTGGTGCTACACTGAGCCAAACAAGCACTCTAACAGTTGGAGAAAGTCAAGAAACGCATTTAGTCGAAACAACTTCCAAACTGGATAAGCCAATAATAGAGCCAGCCAAGCCCGCAAAGGAAACATTAACCACAGCATTTGCTACCGCCGTGGGTAATCAGGAAGCAGTATATGATACCCTTGACATAATGGATCATCTAAGAAAAGATTTTAATCAAGGAAAGGTAAACATAACTGATGGCGAATTAGTTGCAGAGGTGCGTGCACATACTATTATTGACTCGGAACAAATACTTTTGCCTGTGGTCCCTGAAACTGTAAATGCTAAATTGGACTTTGTTGAACAGAAGGCATTACATGTTAAGCAAGATACTGGCATTGAGAAAGAAACTGACCTTCCGATAAAAGAACTGGCGCCTGAGCAAGCCGCTATAGAAAAAATGATGCCCATTGAACTTAAAGCAAGCAGTGTGTGGGAGGTGCATCCTCAACTTACACCTGCTGATATTGAAAGTGAAATTATTAAGCCAGGATCAGCGACCCAAATTTTCGAATCAAAACCGGTTGGAGTTACAATTCAGCAGGAATCGCTAAGCGGCACAGAATATCTTGAACTACCACAACAGCCGAAACATAAGACCGGAAGTGTACTTATGGCTGACTTAAAGCAGCAGCTAGATGTAACCGATGTGCAGGTTTTAGAGTCAAACTTTGACCTAAAAGTAGTGCCGAGCCAACAACAATTAGAAGCTCAGGAAACAACTGAGACATTTACTCATGCAGAGCATACAGAAGTTATATTATTGGAGTCTACGAAGGAACATGCAACAGAAAGCAAGCCAACTGCGGCTTTAGCAGAAATAGCAATCCCAGCTCAATTTGGAACTGATATATCAGAGCACACATTACTGGAAACTTTGCAGCCTCACCAGCAGATAACACAGCCTCAGCAGCAGATAATAGGATCAACATTTGACCTTCTGCAGCCATTGGAGACAAGCTCTCTCTTGACTCTAGAACAGGAAATAGTTATGCAGCCAGAAGAACCAAATGCTGTGCGGAACGCTGCTATTGGAACATCCACAGCTTTACAGGTGGCAAATCAATTAAGTCCCCAACATATGGAATTATTACAAGAGTTTGATGATGAGACGCAGCCACAACACCAAGCTCAAATTAATATAGGTGAATTAACATTACCGGAAAGCGAAGAAGTAACAACTTTAGATGCCATAAAGGATTACATACCAATGGTATCAAATAAACTTACTGTAACTAACGTAGATTTCGTAGAGAATACATCTGCTTTGAATACTTCTACAGCCATGGTTAGTGAAGAAGTATGTGACATTAAGGAGCCAGCTGCCGTTCAACAACCTGGCATTACACCAAAATTGAGTGACTTCACCAATAAATCACCGCTCTTAGAAGAACCAAATGCTTTGGATTCTACAGCAGAGCTAAGCACTTTTAATCCGACGTTAGAAAGTAGTCAGCCTACAATAAGCAGCTTCGACGAGATACATGTACAGGAAACCAAAATATTTGAAAAAGCGGTTATAATGGAAGAGCAGTCCCATCCGATCGGACAGTTGGTTAAAGTTTCACTTGATTCCACAGCTGGTGTTGGGTTGAGTCATAAGGAGCATATTTTCGAATTGGAGAGTAATCTTGAAGTATTATCTGCGCCCTCGGAGCAAGCAAAATCACTCGCCTCGGAATTGTTAAAGCTACCATTGACAGAAGGGGTGCAAGCAAATCAGTCAACCGGAGATTTGGCAGGATTCACAGTGTCTAACAAATTTGCCACATCGAATATTGATGTCTTAACTGAAACAAAGACGTCTGAAGCCATAGTTTATGATAACGTTTCAATGTCTAAGGTTATTGATCAACCTGAATGCGTTATCTCTCAGACCATGATTCCCCTTGAGCATAAACTGATCACGGAATGTGTTGTGATTGCCGATGTGGAGGAGTTTAAGGAAACACCGGACAAGCAAAGAACTGCCAATCCCACTCAGGACGCATTCAGCCATTTAGCTATTGCAGAGGATCAAAATACACTTGAAGCCGAATCAACTTTTGAATCTGACCGTTCACAAGAGTTTAGTGCAAAGATTACCGAAGTTATTCCAGCGTTTTGCACGAAAGGAGTCGACGAAATTCAGGTGTATGAAACTTTAGATGAACCGCAGCGTAGTAAAAAAATATCGGAACAACAAGCTGGAATTTCCCATGATGTGGCTCAGGTTGCCGTTACAGACTTACAACAAAGTATAGAAACAGAGGAAACTTTCATTACCGAGCCCCAAAACAGTGCAGCTGCCATCTCAAGTGATAATAACTCGATATTTAAGTTGCCTGTGAGTTCTGCAATACAAATTGTAGAGGATGCCACCGAATTCGCCACACCTGCAACAGACGAAGCATTTGCTAAGCGCAATTTAGAAGGTCAGCATTATGAAGTAACAGTAATTGATAGTCAACTAGCTGAAGGCACAGAACCTATTTCTCCTCACGATGAATTTGCAGCAAAAGCAACAGAGTCTTTAAATATTATGTTCAAAACAATTTCCGAATCAGTACAATCCAGCATATTTCAAAAGGAGTCTGAAATACAACACACAGAGTCCCAGGAAGTTATTGCCAAACCAACTTTTAGTGATATTATTCAATATACAACAACAACAGATGTGATGCCCTTAGAATTTTCGGAGAATATTAAACATACCGAATACAACAAGCAGATGGCTCAAGTCCACCCTTTTGTTTTGACTGATGCCAACAAATTAAACGTTCATATGGATGAGATTATCCTACAAAAAGAGGATACATTCTTGGACTCTCATCAAGTTGGTTATGGTAAACCTTTTATAGAAGGTACACAACGTGAAACGCTCATTTCCGAGGTCATACCAATAGAAAATGTTGGTAATTTAGGAGTGCCGACTGTTGATGCTCAAAAAATGACTAGTACTGTTACCACCCCATCACAAATGCATAAAACTGTATCACAAGTTGAGGCCTACGAAAAAGCCGTGGCTCTGAAAGATGAGCGTCCAAATGAAGGACATGTCGCTATAGTCGGTGATAAAGAAACAAAGCGTGCAAATGTTACAACAATACAAGCTTCATATATCAAAGAAGATGATATGGTTCCTCTATCTTATACGAAAAATACTGTTCAGATATCCAATACAGAGCAAGAATCATTGATAACCGAGGAAGTTATTAGCGTAAGCTCCATACAAGAAAATTACGACCTCCATATACCAACACAAGTTAATGCTAATATAATATGTGAGTCTTCAAATGAGGCAACAACAATTTCAGAGCAATTGGCCTATGAAGATTCGCCTAATATTGAAATTGAGGAAAGTAAATTCTCTACGTCTCGAATTAATTTTGTTGAAAGTTGTACCAAGCCAGTTGAAACATCCACTGTTAGCGTATACGAAAATATTAAAGGACATGGCGATTTTCAGCCCCTGAGTGCAAAACCAACATCAGATGTGCTATCAGACTTAAAGGTTTCGGTTGTGGAAGAGGTAACTGCTATACCGTCTCTAGGTAGAATTACAGAAACTGTGCCCAAAGAGGTCATAGCAATTGCAGAAAATATTGCTCATAAAAACGTTCTTGTTACCAAACAAGAGCCCTGCGAAAATGTGAACATTTTATTAGAGAATGCAGCTCCTGCTATGGAAAGTGCTTGCTATGCAACTGCTGATACAAAACTCGCGGCGCTATCTAATGAACTTCATGAGAAAGGAACTCTTTCTGAAACAATCAGTTCTGAATTAGATTTAGAATATGCAAAGCCTTCAATGACGCCATATAGCTCGTGTCTCTATCAACAAATTATAGCAGAAGAGCAAGTCACAACACTACATAAGAAAGACCAAACACAATCCACAAATGCAAATGTTAGCTATGAAACAAACGTCACAAATCAGGTTGATATATGCAATCTAACAACAAATCTTAATATATCATATGACCTGGAAAACATACAGCCTTCAATAGAGCAGAGAGAGAATGCTTTACAAAACACATCATTTGTATCTGATAATGTAACTATTATTATGCCCCTTGAGGCTGAACTTCCTGTAAATGCAAAGGTTACGACAACACCAAAACATGACAAGCCACACATTGACTTGGAATTACCTTCTGAGTCACAATTGCAATCTACACCAATAATTGAGTATGAAAATCTTAAAACAAAAAACTTAAATCAAATCAAACAAGCAAAGCCGGGTAAGTATTTCGTAAGGTTAAACTTAAGCAGTTCAACATATAAGGCGTATTACTTCCATATCCAATTGACCCCCAAACTTCAAAACACATATTACACAAAACAATAATAAACTACATGAAAAATTAAGTACTAAAAGCATATTTTTTACACAGATACAAAACAAGCCACAGACACACAACACACACTACAAACGACACCAACACAAATTACACATGAAGTTGAAATAACGGAAATTCCTGAAAATATTCACGTTATTGAAGAAATTACAAAAGACGGGCAAAAAAATACAAAAACAAAACGCACACGCTTAATAAAAAAGGTTAAAGGCGACAAACAAGAGCTTACAAAGATCGAAACCGTTGAAGAGGATGGCAAAGAACCACAGACAACAGTCACCGTGGAAGAGATTCCTGTGGAAGAAAAACAGCCTGAAGAAATCAAGGAACTTCCAGAGGAAGTTCGTGTTGTGGAAACTGTTACCGAAGACGGCAAGCCAAAGAAAAAGAAGATACGCACTCGTGTTATCAAGAAGATTAAGGGAGATAAACAAGAAGTTACCAAGATCGAAACCGTCGAAGAGGATGACAAAGAACCAGAGACAACTGTCACCGTGGAGGTGATTCCTGTGGAAGAACAGCCAGAGGAAGTCAAGGAACTTCCAGAGGAAGTTCGTGTGGTTGAAACTATCACCGAAGACGGCAAGCCAAAGAAGAAGAAGATACGCACTCGTGTTATCAAGAAGATTAAAGGTGACAAACAAGAAGTTACAAAGATCGAAACAATCGAGGAGGATGACAAAAAACCAGAGACAACTGTCACCGTGGAAGAGGTTCCTGTGGAAGAAGAACAGCCTGAAGAAATCAAGGAGCTTCCAGAGGAAGTTCGTGTGGTTGAAACTATCACCGAAGACGGCAAGCCAAAGAAGAAGAAGATACGCACTCGTGTTATCAAAAAGGTTAAGGGTGACAAACAAGAAGTTACCAAGATCGAAACCGTCGAAGAGGATGACAAAGAACCAGAGACAACTGTCACCGTGGAAGAGATTCCGGTTGAAGAACAGCCTGAAGAAATCAAGGAGCTTCCAGAGGAAGTTCGTGTGGTTGAAACTATCACCGAAGACGGCAAGCCAAAGAAGAAGAAGATACGCACTCGTGTTATCAAAAAGGTTAAGGGTGACAAACAAGAAGTAACCAAGATCGAAACTGTCGAGGAGGATGATAAAGAGCCAGAAACAACTGTCACTGTGGAAGAGATTCCTGTGGAAGAACAGCCAGAGGAAGTCAAGGAACTTCCAGAGGAAGTTCGTGTGGTTGAAACTATCACCGAAGACGGCAAGCCAAAGAAAAAGAAGATACGCACTCGTGTTATCAAGAAGATTAAGGGAGATAAACAAGAAGTTACCAAGATCGAAACCGTCGAAGAGGATGACAAAGAACCAGAGACAACTGTCACCGTGGAGGTGATTCCTGTGGAAGAACAGCCAGAGGAAGTCAAGGAACTTCCAGAGGAAGTTCGTGTGGTTGAAACTATCACCGAAGACGGCAAGCCAAAGAAGAAGAAGATACGCACTCGTGTTATCAAGAAGGTTAAGGGTGATAAACAAGAAGTTACCAAGATCGAAACCGTCGAGGAGGATGACAAAGAACCAGAGACAACTGTCACTGTGGAAGAGGTTCCTATGGAAGAAGAACAGCCTGAAAAAATCAAGGAGCTTCCAGAGGAAGTTCGTGTGGTTGAAACTATCACCGAAGACGGTAAGCCAAAGAAAAAGAAGATACGCACTCGTGTTATCAAGAAGATTAAGGGAGATAAACAAGAAGTTACCAAGATCGAAACCGTTGAGGAGGATGACAAACAACCAGAGACAACTGTCACAGTGGAAGAGATTCCGGTTGAAGAACAGCCTGAAGAAATCAAGGAGCTTCCAGAGGAAGTTCGTGTGATTGAAACTATCACCGAAGACGGCAAGCCAAAGAAGAAGAAGATACGCACTCGTGTTATCAAGAAGGTTAAGGGTGACAAGCAAGAAGTTACCAAGATCGAAACCGTTGAGGAGGATGACAAACAGCCAGAGACAACTGTCACAGTGGAAGAGATTCCGGTTGAAGAACAGCCTGAAGAAATCAAGGAGCTTCCAGAGGAAGTTCGTGTGGTTGAAACTATAACCGAAGATGGCAAGCCAAAGAAGAAGAAGATACGCACTCGTGTTATCAAGAAGGTTAAGGGTGACAAACAAGAAGTTACCAAGATCGAAACCGTCGAGGAGGATGACAAAGAACCAGAGACAACTGTCACCGTGGAAGAGGTTCCGGTAAAAGAACAGCCTGAAGATATCAAGGAACTTCCAGAGGAAGTTCGTGTGGTTGAAACTATCACCGAAGACGGCAAGCCAAAGAAGAAGAAGATACGCACTCGTGTTATCAAAAAGGTTAAGGGTGACAAACAAGAAGTTACCAAGATCGAAACCGTTGAGGAGGATGACAAAGAACCAGAGATAACTGTCACAGTGGAAGAGATTCCGGTTGAAGAACAGCCTGAAGAAATCAAGGAGCTTCCAGAGGAAGTTCGTGTGGTTGAAACTATCACCGAAGACGGCAAGCCAAAGAAGAAGAAGATACGCACTCGTGTTATCAAGAAGGTTAAGGGTGACAAACAAGAAGTTACCAAGATCGAAACCGTTGAGGAGGATGACAAAGAACCAGAGACAACTGTCACCGTGGAAGAGGTTTCTGTGGAAGAAGAACAGCCTGAAGAAATCAAGGAGCTTCCAGAGGAAGTTCGTGTGGTTGAAACTATCACCGAAGACGGCAAACCAAAGAAGAAGAAGATACGCACTCGTGTTATCAAGAAGGTAAAGGGTGACAAACAAGAAGTTACCAAGATCGAAACCGTCGAGGAGGATGACAAAGAACCTGAGACAACTGTCACAGTTGAAGAGGTTCCTGTGGAAGAAGAACAGCCTGAAGAAATCAAGGAGCTTCCAGAGGAAGTTCGTGTGGTTGAAACTATAACCGAAGACGGCAAGCCAAAGAAGAAGAAGATACGCACTCGTGTTATCAAAAAGGTTAAGGGTGACAAACAAGAAGTTACCAAGATCGAAACCGTCGAGGAGGATGACAAAGAGCCAGAGACAACTGTCACAGTGGAAGAGATTCCGGTTGAAGAACAGCCTAAAGAAATCAGGGAGCTTCCAGAGGAAGTTCGTGTGGTTGAAATTATCACCGAAGACGGCAAGCCAAAGAAGAAGAAGATACGCACTCGTGTTATCAAGAAGGTTAAGGGTGACAAACAAGAAGTTACCAAGATCGAAACCGTCGAGGAGGATGACAAAGAACCAGAGACAACTGTCACCGTGGAAGAGATTCCGGTTGAAGAACAGCCTGAAGAAATCAAGGAGCTTCCAGAGGAAGTTCGTGTGGTTGAAACTATAACCGAAGACGGCAAGCCAAAGAAAAAGAAGATACGCACTCGTGTTATCAAGAAGGTTAAGGGTGACAAACAAGAAGTTACCAAGATCGAAACCGTTGAGGAGGATGACAAAGAACCAGAGATAACTGTCACAGTGGAAGAGATTCCGGTTGAAGAACAGCCTGAAGAAATCAAGGAGCTTCCAGAGGAAGTTCGTGTGGTTGAAACTATAACCGAAGACGGCAAGCCAAAGAAGAAGAAGATACGCACTCGTGTTATCAAAAAGGTTAAGGGTGACAAACAAGAAGTTACCAAGATCGAAACCGTTGAGGAGGATGACAAAGAGCCAGAGACAACTGTCACAGTGGAAGAGATTCCGGTTGAAGAACAGCCTGAAGAAATCAAGGAGCTTCCAGAGGAAGTTCGTGTGGTTGAAACTATCACCGAAGACGGCAAGCCAAAGAAGAAGAAGATACGCACTCGTGTTATCAAGAAGGTTAAGGGTGACAAACAAGAAGTTACCAAGATCGAAACCGTTGAGGAGGATGACAAACAGCCAGAGACAACTGTCACAGTGGAAGAGATTCCGGTTGAAGAACAGCCTGAAGAAATCAAGGAGCTTCCAGAGGAAGTTCGTGTGGTTGAAACTATAACCGAAGACGGCAAGCCAAAGAAGAAGAAGATACGCACTCGTGTTATCAAGAAGGTTAAGGGTGACAAACAAGAAGTTACCAAGATCGAAACCGTCGAGGAGGATGACAAAGAACCAGAGACAACTGTCACCGTGGAAGAGATTCCGGTTGAAGAACAGCCTGAAGAAATCAAGGAGCTTCCAGAGGAAGTTCGTGTGGTTGAAACTATAACCGAAGACGGCAAGCCAAAGAAGAAGAAGATACGCACTCGTGTTATCAAGAAGGTTAAGGGTGACAAACAAGAAGTTACCAAGATCGAAACCGTCGAGGAGGATGACAAAGAACCAGAGACAACTGTCACCGTGGAAGAGATTGCGGTTGAAGAACAGCCTGAAGAAATCAAGGAGCTTCCAGAGGAAGTTCGTGTGGTTGAAACTGTCACCGAAGACGGCAAGCCAAAGAAGAAGAAGATACGCACTCGTGTTATCAAGAAGGTTAAAGGTGACAAACAAGAGGTAACCAAGATCGAAACCGTTGAGGAGGATGACAAAGAACCAGAGACAACTGTCACCGTGGAAGAGATTCCGGTTGAAGAACAGCCTGAAGAAATCAAGGAGCTTCCAGAGGAAGTTCGTGTGGTTGAAACTATCACCGAAGACGGCAAGCCAAAGAAGAAGAAGATACGCACTCGTGTTATCAAAAAGGTTAAGGGTGACAAACAAGAAGTTACCAAGATCGAAACCGTCGATGAAGATGACAAAGAACCAGAGACAACTGTCACTGTTGAAGAGGTTCCTGTTGAAGAACAGCCTGAAGAAATTCAAGGAGCTTCCAGAGGAAGTTCGTGTGGGTTGAAACTATCACCGAAGACGGAAAGCCAAAGAAGAAGAAGATACGCACTCGTGTTATTAAAAAGGTTAAGGGTGACAAACAAGAAGTTACCAAGATCGAAACCGTCGAGGAGGATGACAAAGAACCAGAGACAACTGTCACCGTGGAAGAGATTGCGGTTGAAGAACAGCCTGAAGAAATCAAGGAGCTTCCAGAGGAAGTTCGTGTGGTTGAAACTGTCACCGAAGACGGCAAGCCAAAGAAGAAGAAGATACGCACTCGTGTTATCAAGAAGGTTAAGGGTGACAAACAAGAAGTTACCAAGATCGAAACCGTCGAGGAGGATGACAAAGAACCAGAGACAACTGTCACAGTGGAAGAGATTCCGGTTGAAGAACAGCCTGAAGAAATCAAGGAGCTTCCAGAGGAAGTTCGTGTGGTTGAAACTATCACCGAAGACGGCAAGCCAAAGAAGAAGAAGATACGCACTCGTGTTATCAAGAAGGTTAAGGGTGACAAACAAGAAGTTACCAAGATCGAAACCGTCGAGGAGGATGATAAAGAACCAGAGACAACTGTCACAGTGGAAGAGGTTCCTGTGGAAGAAGAACAGCCTGAAGAAATCGAGGAGCTTCCAGAGGAAGTTCGTGTGGTTGAAACTATCACCGAAGACGGCAAGCCAAAGAAGAAGAAGATACGCACTCGTGTTATCAAGAAGGTTAAGGGTGACAAACAAGAAGTTACCAAGATCGAAACCGTCGAGGAGGATGACAAAGAACCAGAGACAACTGTCACAGTGGAAGAGGTTCCTGTGGAAGAAGAACAGCCTGAAGAAATCAAGGAGCTTCCAGAGGAAGTTCGTGTGGTTGAAACTATCACCGAAGACGGCAAGCCAAAGAAGAAGAAGATACGCACTCGTGTTATCAAGAAGGTTAAAGGTGACAAACAAGAAGTTACCAAGATCGAAACCGTCGAGGAGGATGACAAAGAACCAGAGACAACTGTCACAGTGGAAGAGATTCCGGTTGAAGAACAGCCTGAAGAAATCAAAGAGCTTCCAGAGGAAGTTCGTGTGGTTGAAACTATCACCGAAGACGGCAAGCCAAAGAAAAAGAAGATACGCACTCGTGTTATCAAGAAGGTTAAGGGTGACAAACAAGAAGTTACCAAGATCGAAACCGTCGAGGAGGATGACAAAGAACCAGAGACAACTGTCACCGTGGAAGAGATTCCGGTTGAAGAACAGCCTGAAGAAATCAAGGAGCTTCCAGAGGAAGTTCGTGTGGTTGAAACTATCACCGAAGACGGCAAGCCAAAGAAGAAGAAGATACGCACTCGTGTTATCAAGAAGGTTAAGGGTGACAAACAAGAAGTTACCAAGATCGAAACCGTCGAGGAGGATGACAAAGAACCAGAGACAACTGTCACAGTGGAAGAGGTTCCTGTGGAAGAAGAACAGCCTGAAGAAATCAAGGAGCTTCCAGAGGAAGTTCGTGTGGTTGAAACTATCACCGAAGACGGCAAGCCAAAGAAGAAGAAGATACGCACTCGTGTTATCAAAAAGGTTAAGGGTGACAAACAAGAAGTTACCAAGATCGAAACCGTTGAGGAAGATGACAAAGAACCAGAGACAACTGTCACTGTGGAAGAGATTCCGGTTGAAGAACAGCCTGAAGAAATCAAGGAGCTTCCAGAGGAAGTTCGTGTGGTTGAAACTATCACCGAAGACGGCAAGCCAAAGAAGAAGAAGATACGCACTCGTGTTATCAAGAAGGTTAAGGGTGATAAACAAGAAGTTACCAAGATCGAAACCGTCGAGGAGGATGACAAAGAACCAGAGACAACTGTCACTGTGGAAGAGGTTCCTGTGGAAGAAGAACAGCCTGAAAAAATCAAGGAGCTTCCCGAGGAAGTTCGTGTGGTTGAAACTATCACCGAAGACGGCAAGCCAAAGAAGAAGAAGATACGCACTCGTGTTATCAAAAAGGTTAAGGGTGACAAACAAGAAGTTACCAAGATCGAAACCGTCGAGGAGGATGACAAAGAACCAGAGACAACTGTCACCGTGGAAGAGATTCCGGTTGAAGAACAGCCTGAAGAAATCAAGGAGCTTCCAGAGGAAGTTCGTGTGGTTGAAACTATAACCGAAGACGGCAAGCCAAAGAAGAAGAAGATACGCACTCGTGTTATCAAAAAGGTTAAGGGTGACAAACAAGAAGTTACCAAGATCGAAACCCGTCGAGGAGGATGACAAAATACCAGAGACAACTGTCACAGTGAAAGAGGTTCCTGTGGAAGAAGAACAGCCTGAAGAAATCAAGGAGCTTCCAGAGGAAGTTCGTGTGGTTGAAACTATCACCGAAGACGGCAAGCCAAAGAAGAAGAAGATACGCACTCGTGTTATCAAAAAGGTTAAGGGTGACAAACAAGAAGTTACCAAGATCGAAACCGTCGAGGAGGATGATAAAGAGCCAGAGACAACTGTCACAGTGGAAGAGGTTCCGGTTGAAGAACAGCCTGAAGAAATCAAGGAGCTTCCAGAGGAAGTTCGTGTGGTTGAAACTATCACCGAAGACGGCAAGCCAAAGAAGAAGAAGATACGCACTCGTGTTATCAAAAAGGTTAAGGGTGACAAACAAGAAGTTACCAAGATCGAAACCGTCGAGGAGGATGACAAAGAACCAGAGACAACTGTCACAGTGGAAGAGGTTCCTGTGGAAGAACAGCCTGAAGAAATCAAGGAGCTTCCAGAGGAAGTTCGTGTGGTTGAAACTATCACTGAAGACGGCAAGCCAAAGAAGAAGAAGATACGCACTCGAGTTATCAAAAAGGTTAAGGGTGACAAACAAGAAGTTACCAAGATCGAAACCGTCGAGGAGGATGACAAAGAACCAGAGACAACTGTCACAGTGAAAGAGGTTCCTGTGGAAGAAGAACAGCCTGAAGAAATCAAGGAGCTTCCAGAGGAAGTTCGTGTGGTTGAAACTATCACCGAAGACGGCAAGCCAAAGAAGAAGAAGATACGCACTCGAGTTATCAAAAAGGTTAAGGGTGACAAACAAGAAGTTACCAAGATCGAAACCGTCGAGGAGGATGATAAAGAGCCAGAGACAACTGTCACAGTGGAAGAGATTCCGGTTGAAGAACAGCCTGAAGAAATCAAGGAGCTTCCAGAGGAAGTTCGTGTGGTTGAAACTATCACCGAAGACGGCAAGCCAAAGAAGAAGAAGATACGCACTCGTGTTATCAAAAAGGTTAAGGGTGACAAACAAGAAGTTACCAAGATCGAAACCGTCGAGGAGGATGACAAAGAACCAGAGACAACTGTCACAGTGGAAGAGGTTCCTGTGGAAGAACAGCCTGAAGATATCAAGGAGCTTCCAGAGGAAGTTCGTGTGGTTGAAACTATCACTGAAGACGGCAAGCCAAAGAAGAAGAAGATACGCACTCGAGTTATCAAAAAGGTTAAGGGTGACAAACAAGAAGTTACCAAGATCGAAACCGTCGAGGAGGATGACAAAGAACCAGAGACAACTGTCACAGTGGAAGAGGTTCCTGTGGAAGAAGAACAGCCTGAAGAAATCAAGGAGCTTCCAGAGGAAGTTCGTGTGGTTGAAACTATCACCGAAGACGGCAAGCCAAAGAAGAAGAAGATACGCACTCGTGTTATCAAGAAGGTTAAGGGTGACAAACAAGAAGTTACCAAGATCGAAACCGTCGAGGAGGATGATAAAGAGCCAGAGACAACTGTCACAGTGGAAGAGATTCCGGTTGAAGAACAGCCTGAAGAAATCAAGGAGCTTCCAGAGGAAGTTCGTGTGGTTGAAACTATCACCGAAGACGGCAAGCCAAAGAAGAAGAAGATACGCACTCGTGTTATCAAAAAGGTTAAGGGTGACAAACAAGAAGTTACCAAGATCGAAACCGTCGAGGAGGATGACAAAGAACCAGAGACAACTGTCACAGTGGAAGAGGTTTCTGTGGAAGAACAGCCTGAAGATATCAAGGAGCTTCCAGAGGAAGTTCGTGTGGTTGAAACTATCACTGAAGACGGCAAGCCAAAGAAGAAGAAGATACGCACTCGAGTTATCAAAAAGGTTAAGGGTGACAAACAAGAAGTTACCAAGATCGAAACCGTCGAGGAGGATGACAAAGAACCAGAGACAACTGTCACAGTGGAAGAGGTTCCTGTGGAAGAAGAACAGCCTGAAGAAATCAAGGAGCTTCCAGAGGAAGTTCGTGTGGTTGAAACTATCACCGAAGACGGCAAGCCAAAGAAGAAGAAGATACGCACTCGTGTTATCAAAAAGGTTAAGGGTGACAAACAAGAAGTTACCAAGATCGAAACCGTTGAGGAGGATGACAAAGAGCCAGAGACAACTGTTACAGTGGAAGAGATTCCGGTTGAAGAGCAGCCTGAAGAAATCAAGGAGCTTCCAGAGGAAGTTCGTGTGGTTGAGACCATAACCGAAGACGGCAAGCCAAAGAAGAAGAAGATACGCACTCGTGTTATCAAGAAGGTTAGGGGTGACAAACAAGGAGGTTACAAAGATCGAAACCGTCCAGGGAGGATGACAAAGAAGCCAGAGACAACTGTCACTGTGGAAGAGATTCCTGTGGAAGAAGAACAGCCTGAAGAAATCAAGGAGCTTCCAGAGGAAGTTCGTGTGGTTGAAACTATCACCGAAGACGGCAAGCCAAAGAAGAAGAAGATACGCACTCGTGTTATCAAAAAGGTTAAGGGTGACAAACAAGAAGTTACCAAGATCGAAACCGTCGAGGAGGATGACAAAGAACCAGAGACAACTGTCACAGTGGAAGAGGTTCCTGTGGAAGAAGAACAGCCTGAAGAAATCAAGGAGCTTCCAGAGGAAGTTCGTGTGGTTGAAACTATAACCGAAGACGGCAAGCCAAAGAAGAAGAAGATACGCACTCGTGTTATCAAGAAGGTTAAGGGTGACAAACAAGAAGTTACCAAGATCGAAACCGTCGAGGAGGATGACAAAGAACCAGAGACAACTGTCACAGTGGAAGAGATTCCGGTTGAAGAACAGCCTGAAGAAATCAAGGAGCTTCCAGAGGAAGTTCGTGTGGTTGAAACTATCACCGAAGACGGCAAGCCAAAGAAGAAGAAAATACGCACTCGTGTTATCAAGAAGGTTAAGGGTGACAAACAAGAAGTTACCAAGATCGAAACCGTCGAGGAGGATGACAAACAACCAGAGACAACTGTCACCGTGGAAGAGATCCCGGTTGAAGAAGAACAGCCTGAAGAAATCAAGGAGCTTCCAGAGGAAGTTCGTGTGGTTGAAACTATCACCGAAGACGGCAAGCCAAAGAAGAAGAAGATACGCACTCGTGTTATCAAGAAGGTTAAGGGTGACAAACAAGAAGTTACCAAGATCGAAACCGTCGAGGAGGATGACAAAGAACCAGAGACAACTGTCACAGTGGAAGAGGTTCCTGTGGAAGAAGAACAGCCTGAAGAAATCAAGGAGCTTCCAGAGGAAGTTCGTGTGGTTGAAACTGTCACCGAAGACGGCAAGCCAAAGAAGAAGAAGATACGCACTCGTGTTATCAAGAAGGTTAAGGGTGACAAACAAGAAGTTACCAAGATCGAAACCGTCGAGGAGGATGATAAAGAACCAGAGACAACTGTCACAGTGGAAGAGATTCCGGTTGAAGAACAGCCTGAAGAAATCAAGGAGCTTCCAGAGGAAGTTCGTGTGGTTGAAACTATCACCGAAGACGGTAAGCCAAAGAAGAAGAAGATACGCACTCGTGTTATCAAGAAGGTTAAAGGTGACAAACAAGAGGTAACCAAGATCGAAACCGTCGAGGAGGATGACAAAGAACCAGAGACAACTGTCACAGTGGAAGAGATTCCGGTTGAAGAACAGCCTGAAGAAATCAAGGAGCTTCCAGAGGAAGTTCGTGTGGTTGAAACTATCACCGAAGACGGCAAGCCAAAGAAGAAGAAGATACGCACTCGTGTTATCAAAAAGGTTAAGGGTGACAAACAAGAAGTTACCAAGATCGAAACCGTCGAGGAGGATGACAAAGAACCAGAGACAACTGTCACAGTGGAAGAGGTTCCTGTGGAAGACGAACAGCCTGAAGAAATCAAGGAGCTTCCAGAGGAAGTTCGTGTGGTTGAAACTATCACCGAAGACGGCAAGCCAAAGAAGAAGAAGATACGCACCCGTGTTATCAAGAGGGTTAAGGGTGACAAACAAGAAGTTACCAAGATCGAAACCGTCGAGGAGGATGACAAACAACCAGAGACAACTGTCACCGTGGAAGAGATCCCGGTTGAAGAAGAACAGCCTGAAGAAATCAAGGAGCTTCCAGAGGAAGTTCGTGTGGTTGAAACTATCACCGAAGACGGCAAGCCAAAGAAGAAGAAGATACGCACTCGTGTTATCAAGAAGGTTAAGGGTGACAAACAAGAAGTTACCAAGATCGAAACCGTCGAGGAGGATGACAAAGAACCAGAGACAACTGTCACAGTGGAAGAGGTTCCTGTGGAAGAAGAACAGCCTGAAGAAATCAAGGAGCTTCCAGAGGAAGTTCGTGTGGTTGAAACTGTCACCGAAGACGGCAAGCCAAAGAAGAAGAAGATACGCACTCGTGTTATCAAGAAGGTTAAGGGTGACAAACAAGAAGTTACCAAGATCGAAACCGTCGAGGAGGATGATAAAGAACCAGAGACAACTGTCACAGTGGAAGAGATTCCGGTTGAAGAACAGCCTGAAGAAATCAAGGAGCTTCCAGAGGAAGTTCGTGTGGTTGAAACTGTCACCGAAGACGGCAAGCCAAAGAAGAAGAAGATACGCACTCGTGTTATCAAGAAGGTTAAGGGTGACAAACAAGAGGTAACCAAGATCGAAACCGTCGAGGAGGATGACAAAGAACCAGAGACAACTGTCACCGTGGAAGAGATTCCGGTTGAAGAACAGCCTGAAGAAATCAAGGAGCTTCCAGAGGAAGTTCGTGTGGTTGAAACTATCACCGAAGACGGCAAGCCAAAGAAGAAGAAGATACGCACTCGTGTTATCAAAAAGGTTAAGGGTGACAAACAAGAAGTTACCAAGATCGAAACCGTCGAGGAGGATGACAAAGAACCAGAGACAACTGTCACAGTGGAAGAGGTTCCTGTGGAAGAAGAACAGCCTGAAGAAATCAAGGAGCTTCCAGAGGAAGTTCGTGTGGTTGAAACTATCACCGAAGACGGCAAGCCAAAGAAGAAGAAGATACGCACCCGTGTTATCAAGAGGGTTAAGGGTGACAAACAAGAAGTTACCAAGATCGAAACCGTCGAGGAGGATGACAAAGAGCCAGAGACAACTGTCACCGTGGAAGAGGTTCCTGTGGAAGAAGAACAGCCTGAAGAAATCAAGGAGCTTCCAGAGGAAGTTCGTGTGGTTGAAACTATCACCGAAGACGGCAAGCCAAAGAAGAAGAAGATACGCACTCGTGTTATCAAAAAGGTTAAGGGTGACAAACAAGAAGTTACCAAGATCGAAACCATCGAGGAGGATGACAAAGAACCAGAGACAACTGTCACAGTGGAAGAGGTTCCTGTGGAAGAAGAACAACCTGAAGAAATCAAGGAGCTTCCAGAGGAAGTTCGTGTGGTTGAAACTATCACCGAAGACGGCAAGCCAAAGAAGAAGAAGATACGCACTCGTGTTATCAAGAAGGTTAAGGGTGACAAACAAGAAGTTACCAAGATCGAAACCGTCGAGGAGGATGACAAAGAGCCAGAGACAACTGTCACCGTGGAAGAGGTTCCTGTGGAAGAAGAACAGCCTGAAGAAATCAAGGAGCTTCCAGAGGAAGTTCGTGTGGTTGAAACTATCACCGAAGACGGCAAGCCAAAGAAGAAGAAGATACGCACTCGTGTTATCAAAAAGGTTAAGGGTGACAAACAAGAAGTTACCAAGATCGAAACCGTCGAGGAGGATGACAAAGAACCTGAGACAACTGTCACAGTCGAAGAGGTTCCTGTGGAAGAAGAACAACCTGAAGAAATCAAGGAGCTTCCAGAGGAAGTTCGTGTGGTTGAAACTATCACCGAAGACGGCAAGCCAAAGAAGAAGAAGATACGCACTCGTGTTATCAAGAAGGTTAAGGGTGACAAACAAGAAGTTACCAAGATCGAAACCGTCGAGGAGGATGACAAAGAGCCAGAGACAACTGTCACCGTGGAAGAGGTTCCTGTGGAAGAAGAACAGCCTGAAGAAATCAAGGAGCTTCCAGAGGAAGTTCGTGTGGTTGAGACTATCACCGAAGACGGCAAGCCAAAGAAGAAGAAGATACGCACTCGTGTTATCAAGAAGGTTAAGGGTGACAAACAAGAAGTTACCAAGATCGAAACCGTCGAGGAGGATGACAAAGAACCTGAGACAACTGTCACAGTCGAAGAGGTTCCTGTGGAAGAAGAACAGCCTGAAGAAATCAAGGAGCTTCCAGAGGAAGTTCGTGTGGTTGAAACTATCACCGAAGACGGCAAGCCAAAGAAGAAGAAGATACGCACTCGTGTTATCAAGAAGGTTAAGGGTGACAAACAAGAAGTTACCAAGATCGAAACCGTCGAGGAGGATGACAAAGAGCCAGAGACAACTGTCACCGTGGAAGAGGTTCCTTTGGAAGAAGAACAGCCTGAAGAAATCAAGGAGCTTCCAGAGGAAGTTCGTGTGGTTGAAACTATCACCGAAGACGGCAAGCAAAAGAAGAAGAAGATACGCACTCGTGTTATCAAGAAGGTTAAGGGTGACAAACAAGAAGTTACCAAGATCGAAACCGTCGAGGAGGATGACAAAGAACCAGAGACAACTGTCACAGTGGAAGAGGTTCCTGTGGAAGAAGAACAGCCTGAAGAAATCAAGGAGCTTCCAGAGGAAGTTCGTGTGGTTGAAACTATCACCGAAGACGGCAAGCCAAAGAAGAAGAAGATACGCACCCGTGTTATCAAGAAGGTTAAGGGTGACAAACAAGAAGTTACCAAGATCGAAACCGTCGAGGAGGATGACAAAGAACCAGAGACAACTGTCACAGTGGAAGAGGTTCCTGTGGAAGAAGAACAAACCTGAAGAAATCAAGGAGCTTCCAGAGGAAGTTCGTGTGGTTGAAACTATCACCCGTAGACGGCAAGCCAAAGAAGAAGAAGATACGCACTCGTGTTATCAAGAAGGTTACGGGTGACAAACAAGAAGTTACCAAGATCGAAACCGTCGAGGAGGATGACAAAGAACCAGAGACAACTGTCACCGTGGAAGAGGTTCCTGTGGAAGAAGAACAGCCTGAAGAAATCAAGGAGCTTCCAGAGGAAGTTCGTGTGGTTGAAACTATCACCGAAGACGGCAAGCCAAAGAAGAAGAAGATACGCACTCGTGTTATCAAGAAGGTTAAGGGTGACAAACAAGAAGTTACCAAGATCGAAACCGTCGAGGAGGATGACAAAGAGCCAGAGACAACTGTCACCGTGGAAGAGGTTCCTTTGGAAGAAGAACAGCCTGAGGAAATCAAGGAGCTTCCAGAGGAAGTTCGTGTGGTTGAAACTATCACCGAAGACGGCAAGCCAAAGAAGAAGAAGATACGCACCCGTGTTATCAAGAAGGTTAAGGGTGACAAACAAGAAGTTACCAAGATCGAAACCGTCGAGGAGGATGACAAAGAGCCAGAGACAACTGTCACCGTGGAAGAGGTTCCTGTGGAAGAAGAACAGCCTGAAGAAATCAAGGAGCTTCCAGAGGAAGTTCGTGTGGTTGAAACTATCACCGAAGACGGCAAGCCAAAGAAGAAGAAGATACGCACTCGTGTTATCAAGAAGGTTAAGGGTGACAAACAAGAAGTTACCAAGATCGAAACCGTCGAGGAGGATGACAAAGAACCTGAGACAACTGTCACAGTTGAAGAGGTTCCTGTGGAAGAAGAACAGCCTGAAGAAATCAAGGAGCTTCCAGAGGAAGTTCGTGTGGTTGAAACTATCACCGAAGACGGCAAACCAAAGAAGAAGAAGATACGCACTCGTGTTATCAAAAAGATTAAGGGTGACAAACAAGAGGTTACCAAGATCGAAACCGTCGAGGAGGATGACAAAGAACCTGAGACAACTGTCACAGTCGAAGAGGTTCCTGTGGAAGAAGAACAGCCTGAAGAAATCAAGGAGCTTCCAGAGGAAGTTCGTGTGGTTGAAACTATTACCGAAGACGGCAAGCCTAAGAAGAAGAAGATACGCACTCGTGTTATCAAGAAGGTAAAGGGTGACAAACAAGAAGTTACCAAGATCGAAACCGTCGAGGAGGATGACAAAGAACCAGAGACAACTGTCACCGTGGAAGAGGTTCCTTTGGAAGAAGAACAGCCTGAAGAAATCAAGGAGCTTCCAGAGGAAGTTCGTGTGGTTGAAACTATCACCGAAGACGGCAAGCCTAAGAAGAAGAAGATACGCACTCGTGTTATCAAGAAGGTTAAGGGTGACAAACAAGAAGTTACCAAGATCGAAACCGTCGAGGAGGATGAAGAAGAACAGCCTGAAGAAATCAAGGAGCTTCCAGAGGAAGTTCGTGTGGTTGAAACTATCACCGAAGACGGTAAGCCTAAGAAGAAGAAGATACGCACTCGTGTTATCAAGAAGGTAAAGGGTGACAAACAAGAAGTTACCAAGATCGAAACCGTCGAGGAGGATGACAAAGAGCCAGAGACAACTGTCACCGTGGAAGAGGTTCCTTTGGAAGAAGAACAGCCTGAAGAAATCAAGGAGCTTCCAGAGGAAGTTCGTGTGGTTGAGACTATCACCGAAGACGGCAAGCAAAAGAAGAAGAAGATACGCACTCGTGTTATCAAGAAGGTTAAGGGTGACAAACAAGAAGTTACCAAGATCGAAACCGTCGAGGAGGATGAAGAAGAACAGCCTGAAGAAATCAAGGAGCTTCCAGAGGAAGTTCGTGTGGTTGAAACTATCACCGAAGACGGCAAGCCAAAGAAGAAGAAGATACGCACTCGTGTTATCAAGAAGGTTAAGGGTGACAAACAAGAAGTTACCAAGATCGAAACCGTCGAGGAGGATGACAAAGAGCCAGAGACAACTGTCACCGTGGAAGAGGTTCCTGTGGAAGAAGAACAGCCTGAAGAAATCAAGGAGCTGCCAGAGGAAGTTCGTGTGGTTGAAACTATCACCGAAGACGGCAAACAAAAGAAGAAGAAGATACGCACCCGTGTTATCAAGAAGGTTAAGGGTGACAAACAAGAAGTTACCAAGATCGAAACCGTCGAGGAGGATGACAAAGAACCAGAGACAACTGTCACAGTGGAAGAGGTTCCTGTTGAAGAAGAGCAGCCTGAGGAAGTCAAGGAACTTCCAGAAGAAGTTCGGTTTGTTGAAACTATTACCGAAGACGGTACGGCAAAGAAGAAGAAGATACGCACTCGTGTTATCAAGAAGGTTAAGGGTGACAAGCAAGAAGTTACCAAGATCGAGACAGTTGAAGAAGATGATAAGCTTCCTGAGACAACTGTCACCGTGGAAGAGGTACCTCTCCAGGAACCTGATGAAATCAAGGAATTTCCGGAAGAAGTTCGTGTTGTTGAAACTCTAACCGAGGACGGCAAACCCAAGAAAACAAAGATTCGCACACGTGTTATTAAGAAGCTTAAGGGTGATAAGGAGGAGATCACTAAAATCGAAACTGTCGAAGAAGAGGACAAGAAGCCCGAAACCACTATTACTGTCGAAGAAGCTGACATAAAGAGTCCTTTTGGAAAAAAGGTTAACTTAAAGAAAAGGGTTGTTGTTCATAAACCTGAGGACGATATATCTGTTTTTGAATTGCCTGAAAGAAAATCGGTAATTCTGTCTGCAAAAGACGATGGTACTCCCACCAAAACTGTCATTAAGACCAAAATTATTAAAAAGGTGCAAGGGACTAATATGGAAGTTACCAAAATTCAAACAGTCGAGGAATTTGAAAAACCACCGCAGACAAAGGTAACAGTCGAAAATTTTGACGCACCTTTCCCAGATCTTCCTGAAGAGAAACTTACAGAAGTTGTTGTTCTGCCCGATGAAGTTTTTGAGTCTGAAATTATTGACAAAGATGGTATGCAAAAAGTTCAAAAAACTAAAAAACGAGTCATTAAGAAACCAAAAGATGAATTTTTGGAAGAAGTAACGGAAATTGATATTACTGAACAAGATTCTGGAGAACCAATTTATAGGATATCTATCAATGATCTACCGATTACAGAGCCTATAGAAATTGGAAATACATCGGTTGAGTTACCAGAACAAGTGTCTGAACTTGAAGTCACGTCTCCCGATGGCTCTAAGAAAAAGAAAACCATTAAAACAAGATCATTTAAAACAAAAATTGATGATAAATATGATGAAGTTACTACCGTGAATACTGTTGAAGAGGAAAACATGGAACCAATTACAAGTGTGCACGTTGAAATTGTCCCAGTCGATGAAAATTCTACAGAACCAATTCCTATTGAGGAGTTGCCAGAAGAAATTATTGTTACTGAAGACATAGCTGACAATAAGAAGCCAAGAAAGAAAACAACAAAAACTCGAACATTCAAAAAACAAGGTCCAGATGACGATGAATATTATCAAATACAAACTATAGAAGAAGAAGGCAAAGAGCCATTCTCTTTGATACGCGTTGTTAGTGATGAAAATATTGCCGATATTATTGACATCAGTAAGCTCGATGATGAACAACTTCCCACACACAAAAAACAAAAGCCACACAAACATAAGGGTAAGAACACAAATCACAACACTATGCATACATCACATTTTACACGAGAACTAATATTGAAGTATACGCAACATAAAATGTATATATATATATATATATATATATATATATATATATATATATTATAATTAATGGGGAGGGTATTGAAATTTTGATTTTGATTTAATATTTTTTAATTTACAATTTTGAGATTAAAGTATAAAGCCCTTAGGAGGCCGGTAATTATCTCTTATGGATAAAGTAATTTAAGTCTAAAATTACATATCTTGACAGTTAATAAAATTGTTTTTAATCATTTCATATTAATGAAAATACATATCAAAACACAAACACAGCGGAGAAACAACAACCCGAACACACTGAAACGGAACACCCAGCTTACATAACAACATTTAAATCTGTACAAAACGAAGATGGGGAAACCACAATACAAACTGAAAATAAAAAAGTTTCTCAGGAGGAAGGAATCGTTGTTGAGGAAGTGCTCAGTGATACTGAGCCTCTAATGGAAGACACGAAACAGTCAAATATTGAAATTGTTGAAGTCAGCGAGCCAACAGGTGATTTTCTTGACATATTTTTAACTTCACACATATTGATATATATATATATATATTGCGGAGAAAAATTCTCGTATTACAAATATATTATTATTTAACGAAAAGAATGAAATTCGTGGTCGATAGGTTCTCATAAGCTCACCTAAATACTTGGTTTGAGATTGCAACTTAAATGTTTTAAAACAAAGTGAGACAAAGTAGCTTACATTTAATAACACAAACAAAAATGACACACAAACAAGAAATGCCGTTTGACAATTTTTGGCACCATAATTACTAACACGGTTCACTAGAACACTTAATAAGTATTCTAGTATGTTATATATACTGAGGTTGTATTTGTAAAAAAAAATCACGTACAATACCTACATTACAAATATTGATTAAAAATTTAGTTAACATTATATGCAAGCAACTTAAGCATCTCAAACACTAAACTTGATGAAGTACGAAGTTTATGTGTTTTAACGCATTATATAAAATGCAAATATAATTTTAACCAATTAGTTTAGTGCTAACACACAAACACATAATTTTTTCTCAAACAGACCAATACAACAAAGAGTACACTATCACAGAACCAGAAGATGCAATTGCAGATAACACCATACAAACACCGACCAAAGTAAAGAAGCCCAAACAGAAAAAGACACAACCAGACCAATTTGAACAGATTGACGAGACCGGGGAAGTTGAGGGGGGCTCAGGGGAAACAGACGACAAACCAAAACCGAAACGTAAGCCTAAGATGGTTAAAGTTGTAGTAGATGATGATCAGGGTGAGAAGGGTACTGCTGATGAACAAGAGCCAAAGAAAGAAAAACCAAAGAAAAAGAAGGCGGTTAAATCGAAGCGGGATGAGATGGATGATTATATACAGTTTTTGATACACCAGGAAATTCCGAAAACAGTCTTGCAGCCATATGTGCGCACGGATATGGAACATCCACAAAGGGCTCGCAGAGACTCGTCTATAAAACCAATGAAGCTAACTGCTATAAAAATTGAGAAAGTGGAAATTAAAAAACCAAAAATGATTGAAATAAGCTCAGTAGTCGAATTTCCGCAAATGCTCAAGCTCAAAACTCCGAAACAAAGACCACAAGAGGAAAAGAAATCTAACGAAGCATCCTTTAAAAACAAGAAACTTAAGAGCTGGATAAGGTTTATACCATTTGCACCATACTGCTTCCCGTATACAGTAATGGAACTGGAAACCATTCGCGATAATGGTGAGCTCTCTCGCAATATAGAAGAAGCAGAGGAAGTTTTGAAAAAGCGTCCAAAAAAATTCAAGCACCCAAAGCCTATAAAAACAGAACTAGAAGAATTAGATTTGGGATCATTTGATGATGAGAGTAAACCAGTTGATGAAACTCCAGAAAAACCGAAGTACAAACGAGGTAAAAAGGATAAAAATCAACAAGAAGATGAAAATAGAAAATTGAAAATGGGCAAGGGTAAAGTTCCGGAAAATATTGAATCTACTGAAACCGTCCAACTTAAACCCGTAAAGACTGATGCCGATACTGAGGACATAATTGAAAAGCCCAAAGAAACGTCGGAAGAGAAGAAACCGAAAAAGAAGGCAAAGAAACCCACAGAGACGGATGATAAATTTGGCTTTGAACCCCATATGAGTGATATCGAAAATGAGGAGACGGAACCGAAACCATTCTTTACATTTGAGGTGATTGAATTAGAGTCAGAAGATAAACCAGAAGAAAGAAATGAAAACATCGGCGCTCCTACAAAGGAACCAAAGAAAAAGCGCAAACTAAAGCTTAAGACTGAATTGGAGGAAAATATTGTTGAGATAGTGGAAGTTTCTCCAAATGAGAGCGAGGATAAACTATATGAAGTGACAGTAACTTGTTTAGAAATTGAAGAAGATCAACCAAAGGGAAAGAAAGTGCTTAAGAAGAAAGTTAAGAGAATGAATAAGGAACAATTGGATGACTTCATTTCCGAATTAAAAGAAGAGCCGGAACAGAATTTCTACGAAACTAGTATATCTGACTTTTACGAAGTCAAATTGACTGAACTGGAACCAGAAGTGATTCCTGATGATAAAACTCCTGAAAATACTAAGAAGCGTAGAATCTTGCATAAGCGGGGAGAGAAGGAAGAGATTCTAGAAATTATTGAAACTATTCCTATAGGAGACGAGGAGCCATTGTATGAGGTACAAATAAAGTCAATGGAACCAGAGGACGAAATTGATACTCAAAAGACTGTTGAAAGGCCTAAAACAAAAACCAAGAAGATGAAGAAGAATGATCTGGATGCATATATACAGCAGCTAATAAATGCAGAGATTCCAATAACTGAATTGGAGAAATATGAAAAGACTGATATAGATGCCAAGCCAAAGAAACCAAAGAAGCCTAAGAACAAGCCAAAAGAATCGCCGGTCGACGAAGGCGAGTCTTTTGAAGTGGGTATTATGCAGGAAGAACCGATTAAAAAACCAAAAGTCAAGAGGCCCAAATCTCAACCTAAAGTTGAAGAGGAATTAATAACCGAACCAGAAACTATTGTTGAGCATGAACAGTTCACAATTAGCACGATTGACTCACAGCCAACTCCACAGGAAATTATGGAAGAGAATACGGAAGAAGTAACCCAAGATGTGGACGACATAATAATGGCTATAGGGGAGACTTTCCCCATCGTTGTATTCGAGGAATACACTGAGACCGTTCCTGAATTAGGTGAAGAAGTCGAAAAACCTGAAACTAAATTAACTAAAAAACGTAAAGTAAAAGCTAGGAAGGGTTCCAAACAGTATGAAATTCAAATCGTTGAAACTCAAACTCCAGATGATAATACCGATGAAGCTAAGGTTATTGTTATAACAACCGAAATTGTTGAAGAAAGTTCTGATGTACCAAGGGAGGAGCAGCCCGAAACACCTAAGAAAATTGTAAGAAAGGTGAAAAAGGATAAGCTCAAGGAATACATCGTCAGCGTTATTGATGAGGTACCAACAGAACTTTTGGCCGGAATTTCGGAAGATACATCTGCAGTGTCTGAAATAAAATCTTTAGACGAATATGATATCACAAGTTTCAAAACAACAGTTGTTGAGGATGATTCCGAAGATATTGTACGGCCTGTAGAAGATGTGCCTGATACTCCAAGCAGCAAGCCAAAGGATAAAAAGAAGAAATCTTCTAAGCCGAAGAAAGTCACAATAATTGAAGATGAGCCGGTACAGAGCGGAGACGAAACGAATCAAGATGAATATCTTATTGAAGAAACTGAAACATCCACAACGCCATCACATGATGAGTATTCAATTAAACAAACCGAAAGTGTACCCAAACCAAAGAAAAAGGTGACGAAGAAAATAATCGAAGAGCCAGTGACTGTTCCGATTTCGGAATATACAATACGCATTGAGGAGCTAGCTCCTGAAACTATAACAGAACAAGTCATCAATGACCAAGGAGAGGAAGTTGAAAAGGTAACAACTAAGCGCAGACTTAAGAAGAAGGATGGTGCAAAAGAATATCTAATAGAAGTAATTGAAACATACGAAGAAAACAAACCCGAAGCGGAATTGGTTATTGAGACTACAGAAATATTACCTGAATCAGAATCTCAAACACCTACTGATCACAAAATTAAAATTGTCAAAAAGAAAAAGCCGAAAGCGGAAAAACTTGACACTTATATTCAACAGTTAATAGAAGAAGAAATTCCAAATGAAGAAGTGGGTATCGTTGAAACAACTATATCGGATTCAACTCCGGAGTCAAAGAAACCAAAGAAGATAAAGAAGCATCACAAAAAAACCACGGAGATAGTTGATGGTGTTCCTCATACTGTCTATGAATTTACCATACAAGAGTTTGAGTCAGAAGAAGACCAAGTTCCTGCATTCGTAACGAAAGTTGAGGACGATGATACTCCGGAACCGCAGACTGAGGATCTCGAAATCAAGGTGACAGACGAACATCCCAAGCATAAGCCAAAGAAGGAAAAGAAATCTAAGGTGGCAGTTGTCGACCAGGAACCAGTCAGTATTGAAGATATTGCGGAAACAGTGGAAGTTACAAAGGTAGTGGAAGACGACGGTACAACCAAAGAAGTTCAAGTTAAAAAGCGTAAGGTCGTACGGAAGCAAGGTCCAAAGGAACATGTTTTCGAAATAACGGAAACTTCTACTAATGAAGAGCCTCTGGCAGAAGTTACTATCGTTGAGATTACTGAAGATGAAAAACCCAGTGAGACAGAAAGTCAACCTGAGAAACCTAAGTCACCAATCAAAAAACCAAAGAAACTCAAGCGTGAGGACGTCGAAAACTATGTGATTAATGTAGTGGAAGAGTTTACAGAGCCATTAGAAAAGCCGGAAGAGGAAATTCCCTTCGAAGAGTTTGAGGACACTCCAGAACAACCCAAGCATAAGCCAAAGAAGGAAAAGAAATCGAAGGTAGCAGTTGTCGACCAGGAACCAGTCAGTATTGAAGATATTGCGGAAACAGTGGAAGTTACCAAGGTAGTGGAAGACGACGGTACAACCAAAGAAGTTCAAGTTAAAAAGCGTAAGGTCGTACGGAAGCAAGGTCCAAAGGAACATGTTTTCGAAATAACGGAAACTTCTACTAATGAAGAGCCTCTGGCAGAAGTTACTATCGTTGAGATTACTGAAGATGAAAAACCCAGTGAGACAGAAAGTCAACCTGAGAAACCTAAGTCACCAATCAAAAAACCAAAGAAACTCAAGCGTGAGGACGTCGAAAACTATGTGATTAATGTAGTGGAAGAGTTTACAGAGCCATTAGAAAAGCCGGAAGAGGAAATTCCCTTCGAAGAGTTTGAGGAGACTCCAGAACAACCCAAGCATAAGCCAAAGAAGGAAAAGAAATCGAAGGTAGCAGTTGTCGACCAGGAACCAGTCAGTATTGAAGATATTGCGGAAACAGTGGAAGTTACCAAGGTAGTGGAAGACGACGGTACAACCAAAGAAGTTCAAGTTAAAAAGCGTAAGGTCGTACGGAAGCAAGGTCCAAAGGAACATGTTTTCGAAATAACGGAAACTTCTACTAATGAAGAGCCTCTGGCAGAAGTTACTATCGTTGAGATTACTGAAGATGAAAAACCCAGTGAGACAGAAAGTCAACCTGAGAAACCTAAGTCACCAATCAAAAAACCAAAGAAACTCAAGCGTGAGGACGTCGAAAACTATGTGATTAATGTAGTGGAAGAATTTACAGAGCCATTAGAAAAGCCGGAAGAGGAAATTCCCTTCGAAGAGTTTGAGGACACTCCAGAACAACCCAAGCATAAGCCAAAGAAGGAAAAGAAATCGAAGGTAGCAGTTATCGACCAGGAACCAGTCAGTATTGAAGATATTGCGGAAACAGTGGAAGTTACCAAGGTAGTGGAAGACGACGGTACAACCAAAGAAGTTCAAGTTAAAAAGCGTAAGGTCGTACGGAAGCAAGGTCCAAAGGAACATGTTTTCGAAATAACGGAAACTTCTACTAATGAAGAGCCTCTGGCAGAAGTTACTATCGTTGAGATTACTGAAGATGAAAAACCCAGTGAGACAGAAAGTCAACCTGAGAAACCTAAGTCACCAATCAAAAAACCAAAGAAACTCAAGCGTGAGGACGTCGAAAACTATGTTATTAATGTAGTGGAAGAGTTTACAGAGCCATTAGAAAAGCCGGAAGAGGAAATTCACTTCGAAGAGTTTGAGGAGACTCCAGAACAACCCAAGCATAAGCCAAAGAAGGAAAAGAAATCGAAGGTAGCAGTTGTCGACCAGGAACCAGTCAGTATTGAAGATATTGCGGAAACAGTGGAAGTTACAAAGGTAGTGGAAGACGACGGTACAACCAAAGAAGTTCAAGTTAAAAAGCGTAAGGTCGTACGGAAGCAAGGTCCAAAGGAACATGTTTTCGAAATAACGGAAACTTCCACTAATGAAGAGCCTTTGGCAGAAGTTACTATCGTTGAGATTACTGAAGATGAAAAACCCAGTGAGACAGAAAGTCAACCTGAGAAACCTAAGTCACCAATCAAAAAACCAAAGAAACTCAAGCGTGAAGACGTCGAAAACTATGTGATTAATGTAGTGGAAGAGTTTACAGAGCCATTAGAAAAGCCGGAAGAGGAAATTCCCTTCGAAGAGTTTGAGGAGACTCCAGAACAACCCAAGCATAAGCCAAAGAAGGAAAAGAAATCGAAGGTAGCAGTTGTCGACCAGGAACCAGTCAGTATTGAAGATATTGCGGAAACAGTGGAAGTTACCAAGGTAGTGGAAGACGACGGTACAACCAAAGAAGTTCAAGTTAAAAAGCGTAAGGTCGTACGGAAGCAAGGTCCAAAGGAACATGTTTTCGAAATAACGGAAACTTCTACTAATGAAGAGCCTTTGGCAGAAGTTACTATCGTTGAGATTACTGAAGATGAAAAACCCAGTGAGACAGAAAGTCAACCTGAGAAACCTAAGTCACCAATCAAAAAACCAAAGAAACTCAAGCGTGAAGACGTCGAAAACTATGTGATTAATGTAGTGGAAGAGTTTACAGAGCCATCAGAAAAAACTGAAGATGTTATCCAAGTTGAGGAAATTCCCTTGGAAGATGTTGAAGATGAAGTTTCACAAATCAAGCCAAAAACGACTAAGCCTAAAAAACCTAGCAAGAAACCTGTGGAGCGCACTATTCGTATTGAAGAACTTGCTCCTGAAACGACAATCGAAGATATCGTAAATGAAGAAGGAGAAGAGGTTAAGCAAGTCAAAACTACGAAAAAACTTAAGAAAAAGGAAGGACCGAAAGAGTATTTGATTGAAATAACCGAAACCTATCAAGAAAATAAGCCTGAAGCTGACATTGAAGTGACTACCATCGAATTACCTGTAGACGATGCCACGCTGGAAGAAGAACAGCCAGTAAAAGTAGTTCAGAAAATGAAAAAGAAGAAGGCAGTTAAGGATGATTTAGATAAATACATTCAAGAGCTTATTGATCAGGAAATCACAAAAACTGATCTTGAGCAATATGAGCCAACGGATATCGAAACGAAGCCCAAGCCTAAGAAAAAGGTCAAGACTCATCACAAAAAGAGTGTGGAAATAATCGATGGTCTCCCCGTTACCGTTCATGAGTTTGATGTCTCGGAAATAGTACCTGAGCTTATAGAAGAAGATAAACAATCTGTTATATCGGATATTACAGACGATGCTCCCTTGGAGCCAGAGGAACAAACCAAATATTTAGTTAATGTTTTGGACGAAATCTTAGAGCCTACACAATACACTGAAGAGATCACTGACATACAGACAATAGAACCTAAAAAAGAAAAGACACCAAAAAAGAAAAAGGTTGATAAAGTCCCGATAGTCTTAGATGAAATAGCAGAATCCACCGAAATTGTACAGCAGCCTACTAAAGATGGTGTTCTGAAAGAAGTTACTGTTAAGAAACGTAAGGTTATGCATAGGAAGGGTTCCAAGCAAAGTGTGTTTGAGATAACCGAAACTACTAGCGACGATCAACCCATGGCTGAAGTAACAGTCGTTGAGCTCACGGAAAATAAGCCATCCATTCCTGATGAAACACCAATCGTTGAACAAAAAGTAATAAAGAAGCCTAAAAAACTGAAAAAGGACGATGTACAGGAATATATTATAAATGTTATTGACGAGTTTGAGCAAGAATTCCCTGATAAAACGATCACAGAAGAAGTAAAGGAAATCGCTGAAGACAAGCCGAAGAAGTCTAAAAAGTCTCCAAAGGAATATAAATTCAGTGAGCATGAAGAAATTGAGCATGAAAAGCCTCAAATGGAAGATATGGTGGATGAGGTACCGGTAGAGGAAACTCAGGAAACCCCAGAAGAACATACTGAATACACAATAGGTGTTAAGGATGAAGCCACAACTGAGGACAAAAAACCCAAAAAGCCGAAAAAGCTCACAACGCCGAAGTCAATCATAAGCACGGAGTCGGATGAAAATGAAGACTATATTGTAAAGGTATCCTCAACAGACAAACCAGAGGTGATCGAGCACCCAGAGCCTGAATTTGTGTTACCAGAATCAGAAGAGGTAGAGCCAACAGAAGAACCAATTTTCAAAATAGAAGAAATCGAAACCCTACCAGAAATTGTTGAAGAACAAGACGATCATGGCGAAACAACAAAGAATGTCGTAACTAAACGTAAAATCAGAAAGCAAGTGGGCCCCAAAGAAGATATAATAGAAATTGTCGAAACTTTAAAGGATGGAGTGCCAGAATATGAAGTCACGGTAACTACACAAGAAGCAGAAAAACAAGTCGAAAAAATTCCAGAACAAGAAAAGCCAAAGAAGGTAAAGAAAACTAAAAAGGTTGCAAAGGACGATATACATGATTATATACAAAAACTAATTGAACAGGATATACCTAAATCAGAATTGGAGAAATATGAAAAGATAGATATTGATGAACCAGTGAAAATGAAAAAGAAGAAACCTGTAAAGAATATTAAAATTACAGAAGAACAACCAGAGGACATCGTTACAGAATCAATTTCAGAAGTACCTGAAGAAAAAACTCGTCCATTAGAAAGCACTGAGGAAGAAACAAAATTGATGGTAAAAATAAAAGAATTTGAAGCACCAAAGCCAAAAGAACCAGGCTTTGAAGTTACAATTCTGGAAGAATTTGTTGAAAATCAGCCGATTCCCGATGAGGAGGGCGAAATCAAAATAAAGGAAGTCAAAACAAAAAAAATAAAGCATAAAAAGGGTCCGGAAGAGATAATTCATGAAATAACAGTTGTTCACGATAAGGATACAGATGAATCCGAAGTTACTATCGTTACTTCAAGTCCAAACGAAACCAAAGATCAAACTGAAGTTACAGTAAAGCAAAAACGTACCAAAAAAATTAAAAAGGATGATATCGATGATTTCATTAAAACAGTGATTGACGAAGATGTGCCAAAGGAAGAGCCTTCTGATGTTGTTAATATTATCGAGGATACAGCGCCTAAGCAAGCTGTTGAAAAACCAAAGAAAATCAAAAAGAAGGAGAAAGTACCAACGTTAGAAGACGAGTCAACGCCGGCAGATAAAATAGATGTTGTCGAATACCAGCCCGAAAAAGAACCAAGTGAAGAAGCTGTGGTTGAAGTGGTGGAAGAAGTTCCCAGCATCGAATCTGATCTAGAAGTTGAAGTACCTGAAGCCGTCAAAGTACCTGAGAAAAAGAAAAAGCCTTCAAAACAAAAGGTTAAAGTTCTTGAAGAGAAACCTGTGGAAGAAACCGGTGATAAGCCGTTGGATATTGTAGAAAAGGAGTCTGATGTTGAAGAGCCAGAAGAGAAAAAATATAATGTTACTTTCATGGAAGAAGAAACTAAGCCGGAGGAAAGGTTGGAAAAGAAGCCGAAAAAGGTTAAGGGAGAACAGCGTCAACCAGAAGAATTAACTTACGAAATATCTGTAAAAGAAAGTATCGTACAACCCGAAGACCTTCCGTTTACGGTGGAAATTATAGAAAGTGAAACGAAAGCAGAAGAAACCACAGACGATGCTGGCGAGGTCCATACGGTTGTTACAACAAAACGTAAGATTAAGCGCCCAAAGGGAACAACTAACGAAGTTATTGAAATCATTGAAGTAGTAACTGATGATCAGCCTGATGCGGAAATCACTATTGTGGAATACGAGCCAGAACAACCGCATGAAGAAGAAAAACCGAAGGAACCCAAAAAGAAAACAAAGAAAGTCAAAAAGGATGATATTCATGATTACATACAAAAACTTATAGACATGGAAACTCCCAAAGCTGAACTAGAGAAATATGAGAAAATTGAGTTCGAATCAACACCTAAAGAAAAACCAACTAAAACTGAACCCGTTAAAGTATCAGAGGATTCTCCAACTGAAAAACCATTGAAAGACAAAAAGCCTAAGACAAAGGAATCGCCAAAGGTAGAAGAATCCTTACCAGAACCATTGGCTGAAATTAAGATTATCGAACAGGAAATATTGGAAGAGCCTAACGTGCTGGAAGTTGTAGAAATACAACCGGAAGAAGTACAAATCACAGAAAAAATTACTGACGAAGGCCACCCAGTTCAAGAGAAAACAACTAAGCGAGTATTGAAAAAGAAGGGACCTAAAGAGGACACCACCTTTAAAATTACAACAATTGAAAGTGATGATATGGATACCGTTACTGTTATTGTCGACGAAGAACCAGAAGTAGTACCAGTTGAATCAATCGAAGTTCAACAAGAAGAGCCAAAGGAAGAAAAACCAAAACCAAAGCCAAAGAAATCTGTAAAGAAGGTTAAAAAGGATGATTTAGATGATTACGTTAAAAAACTCTTGGAGGAAGATATACCAAAGACCGAAATGGAGGTGTATGAAAAAACTGAAATGCCAGAAAAACCTAAAGATAGTGGGCCAACAGAAAGTGTTCCAGCAGAGGTAAAATCGGACGAGCCTGAAAAACCATTAGCAGTTCTTGACTCAACCAAACCTAAAAAGACCAAAACGCCTAAGCAAAAACCATTTGACATAACTGAACAAACACAAGACAAACCAACAGAAGAGACTACTTTAGAGACTGAAGACGTAACGGAAGGTACACCAACTCAAATTGCACACCCCGAGGACACAGCCACTGCACAAATTACACCAAGCGCACAAGATGAGATATCTACTCAAGATGACACTAAAGAAACAGTTCAAAAAACAGTTAAACATAAGAAAGCTAAGCCAGACACAGTTAAAAGCGTTGAAACAAGTAAGTTATTAGAAGAGAGTTTCTGGAGCCTTAAAATTTACATCGCACACGCAGCACCTGCTCCTTTCTCTGTGTCTTTTGCCTTTGTTTATTCCTTTGAAAACAACGTTGACTTCCATTATTTCGCACCTATACCTTCCTATTTCTCTCTTATTATCGCTCTCTCTCTCTTTCTTTCTCTCTCTCCCTCCTTTCTATGCTGATTCTGTGCTCACTAATTTGAGCACAGAGTAAGTTATAAACATACGCCCGTTCAAATTTGATACCTATATAAAAATACTATTACCAAACAAATTTAATACCAAAATAATGCATGCTTTTTAATCCAAATAATTTGTACTAAATTTCTTGATTGCATTCTATTATTAATAATATTCCACATTAATAATACGAATATTCTGTAAAATGACTAATTGTTTCGAATTATATAAAAATATGTAAAAATTTTAACTATTTAGGAAATATCCTTTTGTATTGGACAAGCGTTCTAGTTGTAAATATTTAAATATTTATAAAGCTCAAGGATTGCTTGCATTCTTCTGCGAAAGCAATGCTCGGATTCAAAATGTAGTTGAAAGAATTGTATATTACTTAACACTTATGCATTTCTATAACAGGTGAAGCACCAGAAGCTTATGAGGATTATCACATAAGCATAATCGAAGAAGAGCCCGTTGAAATAAAAGAGCAGCCCGACAAAATCTTGGAGGTTCGAGTTATCGATGAATTTGCTGAAATCGAGGAGTCTCAACCCATCGACGAAGAAGTCGATGAGGAGGATAAACAACCGACAGCCGAGGAACCTATGGAGGACGTCACGAAGCCAAAGTCAAAGAAGAAGAAGATTGTGAAAAAGAAGACCAATGAACACGATGACATAATTCAAAAGTTGCTTGAACAAGAAATTGAGAAAACGGAGTTGGAAAAATATGAAAAGGTCGAATTTGATTTACCCAAGAAACTGAAACCAGAATTCGCTACTCTAGAGCCAATGAAAATTGAAAGGAAAGAACAGAAGCCCACAAAGGTTACAATAGTTGAGGCCGCAGATGTTCCCAAGACGGTGAAGTTGAAGCCCAGCAAACGTAAGGAAAAACCAGCTGAAGAACAAACGATGCAGCTCCCTAAATTCAGACTTAAGGCACGCATGGAAATAGTTGAGTATCCGCCAGCACCAATTGTACCAAAGATGACCGAGATTGGATCAATAAAGCAGAATGGTGACCTCTCACGCAACATTGAGGAAGCGGAAGCGCTACTCAAGTTTAAGCCACAAAAGACAAAGAAAATAAAGAAAATAAAGGATGACTTAGAGAAGGTGGAGCTTGAGAAGTATGAGAAATATGTTAGTAGTGAGGAGGAGCCCGAGGAAAAGCAACCATATCAGAAACCTGAAAAGGTGCCAAAACCAGAGGAAAGTCCTGACGAAGTTAAACTTAAGATTGGTAAGGGCAAAAAGAAGCCAAAAGAAGAAGATGCACCTGAAAATGTTACGCTCAAAAAGATACCACAGAAGCCCATTGAAAGTGAAGAAGAAATTGAGAAGAAACCGAAAGAAAAGGATGTGGTTATTACAGAGGAACAACCAAAGCTGCCAAAAGAACAAGATATTCAGGTGGAGCCATTTGAACCAATTGATTATGAGCGGCCCGAGTATGTCCCTGAGGAACTTGAGCAAGTGGAACAACCTGAAAAGCCAGAAAAGCAAAAGAAGCCAAGTAAAACCAAATACAAGCCAAAAGAAAAATCAAAACCAGAGCAGGATACGGAAATTACTCATATTGTTCCCGGAAAACCCAAAGAACAAGAAGATGTGCCCGAAGAAGAAATTAAGTTCCGCAAGCCAGAAAGTGTGGCACCAGAGGAGACTGACTCTCAGATTAAATTAAAACCATTTAAAAAGCCTTCTGAAGAACCATTAGAGGAAGACGTTACTGTAAAGGCAACAGTCGAGGAACCAAAGCCTGAAGAAAAGGTAACCAAACCTCAAGATGAAGTTAAAAAACCGAAGAAGTCAAAATCTAAGCCCGTACAACAACAAGAAGAAGAAACGACTACAGAGGAAAAACCAGAATTTGAAATTTCTGTTAAGGAAGAAGAAGCTACCATTGAAAAGATTGAAGATGTTGAGAAGCCCAAAGAAGTTAAGGTAAAACAAAAGAAACCAAAAGAAGTTCCTGTAGCAGAAGTCGAAATCATCGAAGAAGTCCCTCAGCCAGTAGAAGTACCTGAAGACATCCCAGTTGAGTACAAAATTACAACAACTGTCTTAGAGCCTGAAGAAGCCCCGAAAGAACATCAAGTCAGAGTAGTTGATTTCGATGAAAGGGAAGTAACTACTGAGGAGGTTGTCGAAGAAAAGGTTGTAACCAGAAAGAAGAAACCTAAGCCAGAGCAGCTAGAAGAATTTGAGGTCAGACTACAAGAGCCAAAAGAAATTTTACCAGAGCCTGAAGAGGCAACTGCTGAAATGGTGATACCTGTTCAGAAACCCGAAGAAGAAAGTGAACACTTTGAAGTCGAATTAAAATTAACGGAGCCACAGCCGCAGGAGCAAGAAGTCATTGTAAAGAAGAAGCCGAAAAAGAAGCCTGTGGAAGATGTGAAGGAAGTGGAACAGGATGTGGTGAAGCAAGTAGAGGTTCAACCTGAGGACCAGAAAGTGGAAGAGATTGTTCAAGAAGAAGAAGAGGAGAAGGTTGAAGAAACGAAGCCGAAATCTTTCGAATTCCAAGTGACTGAAACAGAGGCCCCTCAAATGAAACCAGCAGAAATAATTGAAGAAAAACCAAAAGACAAGGCCAAAAAGCCGGCACCTAAATTGGTTGAGCAATTTGATTCTTACGAAATTTCTGTTAAGGAATCTCTCGTAGAAAAAGTAATTGAGCAGACAGAGCAGCCGGATGAAGATGTTCCTGAAGAAGTTATGATTACTCCAAGATCAAAAGAAGCAGAACCAGTGGAAGCGGAGTTCGTAATGACGGAACCAACGCCTACCGAAGAGAGTAATGTTGAAGCTGAAATCAAACCAAAGAAAACCAAGAAGCCCAAGAAAACTGAGGAAGTTGCTAGTCATGACATAAAGGTTGTTGAAGAAGTACCCGTTCCTGAAGAAAAAATAGTTGAAGCTCCGCAAGTTGAAGTTGTCGAAAAGGAAACAGTTCCGACTGAAGAAATACCAGAAGAATATGCTATTCGAGTATCAGAAACGGAAGCTGAGCAACCAGACGAACCAACTGTTGCAGCATTTACTGTTAAGAAGCCAAAGCCATCCATCGTTGCCGCTGAAGAACCAGAAGCCGAGTTTGTTTTGAAAGAGAGCAAACCCGTGGAAGAAATTACAGAAGTTGCAGAAATAAAGACAAAGAAACCCAAAAAGAAAGTGAAGGAAGTTGAGGCGGATGAATTAAAGATTCAGATCACCGAAGAAATTCCACACGAAGTTCCAGTGGTTGAGGAAATAGAAGAGGTTGTGACAGAATTCAAGGAAAAGGAAGCGTCTGTCGAATATAAGTCGTATGAAATTGGTGTGAAAGAGACAGTACCTGAAAGACCTATCGAAGAAGTAACGGTAGAAGAGCCATTGAAAGAAGAGCCTGCAGTTGAAGAGAAAACTCCTTATATTGAACATAAGACTTATGAAATTGGTGTGAAAGAGATAGAACTTGAAAAGCCTATTGAAGAAGCCCCAATTGAAGAACCGTTGGTCGAAGAGCCGATTGTCGATGAGCCAAAGCCTGAAGACATTGAAGAACTCAAGGTCCGAGTAATTGAAGAAACACCACGTGAAATTGTTGAGGAAGTTCTCGAAGAAAGTGTTAAAGTTCACCGCAAGAAGAAGCCAAAACCAGAAGTTACAGAAGAGCCAGAAGCCCAAGTAACTGTTACTACTCCAAAGCCTGTTGATGAAGTGGAAGCCGTCCAAAGCATTTCCATTGTTCCAGAAATTCCTACCGAAGAAGAAGCTGCAGAGCTCAAGATAACTGTTATTGATGAAGTATCTCAGCCACAAGAGCTCGTTCAGGAGATTGAAGAAATCGAGACGGTGGAAGAGGTTCCTGAAGAAAAGCCCAAAGATTTTAAGTTTAGCATAAAAGAGACTGAGGCGCCAAAGGAAACCATCGAGGAGTTGCCGGAAGAACAAGTTACTATTCTGAAGAAGAAGAAGATTCCTGAGCAAAAGGAAACTGTCGAGGAATTGCCTGAGGAACAGGTGACGATTCAGAAGAAGAAGAAGATTCCTCAGCCCGAGGTTGTAGAAGAACCAGAAGCAGTTTTCGAAATCAAACAGAAACAGCCAGTTGAAGAAGTAACTGAGGAAGCTAAAATCACGAAGAAGACAAAAAGACCAGTTAAGGAAGAAGAGGCAGCCGCAGAGCTTAATGTTACTGTGATCGAAGATATAACACCCGAACCAGAAGTAGTTGAAATCATCGAAGAAATTGAAGAGAAGCCGGAAGAGAAGCCAGAAGAAAAGCCGGAAGAAAAACCGAAAGAAAAACAGAAAGACAAGCCGAAAGAAAAGGTGGAAGAAAAGGTGGAAGAATACAAATTCGAAATAAAGGAAAGCCAGCCTGAAGCTCCACAGGTACAGGAGACAGAAGAGGTACAGGAGGTACACTTGCCTAAGAAACCTCTTCAAACAGTTGAACCGGTAGAAGAGCCAGAAGCTGAAGTTACTCTTAAGGCAAAACCAAAGCCTGAAGAGGTTCAGGAGGAAGCTAAAATAGTAAAGAAAAAACCGAAAAAGCCAGTTGTTGAGGAAGCTGCTGAAGAACTAACCGTTAAAGTTGAAGAAGAAGTTACACCTGAGCCCATAATTGTGGAAGAGGAAGTGGTTGAAGAAGTTGAACTTAAGAAGCCAGAAAAGCCAACATCAGAAGAAACAGAAGATGTTGCCGCTTTTAAGCTGAAGAAGCCAGCTGCACCTGAAGAAGAGGATGTGGTGGCTGAGGTTACTCTGAAGCCAAAGAAACCCAAAGAAGTGAAGGAAGAAGATTTCTCTGTTGATGTCAAGCTTCCAAAGGAAAAGAAGATTTCTGAAGAAACACTCGATGAAACTGTCCAGCTCAAGAAGAAAAAGAAGCCTCAAAAACCAGTGGAAGAAGCTGCAGATGAATTACAACTTCAGCAAACTGTTATTGAAGAGAGGCCAATTGAGATTGAAGAGGAAGAAATCATTGAAGAAGCTGTTGTAATGCGAAGGAAACCAAAGAAACCATTCGAACCGACGGTGGAAGATCTCGAAGAAACTGAATTCAGTCTTTCATTTAAGAAGCCACATACAGTTACCGAAGGCGTCGAAGAAGCTGCTACTGTTCTTAAGAAACGTCCAATGAAACCTCAAACCTTGGACGAAGCTGCAGCCGAATTGTCTATAAAACGTCTGGAGGAAGAATATGAAGAAGGCGATGACGTTGAAGAGTTCGTGGTTAGTCAACGAGCCAAACCCAAACCTTTGCAAATTACTGATGAAGAAGACCAAGAATACACTCTTAAAAAGCTAAAACGTCGCAAGAAGGTGGACATTCCAGAGTTCGCTGATGTTGAAAATGTTACTTTCCGAGCAAAGACCACAAAGACCAAAGAGGATGTAGACCAAGAGTTTAATATTGCTTTGGACTCCTATGCTGAAGAGGAAGTGTCAATGTCTGGAAAAGTGAAACTAAAGAAACCAGTTAAGAAGACTTATTCTGAAGCAGCTGATGAGGCAAAGATCAAAATCATTCAAGACTACGATGACGGTGAAGGACCAATTATTGAAGAAATACATGACGATGAAGATACAATCGATGAAGTTGAGGAGCCTGAAGAATACATGGTTGAAGAGTTGCCTCCAGATGAGGTTGACTTCAAGCTGAAACCCAAAAAGCAGCCCAAGCCACACTATTCAGTCCAAGACGAAGAAGAGGAACAGTTCCTGATTGGTCTTCGTCATACCAAACGCGATTCGGTGACATACGACGAAGATTCTTTAACATTCAAGAAGAAGCGCAAAATGGTGCAACAGCTATTCAATGAAGGTAAGCAGCTCTCGATAATTCGATTGAAAGGAATCTTTAATAATTATCAAGTTGCAATAATGTCTCATTCGATTTAATTTGCACATCTGCTTATATGGCAATAGCTTAGAAAAATGAGGTAAACCAACTCAACACCCATAAGTGTCAGTGGCTAACGCATAACACTCCACCCTTAGATGTTTTTTCAATACTCACATTTTAATTTTTCCTTAAAAAAATATATTAATATTCATATATCTCTACATTGCAACAGACGGCGCCTCTCTTAACATCACCAGAGAAATGGATGTGGACGGTAAATATATTTGGTTTATTATCGGTTGTAGTATTCAAGTTAGTTTTTGTAATATTCAATTGCGTAAAAACCGCGAAATATTTGAATTTCCAAGTTGATTGCTGAAGCATATACGCAGTTACAGGCGATATTTAATCATTTTCAATAATTTCAGAATCTCAAACCGAAAACGTTATGTATTCGATTTGCAATTACATTGCTGATAACGATGAAGCCATTAATTTGGTCGAAGGTGAGAAGGTACTGGTAATTGGACGTCACAGTTCAGAATGGTGGTATGTCAAGAAGAGCATTACGGATGAGGAAGGATGGGTGCCTGCTCAATATCTAATGGAACCCGCCGAGTACGCTCAATATGTGCAGAATAAGTTGCACGAAAAGATTGATAAGCTACCCGTGTTTGAAAGTAAGTTTAGTATACGATTCTAAGTATTATTGTCTAACAAGAGTTTTTCGGTACTGTCCCGTCATGTTATTAACACTATTCTTAATGTCCTGTGCCTGTGCGTTAATCAAGGACCTGGACCTGAAGACAAGCCGATTGCACCACGTTTCATTGAAAAACTGCAACCGATTCATACACCTGACGGTTATACCGTGCAATTTGAATGCAAGGTTGAAGGTAATCCAAGACCGCAAATTGCTTGGTTCCGGGAAACAGCTATCATAAAGCCCTCACAGGACTTCCAAATGTTCTTCGATGAGGACAATGTGGCTACATTGATAATTCGCGAAGTCTTCCCCGAAGATGCCGGCAAATTCACCTGTGTGGCTAAGAATGCCGCTGGCTTCACTTCGAGTACAACCGAATTGATTGTCGATAGTCCACTATCGGATCACGGTTCGGATGCCACAGCTTTATCCCGCAGGAGCATGTCACGCGAATCGTCATTGGCGGACATACTTGAGGGTATACCACCAACATTTTCGCGTAAGCCTAAGGCCCAATATGTCGATGAGGGCACAAATGTGATTTTAGAGTGTCGCCTTGTTGCTGTGCCCGAACCTGAGATCGTTTGGACCTTTAATGGCGAAGACATTGATGAGGAAGAGATTAAGAACGTTCGAATTGTCACCGAATCAGATATGCACATGTATTGCAGCATTGTTCACATTACTAAAGTTAAGAAGTCTCAGGAAGGCATATACGAAGTTATTGCCACAAATCGCGAAGGCGAAGCTCGTCTGCCCATCACACTCAAGGTGCGAACTGCTGACAAAGAAGCTCCTCAAATTCTGGAGCCATTGCGTAATATGGTAATACGTGAGGGTGAAAGTGTTGTGCTTTCCACACAAATTGTCGGCAATCCAGCACCAAAGGTAACATGGTACAAAGATGGCAAGCCCATTAAGGGTGCCAAATCAGACAAAGATATACATTCGCTCACACTGATTACACCAAAGAAGTCACAGAAGGGTGAATACACGGTCAAAGCGGTTAATCCATTGGGCAGTGTGGAAACTACTGCAAATCTAACAATTGAAGGTATGTTAATTGTTTTATGTACATCAGAAATATTTTACTTATTGCTTATCTTGTCAATAATAAACCACATTCTCGCCATTTAGAACCGACTAGCGGTAATGCAGAGCCTCCATTATTTGTGGAACGCTTTGAGGAGCAATCGGTGCCGCAAAAGGGTGAAATTCGTTTGCCTGCAAAGGTTTCGGGCAATCCAGTTCCTGAAGTACAATGGCTTTTCAACAACAATCCCTTGTATCCCAGCGAGCGCGTTCAACAGGTCTATGATGGTGAAAATATTGAGCTCATCATACAGAATGCTAATCCGGAAACTGATTCCGGTGACTACAAGTGTATTGCCAGCAATCCCATTGGTAAAACGTCGCACGGTGCGCGTGTGATTGTTGAGGTCGATGAGGTGACCTTTACCAAGAAGCTAAAGAAGACCATTACCATTGAGGAGGTGCAATCGCTGACTTTGGAATGCGAAACCTCCCATGTGGTCTCCACAAAATGGTTCTTCAATGGCAAAGAGCTGAGCGGCATGGATCATCGCGTTGTCGTTGAGGACGGAAAGACGCACAAGTTGGTCATAAGGAACACAAATCTACGCGATTCTGGTACTTATGTCTGCAAAGTGAAAAAGCAGGAGACGCAATCTACTGTTGAGGTGCTGCAGCGTAAGCCAGACTTCCTTAAAGTGCTTGAAGACTATGAGGTAACTGAAAAGGACACAGCCATTCTGGATGTTGAGCTGACAACAGAAGCTGTGGAAGTCACTTGGTACAAGGATGGCGAGAAAATCACACCTGAAGACAAGAACTGTGAGTTTATCAAGGATGGCAAATCTAGGCGTTTGGTTATACGCGATACTACCATTCATGACGAGGGCGAGTACACATGCAAGCTGGAGGGGCAGGAGTGCAGCGCTGAGCTTACTGTCATTGAACTGCCACCGGAGATTGTGAAGCCGTTGAAGGACGTGTCTGTCACAAAGGGTGAAAATGCCACATTCGACATTGAGCTGAGCAAGGGCGATGCCCTGGTTAAGTGGTTCAAGAACGGCAAGGAAATCAAGTTCAATGAGCGCATACAACTAATAATTGATGGCAAAAAGCAATCGATTCGCATTACCAAGGCGAAGCCCGAAGATGTGGGCGAGTATTCTATACAGGTGGGAGATCAAACCTCGAAGGCCAAGTTGACAGTGGAAGAGCCATTGGTAGACTTCATAGTCCGTTTACCAGATGTCACGCTAGCCACGAAGACCACCGATGCCGAGTTCACCGTTGAGCTTTCACAGCCCGATGTAGAGGTTACCTGGTACAAGAAGGGCAAGCCCATCAAGCCGAATAAGAAGCATGAGGTTTTCGTTGAGGGCACCGTGCGTCGTTTGGTCATCCATGATGCCAGCGATGATGACGCGGGTGAGATCAGCTGCGTTGCCGAAAACGTCACAAGCAGAAGTAACCTTTGCGTTGAGGAGCTTAAGCTGCCGCCTGTGATTACCTCTGAAAAGGATCAAACCATCAAGGTGAAGGAAAACGAAGATGCTACCTTTACTGTTAAGTACACAGGCGCGCCAACTCCCGAAGCAGAGTGGACAACGCGCAAGGTTGTCATTCCCAAATCAAAGCGTACCATCCCAACCATCGATGAACAATCCGCAACTTTGACCATTAAAAAGGTTGTCGACGATGACGAGGGCGAGTACACAGTTAAACTTGTCAATCCCGTGGGCGAGGCAGAGGCCAGCCTACACTTGGTCATTATGCGTAAGTATAATTAATTAATTACAAAATTTAACGATGCGGAAATTCCAACCTTTATCAACATTTTAGGCAAGCCCACGGCGCCTGGAACTCCTCAGCCATTGGAGGTGATGCACGATTCAATAACCTTGTATTGGAAGGCACCCGAGGATGATGGCAAATCAGAAATTATCGAATACATTCTGGAGTATCATGATGTAAAGACAGAAAAGTAAGTTATATTAATTTCCATTCCATGAAACCAAACTGAAGAGTAACTCACTAAATAGATGGACTGAGATACGCAAGATTAAGGATACGACTTATACCATTAGCAAGTTGAAGATAGATACGGAATACGTATTCCGTTCGATTGCAGTCAACGAAGTTGGTCCATCACCTCCCTCACCCATCTCGCCGCCCATCCGCCTGATGCCCAAGGTCGAAACTGAGGCTCCTAGCGTGCGCGAACCATTGCAGGATATTGTCAGTGAACTGAACAAGGAGGTCACAATGTCCTGTGTATTTGGCGGCATTCCAGAGCCAACTGTCACATGGAAAAAGAATGGCCAGGTCTTCGAGTCAAGTAGTGTACGCTACGAGAATCGTGTTGCCAAATATACAATTGAAAATACAACAATTGAGACTGAAGCCACATACACTTGCGTGGCAACCAATGAGAAGGGCTCCGTGGAGACATCCTGTAAGCTGACACTGCAGCAAAAGCCATGCATCGAGATTGAGGATAAGTATTTGTCGCAGAAACTGCGCACTGGCAGCACTCTCACCATTCCGGCAACAGTTCGTGGCTATCCACAGCCGTCTGTGACCTGGCACAAGGAGACCATCGAACAAAAGTCAACCAGCCAGGTGACCATTGAAACCACAGAGACCAGCTCCACCTACACCTATAAGAAGGTAACACGCGAACAATCTGGACGCTATAAGGTGACGGCGACAAATGAGTCGGGCTCCACCTATGTGGAATGCTCGATTCAGGTGATTGACAAGCCAAGCCGACCACAATCATTGGAGATTAAAGACATTAAAAAGGATTCCATTACCTTGGAATGGACGCCACCCATCGACGATGGTGGCATGGACATTAACAAGTATACGCTAGAGAAATGCGATATTCAGAACAACGTCTGGATGAAGGTTTCCGATTTCAACAAGGACATCAACTCGTATGCCATTCAAAAACTTTCCATGAATGCGCAATACATGTTCCGTGTGGTTGCTATCAATCCCATTGGCGAATCAGAGCCAACCGAGAGTGAGACTGTGACCATAACCAAGAAGTTTGGTATGTATAGGAATTATATTTATTTAATGTGAGCCATTTATTCTTAAACCCTCTTCTGGCTTGCAGAGAAACCAAGTCCACCACGTGATCCTACCTCCGTATCCGGCATGAACGACACTTCATTCACACTATCCTGGGAGCCATCAGAGAGCGATGGTGGCTCAAAGATAATTGAATATATTGTGGAAATTAGGGAAGAGACTGAAACCGTTTATCGTTCTTTGGGCACTACGACGGGCACTGTAACAAACATTCAAGTTGAGAAAGTTGTGAGAAACAAGGGCTATCTGTTCAGAATCTACGCTCGAAATGAGGTTGGCACTAGCGACGCGTTCGAAACGACTGAAAAGATTGTCGTTGGACGGAAGATAAGTAAGTGGACAACATTTTCTCATAATGATTATCGCTTATTGCTTTGCAAATTGCTTTCTTTCTTAACGCTCACTAATGCTTTTCATGCAACGCAAAAAAAACCCAATATATTAAATGAAACACAACAGCAAATGATTCTGAAAACATGGGTACGTTAACAACGTCATTTAATTGCCGTCAATGGTTGTTATTAATTGTTTGGTAATAATAATAATAATGTGTGTGTGTTGAATTTTAGCGCCGCCATCGCCACCCCAAAATCTGAGAGCGCCGGATGTGACAAGTCGCAGCGTAACTCTCGATTGGGAGGTGCCAGCCAGAAATGGTGGTTCAGAAATTACAGGTAAACTCATTAATACCAACAGGTGCTTACAGGATATTAATATAACACATATATAAATACCAACAGGCTATTGCGTGGAGAAACGCTCATCAACATCAACAAGCTGGACCAAGGTTATTACTTTGGATGCACATCAGATGCATTATACCATTGACAATCTGAAAGACAAGTGCGAGTATTGGTTCCGTGTGTCAGCGGAGAATGAGGTTGGATTAGGTGCACCAGCCGTCACTGAGAGCATATCGCTAAAGACACACGCAAGTAGGTTACAGTCAACGATAGTGCTATTATAAAACTAATCCCATTTGATATTTTAACTAGCCGTGCCGTCGCCACCAACTGGTCCACTGGAAGCGCGAGTTCTCGCTGCCAATGCACACATATTCGAATGGGGTATACCCGAGTCAGATGGTGGTGCGCCACTGCTCGGCTATCACATTGCCATACGTGACATGAAGAAGTCCATGTGGATTGAGGTTGGTCGTGTGCCAGCTGGTGTGCAGAAATTCCAGATAAGAGATTTGCAAGAGAACCACGAGTACATGATACGTATCTTTGCAAAGAACGAGATTGGTCTGAGTGAACCACTTGAATCGGAGGAGCCATACAAAGTGATGACAGCGGGTAAGTAGAACCTCATTCATATAACTACTTTCAATTGCTAACTGTGATACTCTCTCTCTCTCTCTCTCTCTCTCTTCGTTATTCAGGTCACGCCAGTCTGCCCGATGAGCCGCGCACAGAGATGAGCACATGCAACACATCATCCTGGCTGCGTGATCATAATATGGATGCGGATATACACTCATATGCTCGCGGAAGACTGCTTCAACGCGATGAGTACTTCTTCCGCTTGTGGGCAAAAATGCCCAAGAAGAAGAAGAGCTCTAAATAGGCAAAAAAAATAACAATAAACACAACAAATAGCCATGACAAAAAAAAAAAGTAAAAACAATACGAATGAAACTTAGGTTAGGTTAAGCATATTTCAATTGTACTTTAATGATTTCTTGATTTTCTAGCTTTTTTGTACTTGTAATACTCATGTAAAGAGTATGTAATGTTCGGCAAATATGCGTCCAACAACAGCGATGTTCACGGAACTCAAATCAGAATAGGGCGAGCGAAGACAAACTTAATGCTTTGAGTGCGTGGACGTGGCTGCAAGGTTGTGACATCATTGGTCCCATTACATTATCTATGAAATAACTTTTTGCGGTTTTAATTTGCATAAATTCTTATGATTTCCTTCGCTTTATTTTTGTAAGCTGTGATAAATTTATCAAATTCGAAAAAGCGTCAAACGATTAAATGCCAAATGACATTTGCGCCACGAACACAACGCGCACCGGGCAACGGCAGCCAGCGGACAAACGAGCAACAAACCACCAACCAACCAGCAACAATAACAATAACAAGACCAACTGTTAAAACATACAATACAAGCGACTCAATATCCTCTAGGGAGACAAACAACAAATGGTGCAATTCGATATGAGTTACGAGTATGTTGTGTGTGTGTTGAATTCTGTTGTGTGGTATTGTATTGTGAGTCGCGCTGACTGCCCCACTTGCCTTTGCCGTGTGCTCGCTGTGCAGCAAATTTATGGTTCCCCGAAAGGGTTACATAACTATACTTATACTTATATGGAACGCCCATACATGACTTGAAAGAAACAAAAATAAAATAAAAATGAATGAATTTTTAAACGAATAACTTAAAGTGGTTTTTGTTCGTTTCAACAAAATTTCTCGCCGTTGAGCATGCAAAATCAACTAATTAATTCAATAGATAGTTGCTTGAGTCGGCTCCAAAGGAGAGCCAAAGTTAGCATTTACTTTTCCCCAGCAAAGTTTGCTGTTAAGTTTTTATTCTAAAACTTAAAGTCGACAGCTAAACAATGGCAGCTCCGAGCTGCCCAACACATGCGTATGCAGGACAAAAGACAAGCCACGTTATCAAGAACAGCAGCAGCAGCAGGAGGAGGAGAGACACGTGGCAGGGGAAGCAGCAGCACACATATAGAGATACCAACACTAGGCTGCTGTTACGCGTCGTTGAACTTATCTGGTGACATGGGCAAATGCTGTGCATAAAGTTTCATAGAGAATTGTGTGAGAATTTAATTAAAGTTTTTGCGGTTGCCACTAATCAAAAGATATTATCTAAAATGTTGTATGTGGCAGTTACTTTGGCTGTTCAAATAACTTTTTGCTGCGGGCCCAACTGTAATTTACACTAAGCTGCTTGGCCAATAGTTTGGCCAACATTGCACAACGGTCTCATAAGGCTAAGCATATTTCCGGCACTTTAAATTGCGCACAAACAAACAAACGAACACTTCATTTTGGTTGCCCATGCACAGCACCAACAACAGCAAGTAAATACCTACATATACATATACATCTACATCTATAGCTACAGCTACAGCTACAGCTACACCTACATCGTCTATTGATACCGTCGGGCAGGTAGCAGGTAACAGATTTAGTGTTGCCACTAAACGATCGGCCAGTCGTCCTGGGACCGGGTCCTCCCGGGCAACTCCTGTCGTCCTGAATTCGAGAGCTGCCATGATACACAAACGGAAATTTCATTTACTTGTTTGCTTTTTATATGCTTCATTCGATTTTTACTTGCTTCGTTTCGTTTCGCTTCGATTTTATTGTGTACAATTTGTGCAACCAGCACAATTTATCTTACACAAATTTTAAAACTTAAATTTTCAGAATTGGAGAATGTATTTTTACTTTTATTCTTCTGGAAATTTAAGACTCTTTCTGTCTGTCCGTTTTTCGCAAGACAAAAACTCGTATGCCCATTAGTTATGGCTTATTAATACTGTAGGAAAGTTGGACAGAAAGTCGGCCTAACACAATTGTAAACTTGTAATAGCATTCCGAAAGTTTGAAGCATTGCTTATAACAACAAAATTACACATAAACTTTATGGAGTGCACGTAGAAAATTGAGGCAGCACTTTTTCCTTGGCACGGCTCGTCAAACGTGATAGCCGGGCCGAATAACCGAACCGAAGGCAGAGTCGTAAGAAATAAAGCCACAACACAAAAAAAAGCAAAAAGTTTGCTTAATTAGTTCCCAAAATAATAAACGATAATAGCAAGAAAAGCCACATCCTTGGCAAATGGAAAAACAGACGTTGCTTTTGTCTATTCTTGTTTGTGTGTCGAACAAATTGAATTATCAACTTGTGAGGAGTCTCAAAGCAGTTGGAAGTTAGTACTGACTAGAACCAAATTAGAAAATTTACGATAGAAGTCTTAATTAAGCTAACGTAAGAAATTTAAAAAAAAAATACAGGAAATTTGTAGCAAAATTGAACGAATTTAATTTTTTGATTGCTCACAATAACTAACGTGCTGATGTACTTCACGTGGCGCATTAAAATCAAAAGTTAAAGCTAAATTCTAGTTTTGATAAGAAAAATAGCAAAAAGGCCATAAAACATACGAAACAAACGTAAAACCAAGGGAATAATCATACTAAATTAGATAAGAAACCTTGCAATCATTGGACTTGTAAGTTGGCTGTTTGCTTAAATTTACTGTATGCGGAATATAATATAGAGATAAATGTCATAAAATGTTAATTTCACCTCATGTTCATTGCGTAGAAATAAGCACCCGTAAGAATCGCTAGTCGCAGATTAACTGATGCTATATAAAACAGATTGGGCTATAAGAGTCTCTGCAGTTATTTATTGTGCTAGCAGGCGCAACACGTTCCCCGAATGGCACCAAACTGACAAGCGAAACTGTTGTATTTGTCTGCATAATTGCCCAACAGCACTACTGTTCTGGTGCCATGGACCACTCCTATTAATATAAAATTGCAGCCCCATAAAGTCAAAAAGACATGACCTCCGGTTGCAACATTTTCGATTTCCGTATTTCCGTAGATAGCACCAAACAACAGGAATGGGTTGGGCTCATGTAAACATATCTGCGGGTCTTAAGTAAACCATGAAGAAAATATATTTCTCGAATTACGGGCATATCGAATAGTTGATACTCTTTTTGAACCAATATATATTCCTTACTGGATGCCGCAATGGTTTTCGTTTTAAAATTCGAGATGCTTTTCGTCTGTACCAGAGAATATGGTAAATATAAAATATTTATTGCCAGATTGCCACACACATTCAGCATGTGCGACAACAGCTGCAACTGCAACTGCTACAGCTGAAACTGCTGCAACTGCAACTGCTGCAGCTGCAACTGCAACTGCTGCAGCTGCTAGCTGCCTGCTGATATGTACACAATGTCCATTCAGCCTTATCCTTTCCTTTGACTGCACCAACATCCGGGACAAGCATTTTACATTTTACCATTTTACTGGAGTGCAATTCATAACATTTAACAGTTCGAGTCAAATAAGTAAAACTGCTCGTATATTTAACAATTTGATAGAGACATTTTTGATACAAATTAAGAACGTAGTTAAGACCCCTTCAATGTACCGCCCCCATCAGTTCCACATAAAAATCAAGTGTGCAGAAAATTAAATTTCGAAGAGCGGAGCAGGCGAACAAATTGAATGCACGGCAAGGACATTCTGTCGTTTCCGACCAAAAAATAATGAAAGTGCAGCTGGTATTTTTTGCTGCCACTGCTCCTACTGTTCTTCTCGTCGTTGTCGACTGCTGCTAGAATTAAATTTCCTTGTAGTGTCATGTTCTAAACACATTCGCACATACAAACACACACATACACGAATGCACACATATACATTCACTAACTATCGGCGACAACCAAGAGCATGCATGACATTTTGAGGCAAAGCGCAATTAAAGTCAATTGGCATTCTACCAAAAAGGCGCCCGTCGTGCCGTATACGTAATGTCATTCAAGTGTCTGTGTAAGTGTGTATGGCGACAGCATTAGCTTGCGTTGACTTTAGTTATTAGCACGTTTCTGGCAACACACAAATGGCTTCATAATTTATTAACAGCAACCAAATCATTGCGCATACGCCGCGTTCACCATCCATAAATTAATTTTCAAGAAGTAACTTTATAGCTATTTGGATGTCTTCGTTTGAATCCCCACAAATTTAATGTTGCCTATGCGGTGTATTATTTGGCAATCTGAAATACCATCAACCACCTAATATTTAAATTAAATTTCTTTGTTTCGTTTCGTTTCGCACTTTCGAGCAAGTTTTACAGCCAACTACGTGCTGCCTGCTGCCGTTTGTTTTATGGGCTTTTTCTATCTTTATCTCATTTCATTTTACTTTATAATGTGCTCATAAAAGTTGTGTGTTGTCTAAAACCAGAAAGCCATTTGTTTTTTCGACACACACACTGTTTGATTTGACAGTTTGACTGATTAGCCTTTGCTTTAGAGCTTTTCACATTTACGAGCATATTTTCGATCGCAAGGAAGTCTATACACAGATTGAGGAAGCAGCCATAAAATGAAAGCAAATTGAAGGATTATGTATATTTTGCATGCGAATTCATAGAGATTGGCATGTGATTGCGTAAAGTGGAAATAATATTTTTCACTCGAATACGCCTAATTGGTTGTTTTACGTGATTTTGTGGTGCTTAAGATTGTACGATTTACAACAGTCAAAGTAAGTTAAATGACAACCAACAAAATCTACTGGTAAACTGGTCCAAATCAATTTTTGGCTCTAGCTAAAAACCACATCTTTACTATGATTTGCAAGCACGATCTTAAAGTACAGATATATTTTCATGTGCTATCTCACAGTTTTTATAAGTTTTGTCCAACTAACTGTCAAATGTCAACTTTCGGCTACTTCACACGCCGTTGACTAAATTTTCTTTAAGTTTTCTTTGGCCTTTGCATAAATGCATTCTAATGCATACATTTCGCAGTGGGTTCTTCTGGGGGGATTGTACGCTAAAGAGATTTGCACCTTGCATAGAAAGCTAAATTTACAAGCTGTAACGAAAATTACAACGCAAATATGCAAATCACCATGAAGCTGTCCCAAAATCAGCAGCACCATCAGCAGCAGTGCGAGAAAAATGAAAAAAAAAGTCAAACTTAAATTTTGGGCAACTCGATATAGGAAAAAATGCGAAATGGAAATTTAAGTTTGTTTTGCTAGTGTTTCATTTGGCATGTGAAAAGCAGCTTTAAATGAAGCTGTTATGACTCGATCTGTGTGTGTGTGAGTGCTTCTGTGAGTGTGTGTGTGTGTGTGTGAGTGTTTGCGTAATGTACAAACGTGTTGGGCATTTCTGGGCAGAATAAGTAAGCAGCAAGCAAAACGGGCGTAAGCTGCGATGCAGTTGCCGATGCAGTTGCCGTTGCAGTTGCATATGCTGTGTGAATTACTTCATTGTGTGGGAGCTGCTATTGCTCCGGCTCTTTACGTGCTTATCGAGTATTCGATGGCAACATTATAGCTCGAATGAAATCGGTAAGCTGCTTAGAGTGCACTACTGCCTGGTCAACGTTTTGTATGCGTGATATCGTTGAAGCGAGTGTTCGAATGTTTTGCAGCACATTAAACTGCCAATATGTCTTTATTGTTCTTCTTCTATATAGTTAAACACACAGATACATTTCTATGGTGAAGCAGCAAGTTGAAGTAAACGCACCGATTTATGCTGCCACAAGTTGTAGGCAAGTCAGCTGCTTTGCTGCTGCTGTGCACCTCCAAGGGGCCGTCAAGTGCGCTGTCAGGATGAGTACGAGTAGATGGAGAATGTGT